TCTTCGGCGACTATTTAAACATTTATTAATTTACTTCCGTTTACCCTCCGCCGCTCCTCCGAAATCTATCAAAATTAATTAAAAATTTATTAACGATTTATTTTTTATAATAGCGTCCGCTGACCATGAATTTATAACCTTTAATATATATAAGGAATATTTAAATAGCGATTAAAAACCAGCTAAACCTAAGGAAAGGGTAAGCGTTAGGGTGTAATACCCCCTTTAGAGACCGATAAATATATAAATATTAAGACCGATCGCTAATTTATCCCTAATTTATTTTTAATCTATCCTCGCTAAATACTTTATAGGGCGTATATATAATCGCCCTTAATAAAATCTTTTACTATTAGAAAGAGTTTAAGCCGGATTATAACAGCGCGGATATTTAATATAATTTTAATATAAATAATATTTAAAAATTATTGATATCAAATTAATAATTAATCTTTAATTTATTTAGATTATATTTATTACCTATTATAATTTCATTAAATATTTAAAAAGTATTTATACTATCCCTAAGGAGCGTTTAGTTAACGTTTTAATTGGAAGTATTAAAGCTAAGGTTTATATAATTATTATTAATATATAACCTATCCTTAATTAAGTTCTAAATAATTTAAAACTAATTATAAATAAATTTAAGATAGTATAAGGATTTTATAACCTTTATAACCTCTGGTTAAATTATAACCGTTTCTATTCTTAATAGGATTTTGTAGCCGGTTATTCTTAAAAAATGTAAGGTAGCGGTTATTAATGAAGAATTAGATTTATTAGATTAATTGTTAATTGAGGAGGTGGAGTAATAGGAAGTATAAGAGGAGGAATAGTAAAAAGAATAGGAAGAGGAATAATAAGAAATATAGGAGGAGGAATAGAAGGAGGAATAAGAGGAGGAGTAGGAGGAGGAGTAGGAGGAGGAATAAAAGGAGGAGTAAGAGGAGGAGTAAGAGGAAGTATAGGAAGAAGAATAATAGGAAAGATAGGAAGAAGAGTAGGAGGAGGAATAAGAGGAGGAATAAGAGGAGATATAGGAGGAAGAGTAGTAAGAAGTATAGGAGGAGGAATAGTAGCAGGTATAGGAGAAAGGGAACGAGGAGGAGGCAGATATAGAGGAAGACGGTCTTATAAAAATCCCCTTTTAAAAGAACGGTAACGTAAGTATTTTAAATCTATCTTTAATAAATTATTAATTTATCCCTAATATATCTTTTAAATATCTTTAACTAATTTAATTAATATTTAAATTAATACCTAATTAATAAAAGAAATATATAAAAAGCGTAATAATATTGTTTCCCTCGCTAAATTTATTTACATAATATATAAAAGATTTAAATGTATTTATAAATTTTATTTTAAATATATTTTTAATAAATCTTTTATTAATTATTAATTTATTATAAGTCTTTTCCCTTACTGTCCTAAATAAGGCGGTAAAGGCCAGAATTACGTTATTTAGTGCGAATTCTGCTGCTATTCGGATAAACCTACGGAATTTACTCCTTCTTCGTTTACGATTTAAAATATATTCCAGATATATTATAAATATATTATCGGATTTTATATTTCTCTACGGGGGAATTTTAGGCGAGCGAATTAGGTTATTTCTCTATGGGGGGACTTTTGTATATACGACCCGGATAAGCCTATAAAGCCTAATTTCCTTATCTACGGTTTAAAATATATTTTAAATATATTATAGATATATTATTAGACTTTGTTCGAACTATTATTATTAATTTGATATATTGAATTAATTCTATACGAATATATATTATAATAATTGTATTAATCTTTTTCTTTTAGAGGTTGGACCAATTTTGTATATAAATATACGGACCATAGGGTTAGGAAGCTTTAGGTATGGGGTTGTGTTATCTGACCACTCGAGAGAGTTGAATCTATACCTTAGGTTGTGTTCATTCAAGGCTGTAGTATGGTAGGAAAACCCAGTTTTGGTAGCTGTAAGGTGCAGTCTTACAGCTGCACTTTTTGTGTTCGGCTGGATTTCAGTAAAAATATGTAAGTCGCTACATTACCCCAAATCCATGCAATGCATGCATCTGACCAATCAGAGGCCCAGATTTCTTACTGAAATGGCCGGATTTTTAACATTTTCAACAGTCCCAGACCCCATGTATAAGGCTGCAAGAACCGACCTCTACAGGGCACCACCACCCCTAAACCCCCTATAATTACAACGCTCCCGTTCTTACAGCCCCAATACTAACGAACACAGAGCAGTAAGGAGCTTTAGTAAGAAACTTTGGCTTGCATTACCGTTGCATTACTGTATAGGGAGTGCAGCTGCGGGTTATGTACGGTAATGCAAGGCCTCCTCTACCGTGGTACAGCCTTGAACGAACACAACCTTAGGTGCAACCCAGTCACGCTTCCCATCATGCCGAGTTGTCCGGTTGTCCCTGCAGAAGGAGGGGCACTTGTAATTCTGCGAGACAATTATCCAGAATATAAAAACGCATGTACCCGTTTAACGCGCGGATGTAAACAGTAGTCTACTGTAGCGGGGATGTTAAAAGATCGACAGCAAGGTGAGATCTCAAGCACAGTTTCAAGTTTCCAAAACTCCATGTGATCCGTATAGTATTGCTCGCCAAGCCCAAGACAAACAAACCCCCCGTAACGTCGTTTCTCACAGAGGCACCGAGGGCACCCAGGGCACCCAAACTCATCACAAGAGCCGCAATCCCCATTCGGTCGGCGGCGGCGATGGCGTTCGGGGTTCCGGGACAGATCACTGGTCGCTCGCTATCGACGTTGCATCGTGACATCGTGAGGGGTTCTTGGTCTGGGTCTTGGTCTTGGTGTTTGTTTTTGGGGTTGGAGGTTCTTGCCTTCACATGCACTGGTCGCTGCGCATTTGCGCGAATGGGTGCAAAGTGCAAAGGCAAGAAAAGGTGTAACCAATTATTGGGGGAGGACAAAGGGAGGGGCCGATATCCGATTTGACGAACGACGGGAGGACGCAAGGAGGATCAATTTTTGTACGCGAGTCTGTACCTTGTGTCCGTTCAAGATCCATGGGGAATTTGACTTCCGGTAAAAGACGAAGGGAAACCCCAAAAAAAAAAAAAAAAAAAAAAAAGGGTATGCAGAAATATGGGTGACGCGGAGGAAAGGCAAGATGGGTCGTTTGTTAAGCACCAGTCCCGGGCCGACCGCCAACAAACAACTTGGAATCCATTCCATCTCCGTCTTCTTCTAAAATCGGGTATGGTGTGGCGAGCGGTAACATCGTTGACTCTCACTTCCTTCAGGAGTGACTGACTGCTTGCTCTCTTCTCAACAGCCCCGGGTTCGGGCGTTCGACTCCCGGTATCCGAGTTACAATGACCGTTCTTTTTCTGCTTCTTATTTCTCTTGCCCTACCTAGTCTTTGGCGAAGCTTCCTCCCAGATTATTTTCCTCTCTTACTTTGTTTGTCCCCTTGGAAGTTCTCTCTCAATCTTTTTTGCACCGTTCTGCAAGAAATCTTGTTTGTGCCGGACCACGGTCGGTGGAGCCTAAAAAGGCCGCCAGAGTGGGGCTCCGGAGCCGGGTACCTACTACAGGCCGGGATTCAAGCAGGCACGGGTCCGGCCCGGTCCGGTCCGGAACCTTAGCATTGGCGCTACTGTGTCCGGTATACCGTTATCTTCCACAACTCCCAGCTCCGAATTGCTAAACAATACATATGTACCTCTACATAGTAGCAACACCCTCATCGGAATGTCACAGTAAGCTTTGAGGCTTGAAGTCCTGTCTTATGCTTAGTTGTACTATGTGGCGCATGCGAAGCGTGCGGAACGGACGGGAAAAGGGGAAAACCCTGAAACTCTGACACGGGACGGGAGTACATCGGATGGGTTACAGGGCTGGCGTCGCGTGTGAGAGGTATGGTAAGGGCAGCGACAGACATGTTCCTGAAAACTGTAGCATCCATCTCTGGCTTTTTGTATACATGTTACGGCGGGAGTCTTGAAAGCTGCTGGACAGTTGTAAACAGGAAAGGGTTGAGGCAACTGAATTCCTTGAAATACCAACAATTTCAGCTTCGTGGACATTGGACGGACCGACCGGAGAGAAAGTCCGCAAGCAAGCTGGAAAGGGCCTCGGTCAGGTCCTACTGGTTCCTGACTTCCATCCTTACAAGCAGAGCATAAAAGAGGCAACGAGGCGACTAAACAAGGTACCTTGGCCAACCGGTGGAAAAGCAAGGGGCGGATGACAACCAAGCCAGACACATACATACGTACCTTACCTATACTTGGATTTACACTTGTCACGTATGACAGAGGCTTCGTTATCCCCGAGCTGAAAGCCTGGAAATGAAACTTCCAATCCTTTCTCAATCCTGTACCGAGCTCTGCAGCTCCAAGCTCCTTGCAGCACACCACCAAGCCGGGAAGCTGACCCGGATCTTTGTAATTCTGACCTGCATGAGAAAAGCAATGGCTTGCATGTTTCACGTTTCAATGCTTGGTGTTGTATTGAAACGCCACCTGACAACTCCAGCCAGGGCCAGATGTACTCCTGTAGGTACCTTGATAAGACAGATGACTACCCTACTGCGGACCTGCGGCCTGCGGTGTTAAAGTTGGGGGTCACCGGTTTACTGACTGAGAAGTCAACTGTACCAAACCAACGCAGTCAGGATTCGGGAACAGTTGGCACTCGGGAAGAAGATCACAAAAGCTTCTCGGCCCGGTCCGACGAGGTGAAGGTACCTAGTCGGCATCGGCACTGAGTGGCTTCGAAGTGGCTATATACGACTACGGAAATACCCAGATGAGTGTGCTCGACAACTTCATGAAATGGTTTGTCGCTTCTGTCGTCCGAAGACAATAACTACTACTACTACTATAGACATGTATGATCATATATAAGAACGAGTACAATGAAGCGGAGATGATCTTCCCAGCTCGCCAGTTTTATGACTTTCCTCCGCTTGTGGCGTCTCAAGGTCGTTTACGTCTTTCTCTCATGTATCCCCTTTGGGATATCCTTGGTGCCTGGATAAGCTGAATACCTATCGTCATCCTGCCCGTTTTCAGGCATGACGGAGGCAGTGTGTTTGGCGCCGCGTCAACACCCTTTCTCCCAACAGGCTTTCGCTGCCGCGTGTCTTATGTATCGTGTAATATCGACAATGAATGCAAACTGGTATCCCCCTCCGCCACTCTCTTTTACACCTCTACCCTTCCTTATCCAAGACGTGACTGCTCTTGATTAAACATCCAACATACTCCTAACCTGCACCGGCGGTGAAGTAATACTCGGGCTCGTCGACGACACCACACTATGATTCCTCCCCGTCTCCCCGACCCCCGGTCGATCCGTATACGGCGGCGGCGGCGGTACCGTCCCCCGTGGTCCATCCATCATCAACTCCGCCTGCCTACTCGCCGCACTAGGCGTCATGCCCGCATACCTCGTCGCTGTCTGTCTCGCCGTAGCAAAGTCCCCTGGCGCAATCGGGCCCGTTACCCCCACGACATGTTGAGGCGAGGGGATGCTAACCATCTCGACATCATCCGGGCTGTTGGGTGCGTTCGGTGATCGCGGTTCTCCAGATTCGGCAGCGCGGGTGTGGATGGATTCATAGAGGTTCCGAGCGGTAGGTCCCCCGCCGCCGATCTCGCGCACGTTGCGCATGATTCTGTCGCGCATGGTTTCGTTCGGGCCTGCTGCGGCTTCGTTCACGCGGCGCCACCATGCTGGTTTACGCTGGATACCGAGTTCGGCGTCGAGAATTTGGCCGCGCTCGCGGCGCTGGCGGATTAGTTCGCGGTCTTCGTTTGGTGATGTCAATCCGTAGATTCCCTGGATGATAACAATAAGCAGCGCGGGCGCATAGCCGCCTGGGTAGATGGCTTCGGGCTTTCCCTTGACGTTGAGCGGACTCCAGGCAAAGTTCCAAGCTGCCATGGCTTGGAATAAGGGCACGATGAAGGCAAGCGGGATGATCAGCATGAAGCGAGTCGGCGTGAACTTGAAGAGGCCGATGGTGCGGTTGATGATGCCTCGGTTGCGCGGGCAGTAGTGTCTGATGGAGTGCCAGAGGGAGAAGACGGTGATGAGCCAGGTAGCGAAGAGGAAGAAGGGAGCGGACTTGAAGCGGTTGTCGGTAGCGGTGGGCTCGGCGTCGGTGATGATTTGTTCGGGGTAGCGCTGGTGTTCGATTTTGCCCCAGGATCGGGGGACGACGATGAAGAAGTTCTGCGGATAACAGTTAGATGTGAAACGGTAAGGTAGGACAAGATGGCTGCTATGACGTACCAACCACATGAACAAATATGCGAAGAGCGGGATTAAGAGCTCGACCCAGTATCGACGGCCTTCCTGGCGGAGGCGGAAGGGGTTCGGGTCGATAAACTGTCTTTCCATCCAACTGCCCCAGTGTCTTACTGCCTCCCATGTGCAAGCAATGGCACCTATCTGCATCAAATACCAAAAGAAGCTGGTAAGCACGATGGGAATCTCGGGTAAATAGTATCGGTCGACATCGATATTCGTAAACAGGCTGATCAAAGCGGTGGCGCAAGTAAAGAGGGCCCAGTACCATTGCCATCTGCGACCGATAGGATGGAATCGTTTCTCCGAGGGCAGGTGAAGCTTTCCATGTTTGTTCAAGGCGACCAGAGTCAAGACCAGACCAAGACCGAATGCGACGGCGAAACCTAGGCCGGTGCCGGCACGGGCGCCGATGGGGTAGACGGGATGCCAGCACTGTGTGGCATTGACAAAGGTACCGTTGGGGAAGATGAAGGCTGGCGCATAAGGTTCGAAACTAAGGTAACACTTTGTGCCGTTGGACAGGGTGCCGTTGGAGTATAGAGTGTAGTTCCAGTTCTCGAGGGTTGTGAGGTTGAAGTGGAGGCCGGAGAGGACCGTGTCGGACGAGTTGTCGCCGCCGGGCCAGGCAAGGATATCGCGGGCGCCGATGATGGTCATGTTCGCTGTCGCATGAGAGGAAAGTCTGGGGAAGATGGAGTCGCAGAGGAGTCGTGTAAATCGAAAGGTGGGATTAAAGGTTGGTAAGGCGGAAGAGTCGGATGTGGATCGGCGGGAGCTGGGGGAGGTGGTGACGGCGAAATTACTCGTACAATGCCCGTTCGTAGGGCGTGATGTAGATCTGGATCTTGTCTAGGGTCGGAAATGGAGATGAACTCGGAGGGAGGGTTGTCGTCGTCGGCCTCGAGAATCCAAGTTCTCAGGTCATTTTGGTACAAGGAGAAAGAGAGGAAGAAAAGTCGCCGAGTGAGGGAAAAGCAAGTAATTGACCAAGAACCGGTGACGGGTTCCGGATCGCGATCACGATTCGACCTTCATGCCCGTGGATGATTCGTCCATTTCTTTTTCTCAAAGCCAGGACAACTGGGGCTCTGCCGGGGCTTACCTAACAACATTAAGGCTGCTGGGGCCGTAAACAGGGGCACGTCTGTTAACGGCTTCGGAGACAATGTTCTCGATGACCTCACCAAGTGGAAGCCCCGAATGCGGGGGACGCCAATGGCGCTAGAAACGAAACAGCGGGGCCCCCTCCACTGCCGCTAGCCTCGGCGTTAGGTCCACTGTAGCTTTCAGGGGAAGGATCCAATTGGAACAGGCAACACCTGGCCGATCTCTCTCCTCCGTAAGGTTGTTTTGTCGGTCGGAGCTCAAGTCAACATCCGGACCCCATCCGATCCCTCTCCGTCTTCAGACCCGGCGCATTTTCACAACCACACATACCGACACACACGACAGCCGCCAAAATGAGTGTCGCCAACGACGATGAACCGTCCTACATCGACTACGAGACCTTTCTCGACCCAGGGTTCAGCCCCGCCGCCTTCGCAAACACGCTCGTGCTCGCGACCAACAACCCCAACGATGCGCCCCTCGACCTCTCAACACCCCTATCACGCGTCCTCTTCGACATGCAGGAGATCGACTCCCATATTGACGTCCTAACCACCCGATCTGCGATCCCACTCCTCACACACACCAAAGAACAGACCGACGCCAGCGGGCGCATCATCGGCGAACTCGACACCCAGATCAAGGCCCTAAACGACAGCTACAAACAGCTCGAAAAGGAGGTCATCCAGAAACATGCCGAAGCCGAAGAAGTTCGTCTTGTGGCCTCTCGTCTCTGGGAAACCCTCAAGCTGGGCCGAGCAGTCGGTCGTGCTCTCCAACTTGGTCGCCAGCTCCAAGTCCAACACGCCGAATTGACCGGGTCTGCCTCGACAACCGTCACCACCTCCTCCGCCAGCCTGCGCAGCAAGGAAGACCACCGCGCCCTGGTCCGATGCGCCCACACATTGCTCTCCCTCCGTGAGCTCTTCTCGACCGCCAACGTCCCCGGCTCCGAAGGTTACGGCATCGAGCGCGTCGCCGTCATCCGCACCCTCCGCGACAACATCTACCTCCCCACCGAACGGTCCGTCCGCGAATCCGCCGAGCGCATCATCCGCGAGTTTTCCATGGGGTCCGCATCGGGCACCTTGACCTTTGCCCAATCCGAAGAAACCCGGGCGCGAACCGTCTCGGGCCTGACAACGCTCTACCTCTTGTCGCCAACCACCCTCGCTAAGAACGAAAAGTGGTCTCCAACCTTGATGCTCCAATCCCTCGAATCCTACCTCCGCACCGCTCTACAATCCTCCACCGCGTCTCTCTCCCGCGCCTTGGCCACGCTGCCCTCACTAGAACGCACACTAGCAGACGTAACAGCCCGCTGCCAAAACGTCGTCGCCCTCGAGGCCGTGCTAGAAGCAACCAAGATCCCCTCTCACCCCTTGGTCCAGGGGCAACAGGCCACAACCAAGACAGGCGGAAACATGCTTCAACCTCTGCTGGCGTATTTGGAAACCGGATCGCTGGCGAGTTACTTCTGGAGAACGATGGCGAGCAGTCTGGCGCCGAGGGTGCAGGAGATTATGAATAAGGGAGGGGTGTCGGCGAGGACGCTGAGGACGAATAGGCAGAATGTTGGGGAGGCGATTAGGGAGTGTGTGGTGAAGGGGTGTGTGTTGCCTAGTGCGGTGGCGGGGGCGGCGGCTGGGGATAGGGGGAGGGCTGATGAGGTGAAGGATGGGGAGAGGGCAGGACGGTGGGAGAGGGAGGTTGCTGTTATGGTGGGGAGTGTTGTTAATAATATTGGGAGGTAGACTGTGTTGGATGAGGGTCTGTTTCAGTTGAAGAAAATCCGCATCGCGCTGCCGGTTTATACAACATGTTTCCTCTGGACCAAATACGGTGATCGAATGATTCCGATACCTCTGGGTACATCCACCGTCTCGTCGGCTTCACTTTGAAGTGCTTTGGATGAACCTTGGATGGACAACGTCAACTCGGTGCCTTCCTTTCATGCCGCACCAACCTCCATGCCTTCACAAGAGTCATGATCTTTCATCTCTTTCACATCGGATTAACGATTAAGAGATTACACATTCACCAGAACCTTGAGGCCTTGTTTGCTTTCTGGCACCCCATAGCACTCTCGTCATTGGCCCTTTTTAGCAGTATATCTTGCCTTCCTCGTCGTCCTCACTCCCTTTCGTCAACTTCCAACCCCCTCCTGGCCAGTCAAAAGGCCTCAACATCTGCCCCAAATACCATCATCCGATCATATTTACCCCCCGCGACGTATTGCAAACGCTTTTGATGAGTTCAGAAACTCTCAGGTTGCTCCACCACCTCGACTTATCTTTTGGCCACGTATAAGATCTCGTCTCTCGACCCCAATCGCATCTTCTCCAGACCTTCTCCCTCGTCCTCCACGCTTCTTTCGCCTCCATCACGCCCTGGTCTTGGTCTTCCACGAAGAAGACTCACACGATCTTCCATTATTATCCTTCTCTCACAGGTATATATCACCCCCAAGACTCACATTCCTTTCCTTTCTTACCTTCACCTCTCCTCCTCTCCCAGTTCCCTCATCTTCCAGTCATTTCTCCCTCCTTCACGTCTTCAGTTGAAACTTCAAAATGCCCCTCCCATCCGACAAAACGCAAGTCACCCTACACTCAACATCGACTAACCCGTGTCCAGGTCCAGGAGCGTTCATCCTGAACCCACGCTTCTCGATCTTCACCGGCTCTTTTTCCGCGGTACCGCCACCAAGAAACGGCAACATGGATCCCAACAGGCCCCTCGGCATCAAGCGCGAGCCTGACGAGCCTCCCAAGATCACGACCATTCCTCAGGCTACACCCCAAGCTACACCCGCAACCGAATATGCTACTACAACTGCAAGCTTTGCCGCTGGCGATAGCATCACCGTGGCCACTACACCCACAACCACAAAAGCAACCCCAGCCAAGAAAGCCGCTGCCACCCCCCGGAAGCCCGCTGCTAAGAAGACAGCGGCTGTCAAGACACCTGCTGTTCCGAAGGCTGCTGCTGCTAAGGCTACTGTGAAAGCTACTCTCAAGACCACTGCCAAAGCCACACCCAAATCTGCCGCGAAAGCCACTCCCAACACCAACACCGCAGCCGGAGCCGGAATAACTCCCACCACCACCGCTCGCTCAACCGGTACCGGTGCCGGTGCCGCTACCGGCCGTCCTCGCGGCCGTCCTAGGAAGAACGCAACAAGTAACGCCGCCACCACCGCCGCGGCCACCAACATACCTCTAAACGCCAGCGCCAGCGCCAACAAAAACACCACCACAGGCAACGCAGCGAGCAGCTCCTCCCCGCTTTCAGCGGCAGCGGCGGCATCATCTTCTTCTCCCATTCCCATCATTGTAGCTACCGCTAACCGCCCTGCCCCTGGTCCCGCTGCAGCTACTCGCCAGCCGCCTACCAACAATAGAGGCGGCAGAGGTGGTTCTGCGACTGCGGCTTCGTCGTCGACTACAACACCCGCTAAACGCACCGCTAGTTCTAGTCGCAGCAGCGCTGATGCTGTTGCTGATGGTACTGGTAGAGCCAATAAGCAGCGGAAGCTTGCGGGAGGGGCTTCAACAGCAGCTTCAACAGCAGCTTCTAAACCTGCGGGACCTCCGGGACCTCCGGTGGGACCGGCAAAGCCATCGGGACATGGACCTTCAGCAGCGGCGGCGGGGGCTGCGGGAACGGGAACGGCTTCGGGAACAGCGGCTGCGGGAACGGCTTCGGGAACGACAACGGCTGGGGTGAAGAAAGGTGGTTCCTGGAGTGTGGATGGGCAGGAGATTAATCGGAGGCATAAGGAGAATGATTTGCAGTATGTTTTTCCCTTTCTTTTGCTTTTTCTTTGCTTTTGCTTTTCCTTTCCTTTTGCTTTTCCTTTCCTTTTGCTTTTCCCTTCCTGCACTTTTTGCTGTTTTTGTGTGCAGTGCGGTATGAGAAATTGGAAAACGGCCGGGGGAAATATGGAATGAGTGAGTTAGTGGCTAACGACACGACGTGAAAACAGTTTACTCGAAACAGGCGAGTTCTCGGATGCCACCATCATTTGTCTCAAGAAGAAGTGGAAGGTGCATAAGATGAGATTGAGCACGCGCAGCGCTTGGTTTAGGGAGGCTTTCGCTGGTAGTGATGGGGTGAGTTACCTTATCTGTGTGAATGAATCTGGAAGATGTTGGTTGGGATGGTGTTGTGTTGAAAAGAATGGAAGCTGACAAACAAACTTGGGCGTTGTTGAACAGACGGGCCAAATCAGCGAGATCAACCTCCACGAGCAAAACGCTGATGACATCGAGACTATGCTGAGGTTTATGTATGCTGATTGTAAGTTCTTCCCTCCCTCTTCTTCCCCGCCATTCCTACCCTTCCCCATTCCTTTCCCCATTTCCATTTCACGCCACCACTAACATATCCCACAGCCCTCGACGACAACCTAACCCACCCCTCCTCCCTCCCCACCCCCATCACCACCTACGTAACCCTCTACAACCTAGGCCACACCTTCCGCATCCCGCTCCTCTGCCGCGACAGTCTCACCCTCCTCGGTCAATACCTCGACACCAAGCTCCTCCTCCTCTGCACCTATTCCGTCCCGGCCTCCGGCCGCTCCGGCGTAATCGACCACTCCGACCCCCTCTTATCCCCCTCTGCCTACGCCACCGACCTCTTTTCCGCAATCTTCACCGCCTACTCCGGCGTCAACCAGTCAACCAAACTCCACTCCCTCCTCGCCTCCTTCCTCTGGGCCGGCCGCGACCGGCTCTTCCGCCTCCCTGGCTTGCGCGCACTAGTCGACCAGTGTCCAATGCTAGGCACCGACGTCTTCAAACTTTTACTAGGAGACAACTCCTCTAGTTTCATCCCGCCGACAACCATCAAACTCACTAATCTACCAGGCGGCTCCGACATCGACGAGCTTAAAGCGAAACACTTCGGTCCTACCTGCTCTCGCTTAGACCACACCCGCAAGACGCAGCATCCTGATCGGTGTGAGTGCTGTGACGAGGTGTTTGATGATGAGAGGTGGGCGAAGCGGGTGTTTAATCCGTTCAAGGTGGTGGTGCGGCCGGCGGCGTGGTGTAGGAGGTGTGTGGAGGGGAAGAAGAATCCGAATGCGCCGGAGAGAGGGGGTGGGTGGAGGGGGGGGATTGGGGGGCGGTTTGAGTTGGGGGTTGGGAGTGGGCAGGGGCCGGTGAATTTGGTTGGTGATCGTGGTGATGGGAATGGGGAGGGTGGAAATGGGGGAGAGGGTGGGGAGAGAAGGAAGGGGCCACTGGAGGACGTGGTGCCGATGTGGAGGTTGAGGGTGGGTGGGGATGATGAGTGATTGAGGTTGGGGGTGGGATGTGAGGAGGGGGAGGGGGAGGAGGAGGAAGGTGAAAGTGGTAATGGGAGGGGGAGGTTTTGATGGATGGATGGATGGATGGATGGATCGGGATGGTATTGCTTCTCTTCAGAAAGTCGATGGACTTGAGGATTCCCCGAGATCGTGAACGCGTTTCTTTTTACAATTGGTACCAGATTGGTGTACGAGTGTCGACATCTAGATAGGCACTGGGTGCGTTGAGAGACGGTTGATAGTATGAGGATCAGGTCGCGTTGCGTTACGTTTTCGTTTAGTCTAGGAGATCAGAGAGATCTCCTAAAGTTCTAGCATCAAGAGCCTAAGATGACAGGACCCATGTTTGAGGCCAAAAGAGCAATAGAAAGCAGTGTTTCCAAGCCTCTTGGTTGATGGTGGTTGGTTTGTGAAATCCATGAGAAAGAGCGAAGTGGAAGCGATAAGTCAGGCAGGCAGAGGCAGGTGCCGCCCTCGGCCGCCCTCAGTCGTCTTCCTATCCCAACTGTGACGGAAGGAACTCGTGCCCCACCATGGTCTTCACTCCATTCTTTTGGGATTTCGAAGTTGGTTCTTCTATGATGTCGGAAGGTGCATCCTGGTCAGATTTTCCATCATCGTGGTCTTTGGACTTGGCTTGGCAACCAGGAAGTTATTTCTCTTTTCTCAACCAACCAAGCCAACAGTCAAACCTCAACATTCCCCACCAACCAAGTTCGCTTCATCTCACTTCTGATTTCTGAACTTCTCTTCTTCCAACTTACACCAATCAACCACAGGTTACCTACAGCCCACTATCCATCTCCCTGAACGACGCGCGGAAACACCAACTGTCAGGCTACCAACGCAATTCCACGCGTCGGAAGACTGAGTCTTAAAAGGTACACCTGTTGGAAGGCCGTACCCTGGGCGCCCATTCACTGCCCTGGGCTTCCCATTCACTGCCCTGGTTTCCATTTCTTCGTCGCCTTTCCACCGCCGTCAATAGTCGCCCATCCTTCCAACACATAGGCTTCTGGTCTGCTTTCGCTCAGTTGTCTTGGGGTCCGGCCCCCCTCATAGGTCGGATTGGGCAGTGTCGAACAGCTGCTAATGATTACTACTATGATTTACACAGCGGAAAAAAACGACATTCTTTTAGGCTTTCTCTTTTCCCCTTTTCCACTTTGTTCACCCTCCCTCTTCCTTTCCTTTCCACCTCCCACATCACCAGTTATTCCCTCTCACGCTCCGTCTCCTTCCAACACTCCCAACGGCCAGCTAATCCACCCCCGATGTTCCTCGTCCAAGATATCCTTCGCTCTCAAAATCAAATGGTCTCCCCATCCTTGCAACCACCACTGTCGCTCATGGTGCTTGAGCAAGATGCCAAAGTGCGCAAAGATTGCGACGGCTTCTTGGGTTGGGATTTTCAAGAGGGGAACGAGCGAGTCGGAGACGGCCCAGAGCCAGAGCATTGCGTCTAGGACGTCACCTCCTTGTGTATTTGGGTTGGGATTATTGGGGTTGGAGGAGTCGTCGGCGGCGCATGTGGTGAGGTTTGGGGCGGTTGTGGTGATGGTGTTGGGTGAGGACGTGGCCGTGGATGTGGGGGAGGTGGGAGAAGAAGATGTCAGGTGCGTGAGCGACAGTTCCAGTTCGTCGATGGCGAAAAGGTAAGTCTGAAGGTGAGGGTTGGTGGTGTCTCTGCTGATGAGCTCGCGGAGATGAGACAGCGGTCCGACGGGCTTCGGTATCCCACTCCTCCCATTTTCAGTCACTCTTTTCTGTTCGGTTGGCGTACAGGCAAATGGTGTCGGTGTCCCAGTCTTCGACGGTGCGGCACTGGAGGAACATGAAGTTGACGACTCGCCCCTCGCCTCCTTCCACCTCCTCCCTCCATACGCCAGGAACGGCTTCAGAAACTCTCGATGCGCTTCATTGTTCATAATAAAGTTGCTGAGCGACTTGGGGCCGTTGACTAGGAAGGCCCAATCGGGGAAGTTAAGTCCTTTTGAGGGTTCTCCTCCGACCGTTGCCACTCCTGCTCTAGCACCAGACCCCCTGCCCGATCCAGGCCACGCCTCCCCTTCCACCTCCCCACGAGGCCTATCCAAAACATATACCCTCCCATCCCCCCTTCTCCCCCTCGGGCTCGCCAGCGCCACATAAATGGTCAAATTCGCAAACAGATACAAGCCGAGCTCATCCTCCTCCTTTTCTATCACAGGTAACATCCTCCTCATTGCCTCTCTGGTCGCCTTTTGATGCAAGAGGATGCCCTGAGCGGTGTAGAAATCCCGTTTCTGGGGGCATGATTGCTGGAAGGCCAAGTGCAGGGCGGAGACGGAGAGGAGGACGCGTAGGAGGTAGGAGGAAGATGGGGATGATGAGGAGAGGGAGAAGGCGAGGTTGACGACGGAGGTGCGCCAGAAGTTGGCGACGGTGGGGTCGGTGGTTAGGGTTAGGTAGGTGGAGGAGGTGAAGTTGTGGAGGAGGAGGAGGTGGAGCGTTGGAAGGGGGTCGTCGTCATTGTTTTCAATTGGGTTGTTAACGCCTGAAATGGGGTGATAGCTGGGGTTGGTGGGAATGCTCGGTGGTGGTGGTGATGGTTGTCGTGGTGGTGACACCGGTGATGGTGATTGGAACTGGGACTGGGTGACCGGACTTGCTGTTTGAGACTGTGGCCTGGGTCTAGGCGGCAGGTTGGCTTTCATCGACAGGAACGGGCATTGCAGCCCGTGGGAGATGCAATTGATGCATGAAGGGTGATGCTCGTCGCACTGAAGACTGTCAATTTGGTGTCATCCCGTGAAAAGGGGTGATTCATACCTTGATCTTCCGGGCCTTACACGCCGTACAACCCGTTCGACTCTTTCGATGTGCACGCCGTATCGGACCAATCGCAGACGGCGAGTCCGTCATTTTGGGTATGTGAGGGTGGGTCAACTTGTAAGTCGTCTGAATCGCCTAATCTTTCACCAAGATGACATATGTGTGATTGCATTCAGATGAAGTCGCATAACAATCATCTTGCTGCTGATCAGACAGTTTGACAGTCCAAAGTCTCAGCGATGGTCCGATGAAGCTGCTGATGACAAAGCAAGTCACAGCTGAGCTCGCTTGTTGCAAGCCGTGCAAGCCCCAACGGCAAACAGGCTATCAGTGCACGGCAATTTGCGTAGGGCTGAAGTTGAGCTGCCACTGTGCTGCTGGACGCAACCAACGGGCAAAAGCTTCTAGAAGACCGCTAGAAACAGCCACAGGACACGGTTGGATCATCCTCCGGCAATTAGGTTATCATCCTCGCGAGACCGACACGTCTGAAATGATTACGAAATGGTGCCGGTCTTCGGCTTTTTCGTACCTCTAATGAAGGACTCTGTTGGGCAACGGTGGTGGAAAATGACAACCAACAACCAGGACCTCCAACTTCTTTGATGTGGGGATCACCAATGCTCACCCCTCCTAGTGGCGTGGCCCTATTCGCATGCGGACAGTTTCTACCAATCGGCATCCTTTCTATCCGACGCATCCACCAGACAAGCGTGGTCCTAAAGACGGGGACCTTCCCTGAAAGAGTCAGGAACGGTGGAACCGCCCTTGCCGCCGCATCCAAGACTCCTCTCCAGTGATGTCCAATACGCGGAAGACGAGGAATGTTTATAAGAAGAAAGATACCGCGAGTCCGGGTTGGCAAATCACAGCACTCCTTGAGCTACTGGGAATGGGGACATTACACTGTACCGCTTTCAGAAGAGGCGGCTGAGTCTGACGGATCACTCCCGGATAACTTTTTGCCCGGACGTTGGGTCTAGCTTCGTTGGAACTGGGCGATTGGTTTTGAGTTTTTGGGAGAGGAGATTAAAACCGAAGCCGTTCCCTTCCTTTTTCTCTCGACCCTTCTCTTTTCGGGATTTCCTCTGTGGGCTTTTTCAACCTGCATTCTTTTTGGGGTTGGATAACATCGACGAAACGAAAACATCATTCGGGATCAATCGAGCGCACAACCCGACACCTTCGGTCGCCAGTCCCGACGCATTCGGTCTCCACCCACCCGGCGCCGATTGCCTTTTCGTCTCCACTTCTTCGTTCCGGACCCCGATCTGATTCCGATTACACCTCCGGATCACCACCGTCCTCACATACATAATCGATCGCAAACACGACCGACACAATGTCTACAACAGCTTCGGCCGGCCTACCGGCCTCCACATCCCAATTCCACCCGGGTTACGATACCTGCACCAAAGTAACGGCTATCTGCCGAGTCGAGTACACCACGCTCGGTTACTATCCCAACGAGGGCGTCAACATCTTCCTGGCGATCGGGTTCGGTCTGTGTGCGATTTTAACACTTGGTATCGGTATCTGGAAGAGAACGTGGGGATACTCGATTGCTATTACGGCGGGGTGTATTTTGGAGTGTGCTGGTATGTCCCCGGTCCCGCGGTCTCAGCATTGAGCCATTGATCCATTCCCCTAATCACCTTGCCCAATTCCGATACCTTTTTCTCACCTCCGGAGCCCTTTTGTTTTCCTTTCCCTATCTCCTATCTATGCCTTCCTATCCTCAACACTCTCATCCTTTTGCACACAAATGCTAACAACCCCCCTCCACAAACAGGCTACGCAGCCCGCGCCGTCCTCTCCCAGAACCCCTGGCAGGCTTCCGCCTTCAAAACCCAAATAGTCTCCATCATCCTCGGCCCAACCCTCATCTGCATCGGCCTCTACCTGACTTTAAAACACATAATCTCCACTCTCTCCCCTTCCTTATCCCCCTTCCGCCCCAAATTCTACCCTTTATTCTTCGTCCCCGCCGACGTTTCTTGTCTCGTAATCCAAGCCATAGGTGGCGGCATCGCCGCCGCCGCCGGCAAAGACAATTACTCGCTGCTGCAGCAGGGCAACAGGGTGATCATCGCTGGTATCGTTCTGCAGGTCGTCGTCCTGGCCACCTTCGGTATTTTGTCAGCCATTTTTTTGCTTCGCGCCAAGAAGCATTTTAGGAGTTTTCCCGAGGGTGAAGAGACGCAGGAAAAACAGACCTGGACCGATAAGAAAACGAAGATGTTCCTCTGGGCCATGGCCGGTGCTTATTCCGCGCTGTTGATCCGGTGTATTTACAGAATTGCGGAGATGGCGGGGGGTTGGGGAAACGAGATCATGCAGGATGAGCCGAGCTTTGTGGTGCTGGAGAGCTTTATGGTGTTGATTGCTTGTGTGCTGTTTACGGGGTTTGCGCCGGGGGTGTGGTTTCCTTGGATGAGTCATTCCGAGAAAGTTAATCCTAGGTTGAGGGCGGAGAGGGAGGGTGGTGGTGGACAGCAGGGACACGAAATGGGGGAGACGAGTTCGGGGAATGAAAAGGTTGTTGGTGTGTAAAGGGGGGACGAAGGTTAAATATTCTGGTGTGTACGGTAGGAGAACGAAGGGATGATGTGATGGGATGTGGGATGGTCCTTTTCTTTCTTGGTTTAGATCTTGGATATCACTTAGAAGCGTGCGCTATCTCTTTGGTGCATTGACGGTATCGACGGCAATGGCAGTTCTTGCATGAACTAGCTACCTCGAGTCACGAGAGCATGCGGTAGAAATATTATGACCATTATATCCCATCAACGCCAAAAGCATCATAAACATTATCAGCGATACAGCCATACCGATCTTTGATAGCTCATTAGAAAACCCCCTGATAACTCATGCCTTCCAAACGACCATATCATATCATGAACTCATTTCAATTCCTCCTTCTCCTCGGTGATGACTTAAGCAGCAGCAGCAACCTGCTCCTTCTCACCCGCCTCATCAGCAGGCGCCAGACCCGCCTTGGCCGGTCCACTAACGCAAATACCCTCCTTAGAGAAGCGAGAACCATGCACCGGGCAATCGAAGCTCTTCTCGACATGGTTCCAGCACACGACGCCCTTGAGATGGGGGCAGAGAGCGCTGAACTGCTTGACGTTACCGTTCTCGTCCTTGTACACGGCGACGGGCTTCTGAGTGGCCTGTTTTTTTTCTTTCGTCAGCATCATTGTCGGCTCAAAAAGAAGGGAGAAAATGGCGAAACATACCTTGTTCAAAACACCACCACACCCCCTAGGCAAGTCCTCAATATCCTGAATATCCGTCTGCAAAAACCGCTTATACTGCGCATTAATCTGCAAATCATGGCCGACCATGCTCGGCAGGGACTTCAAGATGCTCGCCACGCGCTTGGGACTGTACAGATCCGCCCACGGGTTCTTGACACCCTCAATCTCATCCGCCAACAACCTGCCCGCCAAAACACCATGCGTCAAGCCATCGCCCGAGTCACCAGTGACTATGTAAATCTTATCGTTGCCCTGGTTCTTGCCGATAAAACCCACGTAATCAACCGGCTCAAAGATCTGTCCACTCCACTTATAGTCTGTGCTTTTTGTTTGAGGGAAGCGGCTCCTCGTCCACTTCTCCAGCTCGCCAAAGCGGGACGTGGTCTCCTCCTGGCCGACCTTATGATCACAGCCGCCGACGACGAGGTAATCGTCGTTCTCGTCGCACGCGGTCAGGCGGACGTACTTGTACTCTTCCGCGTTGTCGTACAGCAGACAGTCCTCGACGGACCCCTTGGGCACGCGCACGGCGATGCAGTAGGTGCGGTAGAACTCGAGCTGGGTGATCACCGACAGCTTCTGGAGCGGGACGCAGGTGGCTTCGATGGCGTTCTCGGCTTTGATGGTGTGGCCGTTTTCCGTCTGGATCTCGACCGTCTTGTGGCCCATTCCCAAAAGCTCGATGCCTTTTTCCTTGATGTCCATGACGCGGGTGCGGGCGTAGCAGTGGAAGTTGGGCTGGGTCTGGAGCCAGTTGAGCACGCCGACGAGGTACTTGGTCGGGTGGAAGGTGGCTTGGTTGTCGGCGACCATGCCGCCGCGTTGGTCGATGGAGGAGGTCCAGCCGCGGACTGTTAGGTTGGGCTGTTTCATTTTCTCGGTTAGTATCGACCTGGCTGGAAGGGATACCTGGGAAAGGGGACTCACATCAAACCTCGTCTCCATCCCAATCTTCCTCTGAAACTCGGCTTCCTCCTTCAACTCCTGCAACTCATCATCGTGCTTCTTCTCGCCCACGGGGAACTGGCTGATATCGTACGCCGGCAACCTGCGATACTCGCATTCAATGTTCAACTCCTTGGCAATCTCACCAATCCTATCTCTCGCCCACGCATGGCTAGCAGCCGCCTGCTTCGCGCCCTCCTCGCCGTGCTTCTTGGCGATCTCGACAAAGCCGTCGTCTAGATCGTTGGTCAAGTGGCCCGAGGTGCGACCCGTCTCGCCAGACAGCACGTTGCGGGCCTCGATGAGAGTGACTTGCTTGCCCCGCCTGACGAGCTCGTAGGCGGTGGAAATGCCAGCGATACCGGCGCCGATGATTGCGATGTCGGTTTCGAGGTCTTTGTCGAGGGATGGGAATTCGGGAATCTTGGACCAGGGCAGCTTGTGCGTCCAGACGGGGTCGGTGGAGCCGGAGGATTGCATTGCTCGGTAGGGTTGGGTGTTGGGTTGGGTCATGGTTGCGAAGGTTTGTCTGTGGTAGCTTGAGAGTCAGTATACCGTCGAGTCCAGTCAGGTAGGTAGACAGGTGCTAGTGGAAGTGAACAAAGACGAAAGACATACCTAGGAGTAACAGCCTGTACTTGAGAAAGTGCCTTATAACGAGAGGCAGTTGTGCGAGTCTGAGGAGCGGACGGTTGTTGTGTTTGGGTGATGATGGTGCGGGTAGAAGTTCCCCTCAACTTATAAGAGAAGGGGGTTGCTGCGGTGACGTCACGAGTCGCAGAGAGTGCGGAAATGCGACCAGACACGGCGTTTTGGGTTAAAAGTCGGGTTGTTTGTCTCTGGCAAGCTGATGCGAGAATAGCCATTTCTTAGTTTTTCGAAAGGGAAGAGAAGAAATCGGGAATCTCTGGCGTCGTTGATGTTGGCAATGCACGGGGAAAGAAAGTAAACAAACGGGATATGGTGATGAGGAAGGGGAGGAAGGAAGCACCTTGCCGAGCCTTTTTCTGCAGGGTGAAAGGAAAGCTGCAATTGGCCTGCGGAATGTTTCGTCCGATTTCAATATTGCGGTCCTGATCGGTTGATCGCTTTGTTTACACCTTGATGGTCATGACGACATTGTGTTGACCATCAAAGGGGGGAAACTGGGGCAGCGGACATGGCGTGCACGGATCATTTCACTTGTACACTATGTACAGCATGCCTGGCAAGGCGTCTGGAGGAAGACACCGCCAACACTCAAGACAATCCTGTTTCGGATGGAGATCTTGGGGAAATATAAATGATGTGTATGACAATGAATGATTCATGTTTTTTGACTGCATCCCACTGACTGTTGCTGAAGTCGAACATGAAGCATTGTGGTGTTGTTGTGTAGGGACAGCAGGGCTCTAGCACGAGTCAAACCCTAACCCGGCCAACCACGAGCTGTCCCGGCTGTTTGTTTCCCGTTTGTGTCTTGGGATGACGAGGACATCGTTTCCTTCCATCTCAGCATCCCAGTCCTGCTTCCGACACACTGAACCCCAACCCTGGGTCGGCAACACACTTCCCCTCCGGCACAGACCAACCCCTCCCCTCTTCCTTTACTCTTCCCATCAACACCAATAACCCCCCATCACGACCCATTAACCCTCATCCCAAAAACCTCCCTCTCAACCCTCCACCTCTTCGCCTCTTTTCCCCTTCCCAGCAACTCGACCTCCTCAGGACTAACATCCTCCCTCTTCTTCCCCACCCAAACCACCACCCCGCTCTCCTCATCATCCTCCTTCCCACAAACAACCCTAACCCCCACCTTCCCCTCCTCCGCCAACTCTAAGAGTTTGTCTCCATCAACAATCGGCTCCCTCATCACCACCTCCTGGCTCCGTGCCTCTCCAGGGCCCAAAGTGACCAGCGCGTCCTCGGGAGGAGGCATGGCGCGCTTGATCATGAGCTTAGGGAAGTCGATCTTGTTGGAAGAGTTGGAGGGGGAGGAGATGTGGATGAGGCCGAGTTGGAGGGCCAGAGGGTCGAGGGGGGAGGACCAGGTTAGCAGGGTGATGGGGACGTCTGGGGAGGTGTTGGCGAGGGTTAGGAGGAGGGTTGGGGGGGCAGCGGTGGCGTTTGGCTGGGAGATGGTTAGGGAGAGGGGAATGGGGGACTGGGAAGACATCTTGGGGGGTGGTGTTCGGTGAGAAGCTGGGAAGCGTTGAGGGGTGCGGTGGTTGACGGTGGAAGTCGACGGCGGAAGTCGACAAAGACACAGCAGGTGGACTGGAAATCGAGGGTGACGGTTGAAGCCGAGCTTGAGCGGGACTCGGCGCTGTCCGACGCGCTTGACGAAGAGTGTTTGCTTTCTTGCTGAATGCTGACGATGCGATAGGCCGCTGTCTGGTCTCTGGCCCAAGGTCCGAAAGAAACCGGCGATGTTGACCGATCAAATCGTGAGTTGACTGAAAAAGAACCGATGTTGCACTGTTGACCTTTCGTTATCAGCAAATATAGGATAAAGCAAGCGAATCGAGCGTCACTTACCTCGGCATTCAGAAGCTATCTGGCGACGATTGGAAGGTGATACAGCGCGGGGTCGACAATACTGCAGCACTCGGAGACTTTCGAAAAACAGGGAGGAATTGAGATGCCGGTTCAAAGACGATGTCAAGTCGAAAGATGCTACACAGCAGCCAATCGGCTTTCATACCAGTCCGACGTCCCTTTCGGTCAAGGATCTGCCTTGGCGCCACCTGCCTCAACTGACAGGACGCTTGAAGATATCTTCATGCACGTCAATGACCAAGGTAGAGAACCGGCTCCATCATCACTGTAACCCCGGCACCGCCCACCCGAATGGCCCAGCCGATGCTATCCCCACCTTCCCTTCTGGCTCTACCGCTAATTCTCATTCAAGTCGGATTTATCCCCCCCTGCCCCGCTAGACCCATCAAAGTATAGCCGGGCCGCCAATCCCACTTAAACCCACTTTTTAACCCTGTCAGCCACTTATAGACTCCCCTACCAACCGTGTGCCCCATGCCAGTAATCTTATAGAATTTCGCCCAGCCTCCCTACCTTTTTCCCCTCCCCTCCTCCTTCCTTAAATAATAACCTTTTTAGAATTTAATTCGTATATTTTAACCGCTATTATTACTATAATTAATTAAATAACACTAAAACTATCGATCGTGATATAGTCTTTTATTAAAGAAATAAGTATTAAATTTAACGATGTGTTCAAGTTTACTACTATTAAAATTCCTATTGGGGGGTTTATTATTATTATTATTAAAAACCCGACCGATCCTAAAGTAAATTTCATTTTGAATCTCAATTTAATAATTCATATTATTACCCTATATCATTATTACCTCTAACTATATTTTATTAAATAGTTTCTCTACCTACCCTACTAAATATATAAACTTTATAATCGGTATTAGAAATCACCGTCTTTAATTGTTGTTTATATTAAAATTTATTATTACAAGTCTTCCTCCATCAACCTCTTTTTCTTTTAATATATCTTGTTTATTAATAATAATTAATACTTCGTTTACCGAACCCAGCCTTTTCTACACTAAGTTAATTAAACTCTAGAAATTAAATAAATTAATTAAAATATTAACTAAGCAATATAATAATAAAGAATATATTTACCTACCTAAAGTTAAAAGGATTAATAACTGACGGTTACAAAGAATTTAGATTAAAATCTTCGATTTCCTTTTATATTATTTCGTTAATACCCCTATTTATAATACTATTTATCGACGACCCTATACTTAAATAAATATTTTAAAATTCGATACCGCTTAATTTAACCGCCGGCTATTACTACTAAGAAAAATTTAACTAACGTATTCAATTATTATAAATTAATTTAATATCCTTAAATTTACTATTAGTAATTAGTAGGCTAAGAAGGATAATAATATTTTCGGGAAAGAATATACTTTCCAGCTTCATTTCCTAAACGTAGAAAAGAAATTATTTAATAATTTCTTTTGAAAATAAAAAAAAAACAATTTAATACATATTAGCTAATTTAAATTGAAATTTAAATACTTCTTTTATTAATTTATTCGGTAAGCTTATATAGAATTTCGCTTTTCGACTAATTAATTTAAAGGGTTTATAAGGTGGTATAATATTATTATTCGACGAATAACCTACTAATTATTAAAATTACTAAAGGATTACCTTCGTTTTATAATTAAATTCCTTAAATTCGTACGTAGGAATATTAACCACCTTATAATTAAATAATTTAACCGTATATTAAATAATACCCCGCCTACCCCCCATAAAATATATAGTTTTTACCTTTCTTACTTCCTTATTTAATTTTCTATTAATTAATTCCCCTTCTTTTTAATAAATAATTAAGAATTTTATTATTAACTTCGACGAAACTCCCGTACCTTTTAAATTCCTTAATAGCGCTATATATAATATTAGAAGTAATAATATTATTATAAGTAAAACTGATCGAAGTAGATAGAATAAATACTAAATTACCTTTATTGTATATATTTTTATAAATAGAATATAACGGTTAAAACTTAAGCTTATTTTTAAAGCTATATTTAATATCAATAAGCGAAAAATTCTAAAAAGTAGATTGAATTATTTATTTTATTATTTTTTATTCTTTTCATTTTTTATATCCTCTTATTTATATTTATTTCCTATTTATATTTATTTCCTTCTTCTACCCCCTAAATTATACTTCTAAGTTATAAGTCGTATATAAAATTAAAACTAATAGAAAGTAACAATACTATATTAATCCCACTACCTGCGGGCAAATAAGTAATTATCAGGATTGAGGCGGGTAAATAAATATAATACTATATACTATAAACCTAAAAATTTCCCTTCCTTTTATCTTTTTTCCCTTTTTTCTTTCTTTTTTCCTATTATTAGTATAATTATTAATTTGGAATAACACTTTAACCCGACGGAAAAGTAAACTAATACCGTATCCTCTACCTATTGCCTACAAGTAAATAAATTATAATATAAGTAGACGTAGGTAGATAGTATATTCCTTACTTAATTATAAGAAAAAAAAAAGAAAAAAGGAAGGAAGTAGAAATCTTTATTTAACCTATCTCTTCTATTTTATTATTAACCCCCTTCATTTGTTTAAATAAAACCAATTAATATAATTAAGTTATACCGTTCGAATTTAACGTAATAGTTCATAATAATAAAAGGTTAATAATTAAATAGATTTATAAAGAATTATTTAAAAAGGTAAATATTAATAACGATAAGGCCTTCTTAATTTACAAATACAGCTAGCTTTTATAAAATAAAGAACGTATTTAATACCCTAAATAAATATAATATTATAACCCCTCAATACCTATATTAATAAATCGATTAAGGCCTACCTCTTCGATAAATATTAATAATATATTGAAAAAATAGAAATTATTAATAAGGAATTCGATAAATAGACTCCCGGTTAAAAAAGGATTATACTAATATATTTTATCATACAGGCAATCAACCGGCTAAAAATAGAAAATCCTAACTTAGTAACTAAGTCTTTTATAGATTGTAATATTTCTATACACCCTAACGGTTTAAAAAACTATAAAATTAATATTAAGGGTATTAATTGGAAGGATATTGATTTTACTAAGTTTCGATATATTAATAATTTTAAAATTGTTAATATAGTCTATTTAGAATTTAATAAAAGAATTACCGTCAACGAATTAAATATAAATTATTGAGAAATAAATATTAATACCTTTAAAGCTTTCTATAAATAATAACGAATTTTTAAATATAATAAATTTAAATAGGTTAAATTCGTCGCCAAACTCTTTGAATTTAAGAATACGGCAATTATTAAAGCTAGTATTAGGATTAATAATTTAATTCTAAATATTAAAAATAAGGAGGAGGAGGGAAATTCAATGGTAACGATTTTACTCAATTAATCCTCGTCTTTATCTTTAATAATAATAAATTCTTTTATTTATATAAATACCTTACTTTCTTACTATTCTTTTTCAGTACCCTATATATCATTTTTTCGCTATCGCCTCCTTCTCGATTTTATAAAGCATCTAATTAAATAATTCTTATTCAAAATATATTCATTAATAATATTCCTCTACCCCTTTCGAATTTAATTAAAATAATTACTACTACTTTTAAAGAATAAACCAATAACGTATATAAACCCGAAGGAGGAGGGTTGCCGATAAATAATATTATATTCGTTATTAATAATAAAAATTTTAGTATCCTTGAAATTTTTTTTTACGTTTATAAAATAAAATAAAATTTAATTAATAATGCAAAGTATATAGCTATTTACGTATAAACGATATTAATAGTCGTAAAGTTAATACGAGGCATAATTTTATAGAGAGAGTTTAAAAATATCGCCGTTTTTATAGTTAATATTATTAGTTAATGAATAAAAAGAATAAAAACGACGATATTAATAGGAATTAAAATGCTAGCAGTCTTTAGAACCTTCTCTTTTACTAAGTATATATATTAGTAAGGGAGGCTACTTTTCTTACCCTTATAATCTAATCGAGCCTCTTTACACGGCTACGTTAATTACCCTAGTTGTAGGCGCCCGCCTAACTCCCGCCAGACGTACTAGACTGTATATGGGAAGGATGAATCCGATTTGAACGAGAAAAGGCGGTACCCTCTAGTTTCAAGCTATTGCTTAACTCCGATTCGCTGCACCATCACTTACACGAAACACCAACCTTGACCACCGCGTGTCGCGACGGAAGCGAGCAAGCCACACAGACGACTAGTATCTTGTTCTCACAATGGTCGATCCTCTACAGCAACATATCACCGCTCGTTCGACTTCCTTCATTGGTCATCCTACAATGGGGCGTTAAGAGGCGTTAGGGGCGTCTTCATCACAGATGACGAGCATTTTACCCCACGACCATGTCAAGTCCGGTCCCTAGAGCCTCAGGGGCAAAGGATGCTTCCCCACACCCCACGCCCTCAAGGAGCATCGTGAGAACTTTATCTTGATCATCGACAGGAACCCGTTGACAAATGCAAACGGTCGCTGACAAACTCCCAGAACTGCATCGAGTCATCGACCTTGTGCCCAGAACCGCCAGAGCAACCTTCTCCTCATAGAACTCCCGTGATAGTGACAGAGGCTGCACCTCAAACTCAACTATTGTCTTCACAAAGGGAATTCACGGATGTGGAGCCTGTATCAGGAAGGTGAAGCTGAAGAAGACATGACAATGGCACCTCGTTCAGGCATGTGGGGGAAGCAACCAGGATCTGGCATTATTCCATCGATAGAGGTTGCAGGAAGAGGCCGGATCGCCCTCGATCGGCAGTGAATTTCCCCCAAGACGGAGGAAGGTCTCGCCCCGATAAACATCCAGGCATTGGATCTGCACCGCACTGACCAACAGTGGAATTTGATAAGGGGCGCCTTTAACGGTAGGGGTTTGGTGAACAGATGTCTGATATAGATGATGCTGACTTCATGTTTATGCCTTGCAGACTGGAAAAGCATCAAGCGAAGTCATACTGTACTCATCAAGAAATCTAGCTTCTCAGGTCGTAATATAGACCGGTGGACATTGGCATCAAGCCTGTCAGAACTTTACTCCCGTCCCCGGAGCTAGTCCAATTCCCCGCAAATACTAATGGCAAGAGGCACGTTGGAGCAATGAAACCCTCCAATCATTTCCATCCTACTCTGAAACCGCCCTGGGCACAACCTCCTTCCCAAGCGAGTTAATCTCGACACCCTCTTCGGCAGAGCCCCATGTCTGGAGCACTTCAAGCCAACGTTCGAAATAAAGCAAAGCAAAACAAGGGGGGATATTTTTGCTTGCTTGCTTACAAACACTACACCCTGGAGTTGCTTTGTTATCAACGCCCTCCCTTTCCGTTGAGTCCTTTGCTTGGCTCTTGCGTTGTTGAGAACACCGTTTCAGGTACGATCAAGGTACGAAGGGGAAGATGGACTACTATACACCACATCGCGGGTGACGGACCAATCGGTGTGGCCCGGCGTTAATGAGTTCACCGCCTCCAAGTTAAGCTAGCCGGTGGACTGTTGGTTACTAGCGGGACGGGATTCCCCATATTCGACTACTGTTATACTCCGGACTCCGTATGTCAGTCATGGCGGACCAGAAACAAGAACCTATAGCCCGGTCTTGGGGACTCATAATTTCCGGCTCCCGCAGGTCACGATTTCATGCGCCTTGGTATTTCTCCCGTAACCACAACTGCCAATGACAGACATTGGACCCCCATCGAAGCATTGAGAGCAGCCCATTGTTAGATGCCTTGTTTCTTATCTGAAGCCACGTGCAAAACGACATTCCTTTCTCGTCCCCACATCCGCCTGGGTGTCCATCAGCTCCCAGGGACACTGCAACTTCGCTACCCCATCTTCCTATTTGCGTATAGCCTTTCTTGGGGGGCCCGTATGAAAGCCAAGGTTCGGCCGAACGTCGCCATCATGGCCTCCGGAAAGACTCGACTTCAACTCCTATATAAGGCGACATCCTCCTCCCTCTAACCCGGACCAAGAGATCAGCAGTGCTCTCCAGACAACACAGTTTGCACCTCATCACCTTCGCAACAATGAAGTTCCTCGCCGGTCTCTCCCTCATTGCCTCCGTGGCTTCGGCCATGAGCGTTGACTTGACTCAGCGCGGCGGTCCCCTCGACGTCAAGATCGAGGTCGTCGGCAACACCAACGTCAAGGCTAGCATCACCAACACCGGCAAGGATCCTCTGAAGGTCCTCAAGACTGGTTCCATCCTCGACACTGCTGCTGTTGAGAAGACCCAGATCTTTTCTTCCTGTGAGTAATTTTCGCTTCTGACCGCCTCTCACCACTTACTCGTACACGTAGCCCACGTCTTGGCACCAGCCCCCTGTCTTGCCCCACAAAAGCTAACACTCTCCCAGCCGGCCCCGTCGCTTTCGACGGTCTCCGTTTCCGCGTCGCCACTTCCGACCTCCCCGAGGATGCCTTCCAGCTGATCGCCCCCGGCGAGACCGTCTCCACCTCCTGGGATCCCGCGGAGGTTCACGATCTCTCCCAGGGCGGCTCCTACGACGTCAAGGTCTCCGGCGCCCTGCAGTACGCCGACCCCGACTCTACCGAGCTCAAGGGCACCATCCCGTTCTCGTCCAACATCGTGACGGCCTCGGTCGACGGCGCCGCCGCCAGCCAGGCCCGCCGCTCCTTCCACGAGAAGCGCTCCGCCGTCCAGTCCGACTGCACCGGCACCAAGGGCACCGCCACCCGCACCGCCATGACCAACTGCCGCGCGCTCGCCCTCGCCGCCAGCCAGGTTGCCGCGTCTGGTTCTGCCTCCAAGATGACCGAGTACTTCAAGTCGTCCAGCTCTTCCACGCGCTCCACCGTCGCCGGCGTGTTTGCCAGGGTCGCTAGCGAGTGCGGCTCCACCACTTCCGGCTACGCCAAGTACTACTGCTCCGATGTCTACGGCGCTTGCTCGTCCGGTGTCCTTGCCTACACCCTGCCCAGCTCCAGCTTCATGGTTAACTGTCCGCTGTACTTCTCGGCCCTGTCGGCGCTGAGCAGGACCTGCCATGCCCAGGATCAGGCGACGACTACCCTCCATGAGACCACCCACTTGAGCCAGATTAAGGGCACTACGGACCAGAATGGCTGCTATGGGTATAGCTGTGTGAAGAGTCTGAGTGCGAGCCAGAACTTGAATCATGCTGATACTTATGCTTTGTTTGCTAACTGTAAGTCACACTGTTCACTCCCCTGCCTTCTTTCACTGTTACTTTTCTTGGGACATGGGCTAACAGGTAAATAATAGCTATCTACGTTGGCTGCTAAGCGCACGTCACATGCACTCACCTGCCTATGGGGTTGGTGAGAGTTTGGAGGTGACTTAACGGACGGGAGTCTGGAGACTGTTGGACTTGCAGTTGCCGGGTAGCTGTCACGGAAACTTGACAGTGGTGTTGGACTGTTGTGTCAGGGTGTTGGTCTCTTCTCACTGTGCACCGTCTCTTTGGACAGCAGCAAGTTCTATCTTTCTTGGATAGCGCTCTGCGGGTTCACCTGTGTATATGGGAACCTACTACCAGGTAACTGGTAGAAAATGAAGTAAAAAGTTGACGGTAAACAGTGTTCTTTGTTGTGACTTGTGGATGGCTGGCTGCAGAGTACTTTGGGAGTGCACAAAGGGCAGGGCAGTGAAACCAGGATCCAACAACACAAACCCCAGCACAAGGGCATCAATGCCCCTGATTTTCAGCGATAAGACCCGTTTGATCCCCAGGGCGCTTGCTGGAAGTCTCCAACCACGCTCTTACTCCCAGTAGATCAGTACCAGTAACCAAAATGAACTATCAGCACCGCCAACACCAATGCCAGTTCCAACAGAACGGACATGGAAACCAGGGTTTCCCCCCTTCCCCTTTTTCCCATACCAACCGCCGACTCACAAACCGCCCCATCCTCCCATCTCCCTACCAAGCCTTCCTCTCTCATTATCCTCCTCCCCGATCAAAGGCCGAGTTCCACCATACCGTCCAGGAGATAATGGCCCACCTGGCTCTTGTTTACTTCACCACCATGACCTGCACAGGTTCCGTCTCAACAGCAGGATCCATCCGGAATCCAAGGTACCCAGCGTTTAGCAAGCCACCACGCTACCACAACTGGAAGATCTCCAAGCGGATGCCGAAGAGGGAAGTGGTTAGTCGGTGGGGAGCAATTCACTTGGGAGAGAGGAAGGCGCCGTGGGATTTTTGGTGGGAGGTTGTGAAGAATGAGCACGTGCATGAAGAGAGAGAGAACGGCAGAACCGTGAACGGAAACAGAAGTGGGAGTGGGTTGAAGCATCATGGGGTATGGCTTGAGGACATCGGGGGTAAAAGGAACGTGGAGGCAGTCACGACGGGAATTGGAGCAGGAGGGAAGAAGAGGGAGGTGGACTTGCAGCTGCCGAAGGGGGTAATGGTAAAGCCGAAAGAGGTGTTGGAGGATAAGGGGTGGCCGCGGTGAGAGGAAACTTCGATGGAGTGGCGAAGGAAGCCCCGGGGCCGATGCCGTACATGAACGAGCTCCTATTGACATGAACATTGATTGTCGCAAAGTGAGACATGAAATCAATATACCTAGAGGTACCTCACGGTGGATATGGGTGCAAAGAATAGCTTGCAGGCTTTTAGTTATTTATGCACAAGTTGCTGACGCTCATTTGTGTCTCTCGAGTTCTGGTCTATCTCTTACTCCCTTGTAATCCCTCCTTCCTTAAGGTATTGGGGTGTCATGTTCCTGCTGCAAAATCCCTTCAGGCCCATTAGACCTCTCCATGCCTTCCCCCTAAGCTGCTAAGCACCGCTGCCACCTCTTCAACGCTTACTGCGGCTCGAAGAACTATTACTGCCCCATTCTGTTTCGGTGTATGTCTCAATTACCTCGGTAGTCGTCTCAATGGTCTCATAGACATGGGTGGAGCCGGAGCCCGAACCCGAGCCGGAGGTAGACGAAGAGGAGCCACCGGAGGAGGAAGAGCCACCGCCTGAGGAGGAACCGCCGGAGGAACCTGAGGATGAGGATGCACCGCCGCCGTTGCCACGGCCAATTTCGATGGTGGAGCCGGAGTCGTTGGAGCCGGAGCTGGACATTTTGTTTGTTTTTGAGGGTTGGTGTGGGATTGGAACTGGTAGTTGGTGGATGTTGATTCTGATGCTGATGAAGAGCGAGTGTTCGCCTTCAAGGGTTGAGAAGCCCGAGAAGTTATACCCGGTCCTCAGCTCCACGAAGATACACGGCTGTGTCAACATTGTCGACTTGCAATGTGTTTGCACGACGCATTGTTCTCAATATATCAGCAGTAAATCATTCTCTCATCCTTTTTGAAAGAGTTTGATAGCTCCATGAGACCTAAGATGGTCGAGAAGAGTCTGTTTAGCGGTTTTCTGGAAGTCCGAAACAGTTTGCTAGGTAGCCAATACCAACTTCACTAGTGAAACCGTGCTGCAAACTCGACACAGGTGCTGCAAGCCTCTTCGTCTCCGTGTCTACGTGTAGTACACATTTATAGCGTGTACAGCAAACGCAAGCTGACTCTTTCCCATTCATATTCGAGGTCAAGTTTGACTGCTCTCACATCGCCTTCTATCTAGAGGTACCTCTGCTACCCAAGTCCCAGCTTTACAGATTGCTACCTACTTCTACATGTAATCCCCACAGGCCTCTTCGGCCTCCAGTCACAAGTCTTATCCTACTTGTACGTAGTTCCTATATCTAAGTACATATTCCTTCTTCTAAGTCCCAGCCCCCCCTCACCACTATTTACATTCACACTGCCAGATTTACCCAGTTACGGTTGTGTAGGGTTAGCCGGCGTATATACCACAGTGGTGGTAGTAGTGACAGTAATAGTTCCAGGAGCAGGTCCTGCCCCTCCAGTTCCTCCAGTGCTGGAACTGGAAGTAGAACCACCAGAAGAGCCGGAGGAAGTACCGGAAGTACAAGTGGTGGTGACGGAAGATGTTTTGGGTTCTTTGTCCCAGGTGTGGGATGTGTTGTTTGAACTCATGTTGGGAAGGTTGGGTAGAGAAAGGCCGGTACAGTGATTGGGGTGGTGATGGTGAATGCAGTGTGAATGTTGAAAGAGGTTTGGGAGCTGGAAGATGGCAAGGGCTGGATTGTATTTATACCGGTTCTCTTGAGTCTGCATTTCACGAGGGCGAAGAGCAAAGTTCGGTTTAGTCTACTGGTTTGGGTACCGAGTCTCGACCACGCTAGTACAAGTATACAACCGAGTCACCAAGAGTCATGGGGTGTTGACAGAAATCTCGAGGGGTTCTAGACGATATGGCGGTAAAGAATCATAACTCTTATACCTATTTACACTGGTGTCAGAGCGGATGAAATCATGAAAATAACATGCTGATGCTGACCAACAACTTGAACAGCGAACTTCTTGATTCACCCAAGCATAAAGCATGGTCCATGACAACCTTTCAGTAAGAAAGATGTTCCATAAAACATGATTCATCTCCTTATTCCCCTATACAATCAAGTCCCGGAAGAAATTCGAAAGAGATATAACTGGCACCGAGTCCCCCTCCCTGACGAACATTAAATCTCCAGGCTTCCAGTTTACAGGTACACCACCCTTCTTCAACAATCCACCCCTAACCATTTGCACATATAAGCGCAAAAGCATCCACCAAATCGACATCATGTCCTCCTCAAACACCTCTACCTCCAACACGACCTCCTCTACCACTCAAAGCGGCTCTTCCACTAGCAACACCTCATCCTCAACCACGACCAGCTCCAGTAACAACACGTCCAGTTCTACCGGATCAACAAACACCACCTCCACCTCTACTTCCTCCGACCCCTTGGCGGCGTTTGACCGTATCAGGGTTGAGGGAGCGATGCAGTACTGGGGGAGCAAGAACGGGTGAGCAAAGGAAGTAGAAAGGCCAGGGGGGCGGGGAGGACAAGGGAAAAGGGTAAGGGTTAAGGGAAAACGAAGGAGGAACGAGAAGGAAAGAGGTAGTGGAGATACAATAGCAGATGCATCAATGGGATATTAGCCTAGGGGCAAGCAGTGAGGTACACTAGTGTGACTCCGAACTGGAAAGTAGGAAGCTAGCTAGGTAGGTAGGTAGGGGTGTAACTGGAAATCAGAAAGTTATGAATGTTGAGATTTGCAGCGCGTCATGTTTTTTGAGCTCGTTCTTCTCTTTCTTGTAGCAGCGGGTTTCGCATGTTTGTTAGGTATCTTGTACTCAAACGCTCTTTCCCATCAGACTTCGGTCTTCAGTCCTCGTTGCTCCTGCCGTTTGTTGTCACTACAGCTTCATCTCTCACCAGGGGCATGCATTACCGCGCATTTGTCTTGAAACTTCATTCCTAAAAGTTCAAATAAGTTCCTCAGCCACATCATGATCAACTCCATCTACACATTCCACGTCCCGTTCACCAAAATCAACGCTCAAAGCCCAATACCCATCCCTTCCGCTTCCAGCGATGCTCCTAGGTACTACCCAGAAACTCTTCTTCTTCTTCTTCTTCCTCCTCTCCCAACCATATTCCTAACCAGTTCTAGCTGACTTCCATGTTGCCTAGAGGTACCTGTACCTGCGTAGAGGTACTCTCATTTACTGGAACTGGAGCCAGAAGAGCCAGAGGAGCCAGAGGAGCCAGAGGAACCAGAGGAACCAGAGGAGCCCGAGGAGCCCGAAGAGCCGGAAGAGCCGGAAGAGCCGGAAGAGCCAGAGGAGCCAAAGGTACCATAAATACCAGCGCCGCCGGTGTTGGGAGCTGGGGGTGCGATGTCAGAGGAGCCTGAGCTGGACATTTTGGTTGGTTTTGGTGTTTTAGACTTGGTGTCGGTGTTGGAAACCTAGTAAGGTAGGTATGGAAGATGAAGCTGTGGTTGTTGTGGTGAATGTTAATGGGGATTGGAATGGGCAAGTACTGCACATTTATACCACTTCTACGGTAGAGGTATCATGTTTCCATAGCACCAGGCGCCTGGACACGATGTGCCTGATACCATTGGCATGGAACAGTTTGTTGTTCTCGAACCGCCCAGGTTCGATGTTCTACCTGATGACCGGCACCAATGCATGCTCGTGAGTAAAGATCGGGCCGTGTTTGTTCAAGAACTCGGGGAAGCCTAGAGTAGGATTATGTAAAAGGTTGACGGAATGGATGAAAGACAGCACTAGGTCATAGTAGGGAGATTGGTCAGAGTTTGAAATAGAGAAGCTTGATTGCTTCGTCGACCGAACGCATCCATGGATGGTTCATGGCATGTGGAATGCTCCATCGTACTTGCCCTTATACCGTGTCCTACTTACATTCTGGACTCTTCCAGCCCTTTGGCTGTGTTACCTCCTTCTCAAGTACATCTCGAACTCCTCGTGTATCTCTTAAAACCTCCACTTCCGTTCCTAAGGTACTGTCCCACACGTTGTTTGACTTGAAACTTCCCTACAAGTTCAATTCTTTCAGCTACCTCTCTACACTACCTCTACATTATGATTCCTTCTAGTCCTTCGTCGTCAGTACCTCTACCGAAATGAACGCTTAAACTCAGTAGAGGTACCTTTTATTATTCTTTCGCCTCCACTAGTAGGTAGGTACCTACTCAGAAACTCTTCTTGTTCATCCAATCGAAATTCCCAGACAATTTTCGACCCGTCCACCTCGCCTATTATACCTACGTCCTGTTTACGGCAAGAACCCGCCGCACAACAATAGCGATGTATAGATACTACGCTCGGCGTGACAAGTGATAGTATTGGTTACAACTTCGTAATCGGCGTAGATACGGTGGTGACGGTGGTAGTGACAACAACACCCGTGCTCGTGGAAGGGGCAGATCCCGTCCCTTTTGCTCCCCCGGAGCTCGAGGAGCCAGATGAGCCAGATGAGCCAGTGTTAGGAGCCGAGGGTGCGCTGCCGGAATTGCCTGAGCTGGAGATTTTGACTGGTTCTGTTGTTTGGGTCTGGAGTTTGGGTTTGGGTCAAGTTATTTTGGAAAGTGGCAACGGGAGAGCGAACTGTGATTGTGGTGAACGTTGATGCAATGGAGACTTTTGTGCGGGCAAGGACTGTGTACTTATACCCGCTCTATTGTCGAGCGTCATGGTTCTACGGGATCCAGTGTCTGAATATCTGGCGTCTAGTGCGATCTATCATGCAGTGTCTTACTCTCACTGTTCTGGTCCGGTTTGCCTGTTCTTCCTGCTGACCACGTACTTTGTAGGAGCAAAGGCCATATGGTTTTTGATAGAGGCTTCGGGAAAGTCTAGACGCAGACTTGCTCACAGGGTCAACACTTTTGCAGTTCCAGCACCTCTCTGTACACAGGTGGCAGAACAGATGAAAGACAGCACAAGGTCATCACGTTGAGAAACGAATGGAAGAGTACGTAAAGATTACTTGATCCATCGACTCATGATGCATGAAGACCTGATGCATGTAGACGAGTAACTTAGGTCCCTGGAACTTATTTTCCTGAACAACTGTCTACTCGTTGCCTAATATCTGCAGTGTCTTCCAAATCCAAGCAGCCCTTCTCAACTACAGCCACCCGGTTAGTTATTGTTCAACCGTCAACCATCAAACACCCAAAATGTCCTCCTCCACAGCATCCACCAACCCATCCTCTTCAACTTCTTCTTCAACCAATAACCCCACCACCTCTACAATTCAAACCGGCTCCTCCAGCAGTTCCTCGTCCTACTCCTCCACAACGGCAACAAAAGATTTCGCGACCAGCGGTAGTGCCACGTCCACTACTTCAACGACCACGAGTTCTTCGTCTGATCCGTCACCAGCTTTTGGCCGTTTGAAGCTCGGTGATTGAGGACTGATTGTTGGGGTTCTCTACAGTGGGGACGGGACATAACGGGGGTTTAGGAATGGAATAGTAGTGGAGCGTAGGAACACGAAAAGGAAGGGAAGGGAAGGAATGGTGGAGTGACCAAAGGAAAGAAGGAAAGAAGGAAAGAGGGGGGATATCGATGTAGCAAGAAGTGGATACATCATGATGGAAAGTCTACAAGCCACAACACTCGATCAAGTCTCAACATCACGCTAGTTGGAAGCTCGAAAAAACTGTTCAAAGCCAGGTCATGCTTCCATTGCCGGGTCCTAGTATCTGATTCTGGCTCAACCATTCCTCCTTCAAGTCCCTCCCGTACCTCATGTTTCCTGCCCAAGCCTACTAGCTCTCACAAACATGTCCTCTTCCAATTCCATTCCCTAAATCACCCCGAATCGTGATTACCTCTCGCCAAGAAGCTCCTCCATTATTCGATTATGTTACTTCTCCATTCCTTGTCAAGCGGATCTCTCGGCGAGTCGGTGACTACAGTCCTCATCAGAGGTCGGGTGTGATCGTGGCCTTTGCACCTCCTACTGCTTGGTGGTATCCTTGCTGTCCTCCTTGGCCTCCCCCTTCTTCTCAGCGGCGGCAGCCTGAGCAGGCTCAGTGGTGGTAGTGGTCTCGATGACGGTAGTAGTGGTAGTGGTCTGGACAGGGGCGGAGACGGTCTCCTTGGGCTGCTCAGTGCCAGCGGCGGCGGCGGAGGTGGTGTTGGAGATAGGGGTGGACATCTTGCTTGTTTGGTGATTTTTTGGTTTGAAGTGGGAGTTTTGGTTGAGAGATTTGGTTTTGGGGGTTGATTGGTATGGTAGATGTGTGGATGTGGATGTGAATGTGATGCTTGTGTTGATGGTGAAAAGATTCGATTTCCAAGCTGGGGGTGCTGGGGTAGTTATACCTGTCACGGTGCCAGCAACACCTCTCACGTCTCTCAAGACCGGGAGTCTGCACGTCTTGCGTTTGCAGTTCGTGTGGATATTCTTGGTGGTTCCCAGTGTTTGGTGAAACGACATGTTGGCCATTCATTTCCTCATGGATGAGGTGACACCCATATCTCGAACAAATGGTTCGACGATGAGTCGTATTTGTTGTCATCCCAAAGAATTCGAAACTGGGCCACCAACCACATCTCTGTGCTTCATCACGCGAGACTTCGCCGGTTGGACCCGAAAACGTAAACTTGAAGCGATGCAGTAACACAGCCAAGGGTGTTGCCAATTCGGGACGGGAAGGAAGTGGATGGATGACAGCCAAACTCACCAGAGCCACTTATTGGTGGATGGTGGCTGGTTGTTTTCTGTTGATCGCATTAATCCCGTCTTAAAATTCGTTGTTGGATTGTTGGAACTTGGAAGCCTACCAGAACGTTTGCTCTCCGAAACTTCGTCGTTGGTTCCCGGTCTCCTCACTTCATTTTGTTTGGTAATCGATGCAATTCTTGGGAGAAGATTTAGATGCAAATGCGTCCGAAGACGTTTGCTCTTGCCTCGCCGATGAGAGCAGCTACCTGTCCACCTTCCTCGGTAGTACCGTAGCAAGAACAAACGCAAATCGCAAAGAACGACCGTCATCACAAACTCCACCACATCTTTGCCTCACTTCATGAATTACGATGCAACAAACAGACACACACAGTCACTCAAAGACTTCCAAGCTTAAGCTTGCAAAGTAATGAAGATCTACATCAAGGCAAATCTCATTTCAAACGCTGCATGTTGATTTCCTATTCCCTTCCCTCACTACAGTATCTCAGTCCCTCAAGCTTGACTACACTTGCCACCTTTCAGGGCTTACACTCCTACTTCCCCTCCCCCTTGGCTTTGCCTTTATCCTCCTCCCCCTTCTCCAACTCCAGCTCAGCACTGGTAGTATGTCCAACAGTGACCGTACTGACATCCTTGGCCTTACCACCACCCAATCCAACACCAGAACTCCCACCATCAGACGTGGGTAGGAAACCATGCTTGTCACAAAAGCTGCTGTTGCTGCTACTAGTGTTCGTGGTAGACCCTTGCGGGTTCGAAGTAGGGATATCCTCCGCCTTAACCTTCTCTGCTCCCGAGGGGTGATAAGTGGGGATCCAGTCTTCTACGCCCATTTTGCTTGATTATGTGTTCTTCTTTTTGGGAAGTGGGAAGTCGGAAGTGGATGTGACTCTGGACGCCGCTGCTGCTGATGAACCTGACTTTCCGTGTCAATGGTAGGTAGAGATCCTACGAGGTCTTATACCCTTGCTGATCAGCCGCGAACATGCTTGTCTAACGTATTGTCTTCGGCGTCGAAGGGTTGACACTCGACATCCTCTCAGCAACTCGGTCTTGAAAAAAGTTTGTTCAATCGTTCGTTGTTTTTGACGTGTAACAGACATAACAAGACTTCGTTGGTGATTCGAAAGCTTCTGATGGGTCGACCTAACTGTAGTCTCAAAGGCCGACAAAGATTGCTTAATTGGATCTTTGGGTTTTCCAGCACGGTTGGCCGAAGCAAACGCCAAACAGTCACAACTTTATTGCCCCTCGCAAGCCCATCATACAAGGACGTTGAAAGCGGGTCGATGCTATGACGAGATGTCTTTGTCCGGAAATAAGCTGATAAGAGATTCCGCACATGAAAAGCACGTGTGCTTACGACCACAAACCAAGCACATTGCAATCAGGAACCGATCATTGTCTTGACAGTATTTATCATTACTTCTTTGTCCATGTAAATGCTCATTGCGTCATACACATGAACGGCAGCTATACACAACTGGATGGCTACATAACTCCATCAATAGCATTAAGGTATCATCTCTTGTCTTATCATGGGTATCCAAGCAGAGACCGTTTTTCGGTACTCTGCATCCTCCTCCCTGTCTTCTTCACCGTGGTATCATTGCAAATGCGAAAAAATAAAACACTATTCCCCTCTTAGTTCTTCTCATTGAGAGTGACAGGCTGAGGGGCAGGAACCTGAGTGATGGTATCCTGGCCCTTGGCACCGTGCTTGTTGGCCTCCTCATCACTGCTGTTGTCCGACTCACGCACCATGTCACCGAAGTCGGTGTTGATGATGAACTCCTCGTTGTTGAGGTGCCTGAACATGAACCAGAAGACAATGGTAAAGACACCACCGGCAATGGTAGGGCCGGCGAAAGCCCAGACAAGGTAGGGATCCTGGATAGCGCTGGAGGTGGCGAGACCAATGGCGGCGCTGATGGCGGTCATGAACAAGTTGACGGAGCTGACGAGACCCTTCATGTTCTTGGGGGAGCGGGAGTAGGCAATGGTGTAGGCAGTGACGTTGACGAAGATCTCGGAGGCGGCAGTGACGACAATGGGAATGGCGTAGTACCAGTACGAGATGGAAGAGAGACCATCCTCACCCTCAGCAGCATTCTCCTGGCAGGTAGTGGCGTACTTGCCGCAAGGAGAGGTCTCGTAGACGTAGTGCTGGAGGAGAGGGAAACCCATGGAGCCAATGGTGCAGAGAGCGAAGCCGAAGGTCATACGGGAGATGGGGCCCCAGTGGATGCCCTTTCTGCGCAGGAGAGGATAGATGACGTGGTTCATGAGAGGGACCACTACACAATTTGTTAGCTTTATTTGGTATTAACGTGATCATGCATAAGACGTACTAATGACAATGGTGACGGAGTTGAGGTTGTCGAGCAAATCGTTGGGAACACCGTTGGTCCTCATACCGGCGGAGAGGGCGTTGGCAGCAGCACCGAGAGCACCGTCGTTGATGTAGTAGATGGGAAGGAAGAGGAAGATACCGCAAGCCTGGAAGGTACGGCGGACATCCTCGACGAACTGATCATCATAGCCGTAAACCTTGGTGCTACCAGCAGCAGCGCGAACGCTGGGCTTGCCAACATCCCAGAAACCCTTGCGGCCGATGGAGCGAAGACCACCATGAGTGAAGCAGTCGCCAAGAACGCGGAAGACGTTACCCAAATCAGAACCACCAGGAGGCTGCTTGACGAGTCTGGGGTTGAGGTACCACAGCAGGGGAGGGAGCAGCAGGTAGAGAATGGTAGGAATCAGGTAGGCGGCCCAGTAACCGACAAGCTTGGCCAGGTAGGTGGTGGGGATACCGAAGCAGGCACCGATGTTGATGAGGAGGTAGAACCACAACATGACACTGTTGAGAGACTCCTCGGGGTCGACAATGACGCGCTCGCCATCCTGCTCGATAACGTGGGCAACCTTGTGTGGGGACTGGTCCATGACGGTGGGCGAAATGTTGGGCTTGAACTGGGCGGCACCAATGGAGAGCATGTAGAGTGAGAGAGCGAAGGGACCGATGGCGTTACCAGAGGTGAGGACAGGAGGAAGAGCCGAGATGATCATGATGATGTGGGCAACACCGCAAATGGCGACACCCTGGCAAATCATGCGGAAACGACCATACTTGGTATCGGCGAGCCAGCCGAAGAAGATGGGGAGGGCGTAGGACAGGAACTTGAAGGCCTCGGTCATGGCAGTGGCAGTGACGGAGCCCTTGCCGAGGGCACCGGCGGTATCGTTCTTGTCGAGGACGGCAGCACCGGTGCGGGAACCCTTGGGCAGGGGAGCACGGATGAAGTTCTTGTAGACCTGGAAGCAGCCGTAGTACGAGGCACGCTCGGCGAACTCGACGGCGCAGAGGTAGTAGCATTCGGCAGGCATCTTGCCGGCCACACGGCGCAGGGTTTTCTTCTCTTCCTCGGTGGGCAGGACAAGGCCATGGTATTCCTCGTGGATATCGCCGCCGTTGAGGCTATCGCGGCCCGTGTTGGCGTAGGGGGGAGGCCCCTTGATGTCTTGCGACGGGCGCACCTCGCCGACGGGGCCGACGGCGGTCGGGATGGTGGTGTTTGTCTCCGCTGAGATTTGTGTTAGTGTGTGGTAGATCTAAGCAAGGGACGGTAGATGATAGACGTACCCATGATGATGGTGGATGAGGATCCTCGTGGAACTTGAGACTGGATCCTAATGCGGTGCGACGAGTGAACGAGTCTCTCGAGACGGGAAGAATCAAGAGGAACTGGAGAGAACCCGAGGGAAGGAGGGAGGGTAGCCTTCTTATTATTACTTTGTTCTCATAGAAGGAAGGTGAGGTCGCACTTGCTCTTGCCTTGTCTGAAGTAGATTCCCGTCTGGGACTCTGGGCAACATGGGGTGGACATGGGTCCCTCTAGGTTGATGGGCGACATGCACCTGCCCGTTCGTAGTGTGAGTGGTCTCGTACTGTAGGGTGCCAATTCGCCGTTCGCGGTCTGGTTCTTCGGATTCTGCCAATCGATTGGCGATGGGATCTGTATGGTTGCAATTCCTCTTCTGATTCTGTACAGACTCGGCAGGTGGGAGACTGCCTCGGGGAGGTACGTACTGCCGCTAGCGGCGGACGAATGCAAGACGAGACTGGTCCCGGCATGGCACCTGCTCTGGGCAGGTCCCGAGGGAGATGTGCTTGGCATCTCACTTGCCGTCGCTTGGCCCTCGTCTTGGCGCATCCGCTCAAGCTTCTCTTGGGCTTCTTTGCACTGTCTTGTCTGTCTTGTTATCGTCCTCAGATGTCTTGGTCACTATTCCCAGAATAGCTGCTTGTGTTCGTTTTCGATACTCCAAGACACTCGCTGTTTTCAGAGACAAATGCTGCAGTGACATGCAATCAACAATGGCTTCCATTCCAGTTGCCAAACCAGCACCCGACTGACACCTTATCAAGTTCAATTAATCAAGTTCAATGTGGTTCTCGCCGTAACCTTGTCTTGTGGTGTGGTTGCATCTGTTTGTGGCCCATTAGACCCATCCAATCGGGGCCACCTGATTAACCTTCTTTTTGCCTTTTTTCACAGTGCCCAGAGATAGCGGCCACATCCTCGAATTGGACACCCAGGGGCTTTAAACAGGGATCAAGGGCGCCATAGACATCATGGGGAGCCTCGGCATGGGGGCCACATCGTGGGGTTACACTTACCCGTTGAGGAAGGTAACTTGGTCCCAGATCTGTAATGTTGCCTCGTCGCTTTTGACCTCCTATTCAGCTCGCATTCTTTGTTGTTGGTTCTTTCTGGCGAACATTCGTTGTTGGTGGTTTGAATCGCCTCCTTTCCCTGCCGGATATCGGCCCGTCTGATATCATTTCCATTGTTCGAGAAGGCCTCCCAGAGAAGGAGTGTGGTACACCATCACGAACTCGGTGCCGCGGTTGTGTTCTTGTCCTTGATATTGGAGGTGTGGTGTCGCCATGTTGGTCCGAAACAGCGCCGTGTCGGTGTCGAGGTTCAAATTGGCAAGTGCCAAGGTGTGGTTTATCACGCAATACTGGATCCCTCTTGGCATCATCGGCGCACTTTGGAGCACGCCCTCGGGGACTGGACAAGTCGGTCCAAATGAACCGAACATACGAGGTATTCCGTTGCCACCCGAGGTTGGCGCCATGTACGAAATGTTATCTTTCATGGCCAGGACGACATGATGCTCGATTATTTGTCAATTGGCGACTCAAACCGCCACCACCTCTGTCATGTTGCAAGTTATCCAAAGTCGTTCGATGGTTCTGATATCAACCCGTCGCCATGGCCGAGAGGCGATGTCAGGTTAGGAAATAAGGGCAAATCCGGGGAAGAATGATTTACAAACAGGTGACGGAAGATGGACGATAGGAAGAGGTCTCGAACGAACGACAAAGACGGATGATTTCCTGGTTCCACTTCGCCCGTCCCGGACTCGCGATTGCGTTGGCTGTTGTCAGCGATAAGGTTTTCCAGGGGTGCCCTGTGTCCATTGCACACGTGCAACGTGGAACTGCTGAAAACGGGGTCGTGGTGAGGACTGCTACAGTGGAACGTCCACGGAACACTGAGCACGGACTTCACCACCCCGCCATGCACCCTCCACCATCTTCTCGACATCCATCTCGAAACCACCATCATCAACTTCATCGCCCGGCCAGGACAAGATGATGCACGTGGAAGCAGCCTTATGAGGCCTCTATATGAAGCAAATCCCAGCACCATGGTAAGGGACGCGGCCGGGGAGGCAGATTCTCGACGCCATCCCGTGCCAATCCTGACCATTAACGTGCGTACATGGCGCTACACCCGTCGAGGTTCTTATGCGCGTGCTCAAGACGCGGTCCGGCTCTCGGTTCATGCATCGCATCTGGATGTCACCGTTTCTCTTTCATCGCTGAGGCTCGCAGTGGCTCCGACCTGTCCTCCATGGCAAGTCTCTTCCAGTCCGAGATGTGGTGAGAGTCCGAGTTCGTGATCCGGTGAGGGTTGTGTAAAAGTCCTCTGACCAAGAGTCTGAGGCGCTTCTAGCCCAGACGAGTACCCCGCGTGTTCGCGAGCATTGAAAAACCACAGCTTTGAAACCGGCAGGTGCCCAAAGGCCAAAACAGCACATACGGAAGGCGTACTCGGACTTGGACGCTGCCCGTGTTCAATGGGATCTGGTCAGCTAGGTCGAACCTTCCTTCTTCAACGCTGACAGCGTTTTCCAAGACAAAAGAAAACTTGTTGCCAGATGAAGCCATAACAATTGACTCCTCTGGTGTCCTTCCTCATCTCCACCTTTCTCCCAGATGTACAGTTCTTCAAATCACAAAGCATCACCCAAATGATCACTCATACCTGACAAACCACCAACCTTATCACCAATAGCCTCAACGTCTTCTCCCAACATCGTACTAGCTCACCCCGGAAAACCCTACTTAGACCAGCTTAGCTCCAGTGCTAAAGCACCCCACATCATCCACAGTCTAGGCGCTGCACCCACTGCGCTGGGTCTGGGCGTTCTAGCCAAGGACCGGCCAAGGATTGAGGCTATTCAGTGCTGATTGGTCGCTTTCTGATGCCGCATCACCAACACAAAAAGAGGAGTGGAACCAACGACCATTTCCATGACACCTCGGTTTAACACCGGATTAGGAAGGTGTGTGTACATGGTGAGAGATGAGATGAGCGGATTTTGGGACAGGAGGACAGTGTACTTGTCGCACCGTCAAATCCACAAAGACAAACCCCAAGAAATCGTATCCAGGAAACCCTGGGTTGTGGCATCTTGAGAATCAATAGCCGCGTATTATGGAGACAAGACAAGAGAAAAAAGGCTGGGAAATCCAAAGATTCAACTCGAACGAGGGCCATCAAGTCCACTGGCGACCTCAACCTCCCGATTTACGATCTCTCCTTGCCCCTTTCCACTTGCATCGCTCCCTCGAACTGAAAGCTCGGAAGACCGTGGGAAGCTGGAACCAACATCCCACGTCCCAACCGTTCGGAACAACAGGGCTGCCCTGCTCAGATAGCGGAAGCAACTCTCAGGAATTCCGTGAGATTGACAGGTTGCATTCGGCCTGACAACCAGATCCTAACCACGCTGCCATCGGTTCCATCAAGTCGCCGTGCTGTCCGCCTGTATCTTTCCCCTACAGTACCATCTCAACATCACATCACATCACATCACAACGTTGGACACCGGGTTAGTACTGGGATTTCAGTCGGCTTACTGAGGCAGCAGTTTAACAATCAGCAACCTTCCTTCTTCTGTTGCAGGCTTCCGCATACTGTGTACTTCCAAGCAGCTTCCTGGAGTGCCTACGGAACTAGCGAGCCAGCGAGTAAGCCCTAAAGAGTTTCTGGGTTTCTGGAGTTGAGTCGTTGAGCCCTTGTTGTGACGATACTCGAAGTCTAACATCCAACCCCCCAAGAGGAATTATTAACAGGTGCGATCCTACTGGAAAGTAGAGAGAGGTATGAGGCTCTTGACAAGCACAGGGGAAAAAGTCACAACACGCTTCCGCTTCAAATTCGCAGTTGTGTCAAAAGAGACACAGTTCATGGAAGACACTACAAGTGCAGAAAACATGAAGCCCGATCAAACCTACCTCACCCCCAACACTGCTTTGGTCTACCTACCGTATATAGCTTCGACGTCGCTCGAGTGCATCTCAACCTTCTCGCTCGCAACCTATCATACCCGTTGGATGAATTGGCTCACGGCTCGCAGGCTTTCCGGTACAAGTCTGTGTCACATCTCCTCCAGTACCTCTATGTACCCACCTTTGGGCCTTTGGTGGGACGGGAGAGAACTGAGTAAGTACGTTGACCAAAAAACTTGATCTGGTGGGAAGGGGACAAGTAGTATCGTGTCACTTCACCACACACCGTCCGGACACTTGTTACTCGGAACCTAGAATAGGCACAGATACTACCGTCTACCGGCGGGTGTAACGGGAGTTGAGGCTCTTTCCAATTGTTTTAGTTAGGCTTTTGTAGCAGCTTCTTGGAACTGAACTTTAGCCGTGGGACTGGGAGAAATAAATTGAACTGAAGAGATAAACTTTCAGTTTCAGCAGTTCTTCGAAGAGAAAGTGGAAGTCTGAGAGAGCAAGGATTACATGACATGACATGACAACGAAAGATGATTATACATCTATCTCCCAGGAATCACAGTTCCGTTTCTCAGTGCCAGGTGTCCAGCCTTTGAGGGTTGAGAAGTAGAATGGATAGAGAGGAAAAAAAAAAAAAAAAGGGGGGGGGGGGCGAAGAGGGACAAGCCAACCTTGCCTTGAAGTCGTGAGTGAACTCGTGGTTGACAGATGACCGGCGATGCCCTCTAGCCACGCCACGTCGAATCACACCCCTTCAACACTTGAACACTGCCTCCCAACGGTCAAGGTACCAACCAATGCATTACACGCAAGCTACTACTTACTACCTACTCTACTCAATCTCTTACAGTCCAGTCCCTTATACACACCTCATCCACCTCCAGCAGCTGCTGTCACGCAACACATCACATCACATCACTTCCCTCAGTCATACTCACTCTCACTTAGGTCTTAAGCCCTCGGAGGATCCCCCAGCGGCACATACCGCACCCCAAACAGCCTCCGCATACTAACCTCCCCATCCTCCCCCTTCTGCACCAACCACACATGCTGCTGCAATCCCATCTCGTCATCATCAACCGGCACAAACATCCTGCCGGGACTCCTCAACTGATCCACCAGCTCCTTATGGATCTCCCTCGCGCTAGCCCCGACATGAATAGCATCCCATTTCCCCTCATCTTTATCCTCGCCCTTTCGTTCTCCCTGCCCTTCTACTTCGCCCATTGGATTGCGCTGGTTGACGGACGATCTTCTTCCTGCTGCGCTAGCGGCGTGGCTGTCTGTCGATGTCGAAGCAGAATCGGAAGTACTTTCGCGCCAACCTTTACGGCCGTCACCTACACGGAACCGCACCCGTCCTGACTCTAAAAATTCGCGGCCTTCGGCGCTTTTGGCCATGTTTCGAGCGCCCAGGTCTCGTAAGGCAGGGATGTGCTCGAGCCCGACGACGGTGCCGCCTTCGGAGCCGACGAGCTCGGCGAAGACGTGGGTGAGGTAGCCGGAGCCGGAACCGATGTCGAGGACGCGGGGGGCGGGGCGGGAAGGGGAGGGCAGGATGGAGGGGAGGAGGTGCTCGATTGCTGAGGCGTGCATGTGGGGCGCGCTGATGGTGGCGGAGTGGCCGATGGGTTGGGGGGAGTCGGAGTAGGGGGATGTGGGGGAGTAATGGGCGCGGTCGACCTGGTGCAGTGGTGGTGTATGTCAGTCAGTGTGTGTGTCTCCCTGAAGTAGGTAGGTTTGGAGTTTTGACAAAAGATGGGCGATGAGGACTGTTTGAATGATGTGCTCTAAGCAGACGTCGGTGATTTTGAACAGTCGTAGGTAGGTGGAGGGCACAAGGATGAGTTGTCGTGGATATTTGGGAAGAAACCAACCACGAAGACAGAGCGGCCAGGACTGGGACCAAACCAGAATATATCATGGAAAAAGAAACGAGCGTGAACGCGAGAGAAAACCGACGATGCATGCCACAGAGAGGGATCCCTAACCCAAGGACTGGGGATTACAAGAGAATTGGGGGGAGAAAACAGGAAATCAAGTCTCCCCCCAGTCTCCCCCCGTGGTTGTCCTACACACCACAACCACGCAGAAGAAGACAAAAAAGTAGACCTCCCCGCATGAGCAAAAACACACACACCCAATCTGCTCCTAGACCCGGACGGGAGGAACGTCAAACCGACGGACGACGAGGAACCCAGATGGTAGGCTTCTAGGACCGGACCGGACGAAACATGGAAGCTTGACAAAGGACGAACGGACGACTGCACAAACCTTCAAAAAAGCCTCCTTAACCCTCTCCTCCTTAATCAACTTATTCCTCCACAAATTCTCAATCAGCTCCGAGTTGCTCACGCCAGACGAGTGCCAGGCCATGTTGAGGTTGAGGTTTTCTCTCAAAAAAGCTGTCGGCCACCTGAACCAAGTCGTTGTCGTCGAGGTGGTAAAGTTTCGTCTGCTCTCGTTCGTTATTGTTATGCCACCGCCGGTGGTTCTGGAGGCCGTGATGGGACAAGTGCTTGATGAGAGGGTGTTTGTGTTGGTGAAAAGGTCAGGAGGAGGGCAGGTCTTGGTGGTGGTGGTGGGAAGCTGATGGTGATGGTGATAATGTGCTGCTGCGGTGGCAGCTGAGAGGGTGGTGATGATGGTTGTTGTCGGTTTCGTTGTGGCGGTTGTTGACCGTAGGCTTAAGGAGGATATGAGGCGAGGTGTCATTCGCGTCGGCCGTGATTTGTAGGTTGGTGGTGTGTGTTGGTGATGCGGGGGATAGAAAGTGGTTTTGAGGATAAGTACTAAGAGATGATGATTCCGTCACGGTTTTAGGAACGAAGGCATGAATGAGGAGTTAAAAGGAGGGAAACGTGGGATTTTTGTTACGGTGGTAATGCTAACCAAAAAGGAAGTATCAACAAAGATGAACACGAGGGAGACGAGTGATGTGATCGCATGCACAAACAAAAAGAGGTGCAAGAGCTTCGGACATCCCCTGCCCAAGTATGATGAAGCATTGACGTTAACCGTTCAGGCATCTGATGTAAGATCCACACATGTCGGTGTCAACGCGCCCTCCTGCATGGACCATCAGCACATGACAGTCTTGCAGCCTTGTCCTGACAAAAGCGAGGGAAAGAGAGGGGCAAGTGTGCGGGGGTCGGAGGTCGGTTGAATCGCTGATTACCCCGTAACATCCATGGTATCGTTTATCCGGTTGACAATCACTCAGAGAACTGAGAGAGATAATCTAGACGGCAAATGCCCAACCCCAAGCGTTTTGTGAACCGCCGAAATCGTTGCTTTGCTCTGAGGATTTCAACAAACAGACCATCATCTAGCTTGAGAAACGGTTACCTAGGAACAGGGTCAATGCAATAATAGAAACAAAGAAAAAAAACATGATCCACACCATTAAAATGCTTGACATGAGAGAACGACATAGGGAAGAGTAGGATAACCGTTTTCGTATGTACGCATGTCGCGTTCGTTCCTGTAATAACAAACCCCTTCGCTCCGTCTGTAGTAACATCCACCCAATCCCATCACGGTCCATCCATGCCAACACCTCCCTAACGGCGGACGGCTATACCACCCGCTCCGGCACCTCCCCCGTAGCAATAATCGGAATTCCCAGCCCTCTATCCGGGCTCTGCAGCACCAACATCTCATGCCTCCGCACCTTCAAGTAATCACTAACGCTCTTGATGAGGATAAACCACCCGACCAACATGAGGATATACGCCACCCAATCGCTCGAATCCACCGATCCCCAATTGTCGCCTCCTCTGTTGTCGTCCACCGCACCCGGGTCAAAGTCGTGCGAGTTCGGATCTGGTGGAGCCGTGTACCCATCCCCTTCGGCGCCAGAATCTTGCGTGCCCTTCATCATGAAGCCGAATTGGATCAACGTGATTCCCAAGCCGGCGCGGGAACCGTTTTTGGCGGCGTGAGTGGAGTGGAGCAGGTAGGTGAGCAGGAAGCCGACGAGCTGGAAGGACATGGAGATCATGCCGTTCCAGATGAAGGAGACGATGGAGCCGACGGGCATGCCTTCGATGTAAACGTCGTCGGGACCGCCGAGGCCGGGGGCGAGGATGGTGGTTTCCCAGTATGGAGGGGCGGCGTCTGCGGCTGCTTGTTCGTAGGACTGTTATGCGTTAGTATTGTGTCTCAGCGCTTGGAGTGTGAAGGGAATACGTACAGGAGGCAACTCCTCCTTCTCAGGGCCATTATTTCGTTCCGGTTTGGCTGTCAGATTCGAAAAGACACCCTCATTCTGGATACCACCACCATAAACCCTTCCTGACGTTCGCGTCGTTGATCCTCCCCCTGTCGTCGTGTATGATGGAGTCGGTAACTGTGTCGTCTGCCTTTCAGGCCCGGGCCTTGAACTTCCTCCTGATGTCGTTTCAGTCGATCCCGCTGCCCCGGAGGCCTCCGTCGGCGAAGAGTCCCGTCGCATTAAGCGCTGTCTGTCGTCGGCATCATCGTCGCTGTCGTCGTCATCTTCGTCGGCACCAAAGGCATCGGCGAGGTCGGGATTCACGGGGCGTTGACTGTTGTGGATGGAGGATGCGCGGGAGTGGAAGGATGGTGGTGGCGAGTTGGGGATCGGTGGTCTCGACGTAGGGTTGGTGGGTGTTGGCGTGTCGTCGTGGTGGTCGTCATCGTTGTCGGCGTGGGCGTTGACCTGATGGGTATTGTTAGATTGGCTGGAGTTGAAATCCGGTGGTGATGATGGGCGACAACGTACCCTTTCGTAACGGGCCGACATCGTGACGGATGTCTGCGGATGAATCGACTGGTGTCTGTCTGTGTCGCGCGCACGCTGTGTGTTGATGTTGACGACTATTGATGTCGGATGCGGTGTTTCAGGATTCGGGAACCCCTCTCGTGGATAATGCGCGAAGATAAGAAATGCGTCTTTGTTGTTGATGGATGATGATCAATCAGGATGGAGATGGAGAAATGTTCACAGTGAATGCTGTCAAGGTTCTCCTGCTGACGTCGCCACTGTGTATGCAGGGCACCGCACTAATTCCGGTGGGCTTGCAGGGAGTCTGTCGCGCGTCGTTCAGGAGTGGAAAAGGAGGAAGCGATGCGACTATGGAGTCAAGGAAGGAGAAAGTGGAACAAGGAGACAACGGAATAGGAGATGGAAATTGGTTATGATATTGAAGTCGTTGTCGTCAAAGAAGAAGAGGATGGCCGTCGAGTCGACCAAGGAACAAAGGGAAAGGTTGTTGAACTAGGATTAGGAAAAGGAGTCGTAATGAAACTGTAAAACAAGCGAAGCAACAGAGGATACTTGGTGTCAAGGGCTCGAATGCGATGGTCGACGAGATGTTGGACCTCGTTGTCCTCAATTGTTGTAGAGTTACAAAGAGAGGAGAAGGCGCTGTTGCCGTTGTCACTCTCAAAGTGTCACTCCAGTGAGTGAAACAAGATGGCAGCTGACCAAGCGGAATCATGCCAAGTTCCTGAAATGATTGTGCTGGAGCGACGACTGCGCCATCGGCGCCAGTGAAATGTGGAATTGCATGGACGAGCGGAGACGGTTCGTGAACCATTGTTCGTTCATTGTGGCTAATGAGCAGCCAAACGTGGCTGAGCAGAGATCAATCTGTGGCTCAAGCTCTCAACGTCAGATCGACGCTTGTCGGTCCATCGCTTCTGATTGCCAAGCCCAGAATTTCAGAGGGGCCGCCTCGCCGTTGACACTCAGCATTGCGACTTGCGATTGAAGCTTTGGTTGTCTACCTACAAATCCCATCTGTGTCGCCTCCATCACCACCACCACCACCACCATGTCCGGAGCCCTTCGGAACGTACGCAACACTCACTCCCTTTCCTGTACGCGACCCGTTCGTTCGTTGCTAACCGTGAAATTTGTATAGCTCGCCGCAAGGCAATACCAACGCGCCCTCGCCGATTGGCCTCGCGACGCCCTCCGTCCCGAATGCCAGCTCCAGGACGTCCTCTCCAAGCGCCTGCAGAAGAACAACGGCAGCCTTTTGCCCAACACGCCGGCCTTCAACAAGTTGACCAAGGAGGCCAGGGAGGAGGCCGAGATCAAGCAGGCTAATGCGCTGATTAGCTTGTTGGAGAATAGGTATAAGAACAAGGTATGTCTGATGGATGGTCCTGGGGATTGGTGGAAGATACCTAGATGAGGCACACAGGAAGATAGATGGAATAGTTACATGGGACAGGTGTGCTAACGGATTCGGTTCGAAACAGTACCGCATCACCGGCGAGCTCCTCCGCCCTAAGAGCAACCCCAAGTACTATACCGATCTGGTCAAGGAGCTCGAGGAGGCGCCGAACAGGACCTTCTTTGGCAGGATAGCCAAGAGGCTGGGAGGTATCGTTCGCTTCCAGTCGTAAGGCAGAGGAGAGAGAGGGAAGAGAGTGTAGGATTCTTCTGTACAAATACCGAATTGCATGTGTGGTTCATGGGCAGGCGTCTGGAGTCTGGGTATATCAAAAATGGCCTGGTACATATGATGGGCTGGAGCATAGGCCCCTTGCGACAGGTCGCAATAGCATTTACCGGAAACGAAAAGGTTTCAAGTTTGTCTGTAAAATGTTCAGGATATGCCTGTGCCAAACATATATACAACTTTTGTCTACCTGTGCCATTAGGGCGTTCCTCCTGTTGTCGCTGGTCTCGTGGGTTTCGTCTGTCCATCTTTCTTTTCCGGTCCGTCTCTTGTAGTTGTCCCGTTGTCTTCATCCATCATTACGTGAAAAGACGCCTCAACGCCCTCGCTCGTGGCAATTCCATTAGATATACTTTCTCTCAGGGTCGAACCTGTCAAATAGCTCCATGCTCTTCTCGTACATGGTAAACACAATACCACCACTCATAATCAGTCTTGCCAACCTCGGCAGCGCACCGCTCCAAAAAGTCAAAAGGCCCTCCTGCTTGAAGATAATGCTGGCGCATCTAAACGAGTTGCCGTAAAGCTGCTTGGCCTCGATACTCTGCATTCTCGTCTTGATGGTGTCCAACGGCTGAGTGACGTAGACGGTGATCAGACCCGCGATACCGCCCATGGCGAACGTTCCGACAGCACCGAGCTTCTCCCCGGGCGCGGTGTAGCTCTCCGCGAGCTGCTTCAAAGCGGTGTAGGTTCCGAAACGAGTGGCGCTGTTGGCGGCTTGTCGCGCGGTGGTAGGAACGAAACCTTGGAAGAAACCGCGGATGCCGCGCTCGCGGTAAATGATGGGGACGGCGTGGAGGAAGCCACGGAGGCGGGGCTTGGCGGACTTGCGGTCGTCGATGCTGTTGGCGGTTTTTGGTCAGCGATGGGCCATGATCGCAGACAGAGAATTGGGGTGACCGTGACTCGACTTACAGCGTGGTCTTGATGCTCTCGGTTGGCGTCACAGCCAGCAGTGACTCGGTCACACCGGCGCCAAAACCGGCGAGGACGGTGCCTGGGCCGGAAAGCTTGCCGTTGGAATCGGAGAGGAGCTTCTTGTACTGGTCAAAGGCGACGAATCCTGTCCCACGTCTTGTTTAGCGGTTGTTTTTTCGTTCTCCTGATATGTCTGGGAACCGTACGAATGCCCGCCTTGAGCGAGTTGCCGATAATCAGAGTCGTGCAGCCGGCATACCATTGCGCGCCAAAGGGCGGCCATGGGAGCTTCTGGCCCTCGGCTAACCTGCGGTTGAGCTGGGTGCGAGTCTTGGCGACTGTCGCGAACAGTTAGGACAATTGGGTGTTTGTCGCGATGGACTAGTCGTCGGGTCGGTGGTTACGTACACTCGGCAGGATATGTGATGGCTGTTTGTTTGTTGTTAGCGCTATGCGACAGCGAAAACCGCCTTGGTGTTGTTGGTAGAGTGAAAACTCACCAATCTCGACGGCGCCGGCGGTCGAACCAGCGAGAATGGAACGGAGGGCACTGGGGCCCTTGAGGGCCGGGTGGGCATTATCGTCCTTTGTGGCGGCAGAGGACATTTTGGCGGAGAGACAGACTGACGACAACTGAAAAGAGACTGGAAGATGGACTGAAACTTGGACAACAAAGTTGGGAATAATTCAATCGGACGGAAAGTTTGACAATGACGCCGTTGCTCCGATTGCGGGGCCCCCATGCGTTCCCGGCCCGTCTGCAGTGGATCGCTTCTCCACTTTTTCCGCTTTCTCGCTGTTTGGACGCCAAGACCATGACGAGAACCTTAAGAACTCCTTGTTCTTCTTTCTCTCTTCATCCTCTCATGGCCATAACATCACCCGCCTCCCAACGAAAATCTCAACCATCGGCAATATGCATGGCGGCCTCCCCTTTCTAGTCGAAATGGCCTCTTCTCCGCCTGGGGTCTTTTCTGAGGGACAACTGGATCATCTACCTTACTCGAGCGCCTTTAACGCAACCATCTCTCGCGCGAGCCCGGAGAACCTTGCAGACTTGTTCTTTTTATCCGAATCAATCGACATACATACAGACAGGCCAGTCGTGGTCGTCAAGTGTCGATACCATGTTGAAGCCACAATGCTGTCGGATTGGCAGACGGCATAGCTGCTGCTTCAGTGTCTGGCCAGTCAGCCTGCCGTGACACCGATAACGAAGAGACAGACGTTTACTGGCCTTGGCGGTTTGTTTTGTCTGATGCACTGTAGGCCTCCGTGCCTGATGGACGCCTGATCATCGAGTTGGTTGGCATGGTGTTTTCGGTGTCCGGTTCTCTCCTCAGTTAACTCTCTTAATTCGGTGAAATATCTCTTCACCATGATCCCTTCACTCGAAGATTGCTACCGCTTACAGTGTCCATATACATCATGGAAGCGTTAGACGACAACCCCTTAGGGATTTCTAACCTCCTGTGGTCCTGCTCGCCATTTCCTTCTCCTCACAAAGACCTCCCACCTAAGCTTTGGCATGTTCAACATGGACACTCGCAGTCTTTCATGACCTACGACGGCGGCTTTATAGCCGCCGCCGGTTATCGGAGCATCAGAGATGATGCGGATCTCAGGCTACAAGCAAGCAGGCATTTCGACTGGGACACGCATCTCCACGAGGAAACTTTGGGTTGGCAATCGTGTTTCATCTCCGCCTTTGGAGACAGACGCCATGCCGAAAACTGGGGGAGACAGCGTGGCGGCCCTGTTGCACTATACGAAATCGAAACCCAGCTATTAATTTCATCAATCGTCTTCGACGCCGTCAAGCTTTGTGATCTTCTCGAGATAAGAGATCACTCATTTGCAAAGAACGAGTTTATGTTTTTGGATCGAATTCCGGGGTACTGCCTGAGCGATCAATATCAGCTCGTTGGTAGGCAATATATCCGGCGGCCAGATTGGCGTGCCACTGATGTACCTCGTCCTAGTAAGTTACAAAGAGTCCCTACAGCTATTCTTGGTGTGAGCAGCCGAGCTGATTCCATCAACTTTACAGGCTTAGCTACTGTACTCGGATTTTTCGGGCTAGAATATTTACTCCCGAATTCCGAGGCCTGTGATGGACACGGAGGCCTGCCCATGGAATCAGCCAACACTGAGGACGATGTGGAGGGCTTGATCAACAGCTTTAGGGCGTCTTTGGCTACTCTAAAATCGACCTGTGAAATGTTCAGAGCCAATTTTTTCAGGCCCGTGAAATCAACCAACGCCGATGACGATGTGGACAGCTTGGTCAACAGCTTTGATGCCACTTTACGTCTGAATAACGACAACACCCCTATTCCGCAGAACAATACGTCCAAAATCTAAAACATCCGTTCTTCCGGAGGGATGGGGTTTTGCGCACATCATCTCCTGATCACTTCAAGTCGGTGTTATGTCTGCGGAATTGATTGAGACTGGGTTCGAGGTTTTCCTTCGGCAACATTTGGTTGAAATACCTTCTTTTTTCTTTTCTTGTTTTCTTTTCGTCTCTTTGAACACCACTTGCCCTAACCTATCGTATCGGTTCCTTTCTGACACCGCGCAACAATTTTGCTGCAACTCTTTCTTCTCCTCTCCATGGCGGTCTCCAAACATTGGCAGCCCAAAACATCCAATCACGGTCAACCCCGCAATCTCAGCTGCACAGCCATCAACATATGTCGAACATATGTGGTGTTCCATCTACGGTTCTGTTACAATGGGGAGTCGCTTCACCTATGTTTTCTGATGGGTTGTTTCAAGAGGAATTTCCCGCGCAGACCCTTTTTCTTACTTGACTGAGACAGCCAATTCATCAAGTTTCCCATTCTTGAGTTCAGCTCGTCTCAATGCGCATCAAATATTCTGGTTCTGGACCAAAAACAGCCGCGGTCCAACACATCTTTCACACCCCCAGTTCTGTGTTCGTTAGCGCCGGCATAGCCACTGGCCACTCTCCGAGGCCAACTTGAAGCCACAATGTGACCCTGTTGGCAGGTGGTAAGGCGTCTTCCATATACGATTTTGTCAACCTGTTCGCCTCCGCGTTGTGATACCAACCATGTGCTTGGGCCGCGCACCTTCGCCGGCCTGCTCACTACCATAGGCCTCGATACCCCATGGACGCCTGACTCCGATGTGTGATCATGGCTGACATAAATAAAGCTGAGGCTTCCCTCCTCACTGCACCGAATGGCACCAAGTGAACAACATATCGACACAGTGAGGTTTCTTGTCAACATCCTGTCCCACCAATTCAGAACTGTTCGAACATCATCATGTCACAATCATTCTGGCACACCGTGCCCTCTCCAGAAGATGCGGAACCCATTCAGAACTTGAAACTCCCGCCGAAGCTTTGGCATGTTCAGCATGGCGAATCTCAATCGATCAATCTCAAGGACGGCGGTTTCCAGGCCCGAAACCCCCGCCTTGACATCCGTACCCGCGATGCACTAAGGACGGAGGCAGGCAGACATTTCATATGGTACACGCGGAACTGGGATTCCTGCTTTCTCTCGACCTTCGACAATCAGAATCATGCAAATAACTGGGCCATGATGGAGCACAAGCGCTATAACACGCCCCTCCTTGTTAAGCCCGTCCTTATCTACGAGTTGGACACCTCCAAGTTGCCACCCGGCACCACCATCTTGCAGTCCACCGCGCTGTGTTTATCCTTGGGTATAGATCACCCATGGAAGGAGCACGAATGGATTTTCCATCAGCAAATTCCAGCTAGCTGTATCATTCGACAATACTATCCTTGGAATGACTATGAGCGCATCTTCCAATCCTCATGTAAGTACAGCTCTACAGCGACCGAGGCTCGGTGCCATATTGCAAATAGTGAGCAGTAAACTGACAGTCCACAAAGTACATCTTACGGGCTTGGCTGAGGCTCTCGTGGGTGCCGAATGGCTTCCCCCACGCAATACCAACGGGCCCATGCCGCCTAGCCCGGCAAGGACCGAGGAAAACCAGGACGACCTGGACGACCTAACCGGCAGGATGAACGGGTTAGAGCTCGAGAACGATGCCGGTACATCGAATGGCGACACACCTAGTGGTTCGGCAAACGAGGAGGACGTTGATCCCAACCCGATCGTTGATACACCAAAGGACAGTGATCCAGTAAGGCAAGAGGGTACCGACTCCAGACCGTCCGACGATATGCCGAAGACCAATGACGCAGCAACAGAGGACATCGATCCTACACCGACCCTTGATACATCCAATGTCGAAAATGCGGTAGAGGAAAATGTCACTGACACTCAACTGAGCGGCGGAACCGTCGTGGCTGATGATTCGGTACAAGGAGAAGAGGTCATCAACCTCATTTCGAGGGATGACTTGTCCAAGGCTAATGCTGGTGGTCCCTTCCAGCAGAAGATCATCTGGACGGTGGACAAGAAGATTGTTGAGGCCAAATCCAGTTTCTCGGTGGTGGTGCAGTTCGAAGTCCGGGCCGCAGATGAGGTTTAGGGTTGATATTTCATGTCATTCACGTCATCATGGATGTCCTTTGAGGTGATAAGGTTGTGTCTTGCAGTGCGACAAGTATGACTCAGCGGTATTGTTCGGAAGTTGCGAAATTCTCAGGGTGAGACGCAAGAAACTTGAGCTTATATGGCGATGTCAAGCATAGGCACCTTGATATGCGCAAGCTGCAGGGCAAGCTGCGGCCCACGCCTTGACGCCTTGTTGTAAAGTGTGGAAGGTGCATCTCACCCCGAATTTATTTGCAGAGTATTTAGCTGGGCCTGGCATGCCTTTTCCTCTTTTCCTCTTTTCCTCTTTTCCTCCTCAAGCCACCAATCGACCGTTTTCCTCATCATTGGAAACACTTTGTCTCAAGATTTCCTTCACAAACCCCGCTCTTGCCTTTGGGCTTTGTCTTTCTCAAACTCAAACACCCGCACAATCATAATCTCCTCCGCTCACGCTATCAAAGCCTGAATCATGGACTACCCACCGGTCTCCGTGTCAAACTATGACCACGGGCATCCCAACGAGCGACTGAACCTCCCCATGTTCTTATATTACATCCAACACGCCAGATCCCAAACCAAGGTCTCCGGCAAATACGGTGACATTGAAGCTGCGGATACGACCCAGTCGTCTTATACATTGGCAGAGTTAAAACAGCGCACTGCAGAACACCTTGCGTGGCGCAACAAGCGCCCCAGCTGTTTTGTCTCGGCTTTTGCTGAACTCTACCATGCTTTGAACTGGGGCAGGCAGCTCGAGGGACCGGTGTATATGTATAAGATCGACACTAGATTGTTCGCTCGAGATCCCTTCAAGCATTATGTGAGCCCAGTACAAGTACTTGGCCAGGACCAGTATCTGTTTCTCCATCGAATTCCACGCGTTGCCATCGTTTCCTGCCAACAGATCAAGGCAGCAGGGTGTGGTAAGTGCTTCCCCGTCCTCACATCCTTTTTGTACCTTACGACATGATGGCGCCGAGTGTCCGTCCTGGTTTTGCAACCAGGCCCTCGACCATAAAACGGCATCCTTCATGTTGGCTTTGAAGACCTGGAAAACGCATTCTTATGCCATCATGTGGTTGACTAACGAGTGTTTAGAAATCCTGATTTCTACTGGCCCTCCTTTTCACCGTGAACGGGATACATGGTGGTCTGCGTGGGCGATACTCTCGTCTTCAGCTACAACTAGACGGAACCCCCCATACAGGAGTAGCATACCTGCGTCAAGACCGAGGTTATCAGCAAGAAACCCAAACTTTGCCAATGCTAGACGTGGGCGCCCAGTGGTCACGTCAAAGGATCATTGAGCCCGACCAGCGGGCATTAAACCGTGGTGTGTTGGAATTGAATCTCTCACTAGCCGGGGCAATGGCCACCCAGGCTTACCGCAGACCTCTAGCCGACAAGGAAACACATCGAAAGGGGGAGGAAGACATGTTTGGGAAGGAAGTGGAGGACGACAGAAAAAGAGGGAACAGCGAACGACATCTGCAATTCTGCATTGCCTCGAGCGAGAACGGAGACGGCAGATTTTCTTTTGGGTGACAAAAGTTGTTCTTTTTGCCCGCGGTCTGGGCTTCGGAAGCGGTATTCGGGGTAGGGGTTAGGGTATTGTACAATAGGGGAACTGTGGAAGTGGATGGGAAGGTCGATCTTGGAGACCTAGAAAGAGTTGGGCACAAGCAAGAGTTGATAAACCGGTGGAGGAGAAAGATGGCAGAGAGATGGAGTGTTCATAGTATACTCGAAATCGTTGGAGATGATTCCAGACAACGATTCTAGACAGAAGACGTAAGGATGGGCGCTGAAGGATGCCGGTAACAACAACTCAAAACCGGAGCGGCAACATTCCGAATGTTGAGGAGGCAAGAGAGAAGGGGAAAGGGATTTTGGTCCCGAGGGAAAGCTCGAGACACTCTTCTGGTGATGCGGTGGGCGACGACTCTTATAGTTGGAAGGAGCACCCTATCCAAGTCTCACTCAACTCGGTACTTTGACCTGAACTGGCAAGCCACTCTTCCTTTCTCCAACCAAACCGCCAGTCGAAGATTTTTCGCACCATCAAAGACTGCACTTCGCCACACGACCCATGTATGATATAAAGATTCATCGTCTTGTTTCCTTCCTTCCCGGAATAGTACCGTCTGGAGATGATAAACTGATCGCGGCTTTGTCACTCGAATTACTGATGCGTCTTCTTTCTTTCTCGAGGTAGGAACATAAATTTCTTGAGCTGATATGCAATGCAGTGATGCCGTGAATACCTTGGAAATGCACACTGTCATGCAGATTGCCAACTGAGGCCAGGGGCTGAGGGCGTGCAAATTCCGGTATGTACCTACGACTTCGGAGTCCGGACATTCGTATTTACGGACTGAGCTCTGCTGCATGCAGATATCTTTCACAAACCCCGCTGTTTGGGCAGTTGACTTTCTTTCTTAAACTCAAGCACCGCTGCCATCTCTCCAGTTCCATATTCCTCTCAACTTGTCTTTGTGCCTTCGAATCATTTGGTTTTCGACAGATCCGTTGTTTGAAGTCCTGACACCATGAAACGCGAAGATCTCAACAAATGGGCATTCCCACATGACAAGCTTCCCCGGAAGCTTTTCTTCGTTCACCATGCCGGGTCACAGTGCCGTTTCATCGAAGAGCGCGAAAGAGAGGAGGATTGTCCCGACGATCTGAGCATAGACGAATTGAGCCTGAGCATAATGGGTGGAATCACAGCCGCATCCCCAGATGGTATAATCGGGTGTATCGACGAGTTAACCAACGTCACCGAGATATACCGGAAGATCAAAAGACACCTCTATTGGTCCAACCGTGGCCCTTCATGCTTTGTCTCCACGTTCAGCGACGGCAATGATGCTCTTCGTTGGGGTCTGCAACTCGATGGTACCGTCAAGATCTACACCGTCGATACAAGTACTACGAGGTTACCTCCGATGCCGATGGTACACGTATTCCGCCCTGCCGACTTCAATGTGAACTGGCCCAAAAAACGAGTACTTGTTCTTCCATCAAATTCCGTACTGTGCTATTGAGTGTTTCACTATCATCCCGGATGACTGCAAAACAAAGCGTGAGTACCACCATACCTGCTACCTCTGGCAAAGGCTACTGATGCCTTCGTACAACAGTGTATGATCTAACTAACAACGTTTGCACCAGATTCATGCCTAGCTCCATCCCTCCCGCAATCCATGAACGACTCATCACCTGATCCTGGACCTTCACGAAAGAGTGATAAAAGGAAGCGCGAGGAAGATGATGCATCCAGCAGGAAGACAAGGCTACGAACGAACACGGGGAAAGCTATAGGACCTACAGCTACAAGTGAAGGTGGTGATGGGAAAAAGTGAGACGCAGCCGGCAGGCAGAGGCGGTTGGCTGCTTGGCACCACAAGATTTTACTTGTGGAAGTCTACCTCTACCATGGAACGCTATATCAACGACACGTTCCTCGCTCCAACTCTTCGGGAGACGGAACATCAGAAACAAACATGGCCAAATGTTGGAGGGGACTGATGTTATTCTAGTCAGATGCACTCGAGAATGCAAGGATTCCGATCAACACCAAGCTACAACGCTTCAGAAAATCAAACAACCACAAAGACGATGGAATCCAGCTGAAGTGACATCCGCCAACCTGAGAGGTTTCCAGTCGAACCTGATCGAACGGCGGCCGCGTAGAGGTAGGGATTAGCGTTTAAGAACGGCCAATGTGTGGCTACGGAGGACATCAATGCACGGAGGGGAAAGTGACGATTCTTTACGTCACTGTTCTGTGGACACTCAGGAAACTATTCCCATGCTCCAGCACATTGACAGCTGCCAAGACTTCCCGATGGAGCATGGGAATGTGACAGCGTTATATTTGTAAAGAATTGATCCTCGCCCAGCACCCCGACTGGGCATTACTGGGGCTTAAATATGGGCCCTGTTTGAAAGGTATAAATGGGAGAGGCATAGCTATTTTCTTTCTTCCAAAGTTGAGATTCCTTTTGTTAGCTTTTTTTTTTACTCAATTATCAATCCCATATCCTCCCTGCTATTTTCACTTCCGCACATTCTTATCCTCCTTTACCCACAATACCAAGAGCTGAACCATGGACCTCCCAACATTGCACGTGGCCCAGTTTGGCCGTCCACCAACTCGGCCCCTCCGCCGAAGAAACTCCCCAGGTTCTTATATTACATCCAACACGCCGATTCACATGCCCTACGTTCTGGCTCAAACAACATCGAAGCTGCGTTCGCATGTCGGAACACTTATACAATGAGAGAGATTAGGCAACGCGCCGCAGAAAATCTAGATTGGTACAGCGACTGGCCCAGCTGCTTCATTTCGGCATTTGATGATTTTAATCATGCCCAAAATTGGGGTTGGCAACGTAAGGGACCTGTCTCTCTGCATATCATCGACACCACATTGTTGCCGCGCATTGGGCAGTGGGTGTACTGGGTTGCAGACAGTCCGGGTGACGAGTATCTGTTTCTCAATCAAATTCCTGGCGGAGCTATTGTCGAAAGCCAAGAAATCAAGACCGCGGAGTGTAAGTGCATCATAGTCACCATACCCTATTACTCAACACAGGATGGCACAGAATGCCTTTCCCGGGTCTTGTAAACGAAGCAATGACTATAAACCGGCATGCTTGGTTTACAATGAGAAGACCGGAACATGCACTCTTCGACTTGCGCCATCATGTAGCCGGCTAACAAGCTCGTAGAAACCACGATTCCTTTCCCGATTTCTCTTCTCCCGGCGGATATACCGCTGTATCAATCAACAGTGGCATTAAATTCGTTATTGCAAAGGCTTGCAGATGAGCTAAAGAGCCTACAACTCACCAGCCGACTTCAACACGACACATAACTGGTGATGTGTTTTGAGTCTCTCGCCAATCAGCGGTCATCCTGGGGTCCCGGAAACCCCAAGCCGGCAAGGAAACTAAGAAGAATGGAAAGAAGCAGAGTTTGGGGAGGAAGTGGAGGACGCAAACCTGAATGGGGCAACTGCAAACGACGCCTGCATTACCTTGGCGAAAACCTGAACGGAGATTACAGATCGACTGTAATCAAGGGCGTCCACGCACACCTTGCTTTATGGCGTATCTGGTCCCTGACCCATCTACGCCATGGCCTAGGGGCCGGATCTTGCAATCCCGGCTGCACCTGCCACAACTGGCACACATGAGAGCAGCCGCCTGGAGGTGGACGGAAGGTCGCAAGGGACATACCCGCCTAAGACGCTCGCGGCGTTTGGCCGGATCAAGTCTATATCATCAAGCTATCATCACCGTCAATCAAAGCAAAGTCTTAGCCTCGCGCTCTTCTCATCAACATGTCCTCTCCGGCCAACGGAGGTCGGAGAATCCTCCATGTTCCGACTTCCGTCTCTGTCGCCGTTGGACTGTCGAGCTCGGCACGACATTACACAACGGTGGTTCTGACGGGCACACTCGCAAAAAGCGTTCTACTTGTGATATATAGAAGCGAGGAAAACGTCCATCGCAAGTTCAGTGCCAGAACGAGAAGAGCAAGACAAGAGACGACAAGCCTCACTTCAGTAGACGCCCGCTGTCAGGATCTATTTGTGTATCCCCACCAAGACAGCGGTGGTAAGGCATGCGCAGTCCCGTCCCTAGGTCTTACTGCCCAGATCGGTCAGAAGCTCGCGACGTCAGTTTGGGGTCCCATGGGCGGTTTTGAGAGAATCACATGGAAATTGGAAAGCAGTACAGACCGAGCGTTTCAGAATCTTTAAGTTTTGGTCTACATTTGCCGCGTTTTACATTCGCTTTTTCCAGTAACACTAACTATTAACAATTTCAATTTAAGCTTTCCATTTCATCCGCCACCGGTTCAAATTTCCAATTTCAGGCTGGACGGACTCTCAATTTCTAAAAGGTTGCGCTGTTTCCAACCAAGAACTTTCCGAATAGAGGTACCTGTCTCGCATGAAAGCCCGAACATGCGGACGACAAATGCAGCTGCCGGCCGAGATATTGTCCTTTATTGGCAGTCTCGCACTTTCCATACAATCCTCTGTTGTGAACTTCCTGCTTCAACTTTAAGTCTTGAACCGCCAAGACGCGAAGACGGTCAGGTCAACACCCTTTTTGGTTGATGCTGACATATAGGCAGGTGCAACTACTCGTTTCAACCAGACCAACAGAGAAAGAAGGACTCACTTCTCCGGCTCTGGACCTTGCAAATCGCCAGAGAGTCAACAGAAGCTGGCAAGCAACACCAACGTCACCCTTGCCTTCCGAAGTCAAAGCCGAAGGACTGAAATTTCGCAGGGTTCGACCGGGAGATGACATTGCAACTGTTCAACTCCTTGTCACGTACCACCAACCCAACTTTGAGGCCGACGAGAGGCTTGATAGCTCCCGGTACGTCCAACAGCACTGCCCTCTCGACTCGACATATCCCACCTCGGCTCTAATGCTCATCAGATCACCATGGAGCCCCTTGTTGCTCCTATCATCTTCAATTTCGTGGTTCCTTGCTGGGAGCTTCCGCGCTACCTCTACTTTGTCGAGCATGCCCGATCCCAGACGTGTCGCAACAACCAAGGGGATTTTGAAGCGGCAGATCTGTTCACCCCGTTGAGAGGTCCAATGCACCTTCATCAGCGGATCTCAGAGCATGTCAATTGGGCTTATCGAGGCCCAACTTCGTTCATTTCCACGTTTGCCGACGACAGTCATGCTATGAATTGGGCCAGGCAGCGCCAAGGACCGGTCACTATTCACCGAATTGATACTTGCGAGCTAGACGATCGTTATTGTTGGGTGTTCTATGCGAGCGATTTCACCCAGCACTGCTTCGAATCCGAGTTTCTGTTCCTTCATACCATCCCGGGACACGCCATCGTATCCACGTGGACTCTGGGGCGTTCAATCAGTAAGTAGAGCATTGATTATATTTCCCTGCTTTCATGGCGGTTAAAATCAATATCTGACTAGAGAATTGCATCTACAGGGAGCGGTCAACGAGCCTGGCGTCCACAAGGCTATTACTAGTGGCATTTGGGTCACTTCTCTGTAGACCAGAGTCTCAGTTTGACGGGGCCTTAGGCGAGAGGCGGATAGATTATACAAGGCAAATCTCATCGGCCTATTTCAAGTTATTAAGCATTATTGTGGTCAAGTACATCTGAGCTTAGCCTCCTACTGTTCTACTCAAAGGCAACACTATCACAAACCCCGAACTAGATTCAGAGTGTACGCCTTGTTCCACTTGTTTCCATTCGATTGCGGAGATTTGCAGAGCCATTGCAACTGCCAGCCAAAACACCGTCAGCTTTGCCCCTTCCCTGAAAGTTCCGGATGTGCTCCTCCTCTTCGCTTTCTGGGATTTGGACAGCCAAGACGACTAATATCGGCACGATTCCAGCTGGCATAGGGCAGGCGCAGTCGCCATGTCCTTTCTTTGCTCGTGAGAGTGTTAAGATTGTAGAATGGTTCGTTGTCCGGTCAGCTTCGCACTTCCCACAGTTATACTTTGACATTGTACTGTATCAGCCCAGAAGGGACGTTTTGGTGCGCGTTTGCTGCGGCAGCACTATTTGTCCAAGATAAATTGAACATCGCCAACCCATTTCGCGGCCGAATGCCGTTCTTTGCAGCATCGCCACCTTTTAAACTTGACATCGCTCATCAGAGGTTCTTCATCAAGTCATCATGGCTCAGCCAATCAACGATTTTAACGTCCCCGTCCATCAACGCCCGAGATATCTGTTCTTCGTTCAGCATGCTAGCTCCCGGTCCCGCATTAACAACAATGGCGGCTTTGAGGCTGCAGATACCTCGACTACGCCACACGACTTAGCACATCTCCAATGGCTCATTATGAACCATGTCAATTGGGCGTGCAGAGTCCCCAGCTGCTTTATTTCAACATTTGGTAGCTTCGACCAGGCTATAGACTGGGGAATGCAGAGGGACCGACCGGCTACCATCCACCGAATTGATACTAGGAATATAGACCTAGAAGTCCTAATCTTCAGGGCTCTACACTTCACGTCAAACTGTTTCGGCACCGAGTACCTGTTCCTTCACGGCATTCCTGGTTATGCTATTGTTCGACAATACCATGTTCCAGATGCTGAGATTTGTAAGTTGAGAGTGCACCTCATCATGGAGAAAATATGTTCTTGGGCTAAAGGTTCGTCTAGGAGCAACCGTGAGACTTGGCGGGTTTCGAGTCCACTATTAATGCCACTCGGCAAGCAACCATTGTCCGTTCGAAAACCGCACCGCTTCCATGCGTAGTTCAGCAAACCATGAGGGACGGCATGTAGGGACAAGGTTGGGGAATCTTTGCCACTCCGCAAGAAAAGATGTGCAAGTTTCGGGTTCCTAGGTAGCAAGGGACTTTTTGACATCAGGAACAGGGCAGACCTGAAGCAGAGGAGAATGGCAAAGAGGGAGTCAACATGTAACCGCCACAAAGGGAATTTCAGGTCAGTCGTGATGGCAGCCCTCAATGCACATATGTTACGATCCAATCAGGGATAAGAAGCTAGATAGACCAATCAGACTGAGGCCGCATTACCGGGACCGCGCCGGCGGGCCTACAGATCCGGCGCAGGCCCGCAACCATGGCAGCGGCCCGGCGGCCACGGTTCGGAAGGCCAGTATATAAGACGGCCTTCCCAGGCGTCGTACATACTGGATCTTCAGCAAGAAATAGGTTCTACAATCGATCAGTACCTTTTTGGCTACTACTAACGTTGTCTTTATCCCAGCGATTACTCTTGTGCTTGTTTAACGGTTCGTCACATTTGTACAGTCGAATTTCCAAGCGTCGATTTTGCCACTGTAGTGACAGCTGGCACAGAAGTTCATCCCTACCTCACCGTCCTGTGAAGGAAGTTGTGGTGGGGACAGCGGTGTTGTTCCCTTCACTCGACAGTCCTAACGACAAGGGACGTTTTTAGCATCTGCCGAAACGCCACTCCCCTCTCAAACTCCTGTCTTGACTCTTTCCCCGACACGGAAAACACATTGTTCTTGCCTAATCGAGTGAGGAGTTCTTTCCAACAACATTGTCGAACGGCCACATCAAATACTGAGCGCCTCTCACCAAGTCACGGCATCATGGCTCGCCGTCGTCGTCGTGGTCGCCCCTGGACCTCCTACTCGGAGCTCTACAACGACATCCCGAAGTAGTTGTACTTTGTTGAGCACGCCGGATCCCAATCCTGGGAGAATGGATACGGCGACTTTGAGGCAGCTGATACCTGCACCACAGGCCGCCGAGGTCTGGTTCATCTTGAGCAATCGATCGACCAACACGTCAACTGGTACTATCGGGGCGCTACGTGCTTTATTTCCACATTCTCCAACTACAACCATGCGCGGAATTGGGCTAGGCAGCGTCGCGGACCAGTCACTATCCACACAATCAACACTTGTTATGTGGACGAGGATTGTCCCCCCATCTTCTACGCGCCTGATTTCACTTCGAACTGCTGGGGTAATACCGAATACCTGTTCCTCTACCGCATCCCTGGTAATTCTATCATTCGCAGCAGAACTCTCCGATGAGTAAGTGCAGCACTGTAGTCCTCTTTCTTTTGTACTTTCAGGCATGTAACTGACACGGCAATGCTTAGATGGACAAACCAGAGATGTAGCCGCTCTCAAGGCTATTGCTAGGGGCTCTGTTACCTACCTCTAGTTTTACTGTCAATGGAAGTTGCTTTACGGTGGCGCTACCATGAGAGTTACAAAGCTTTGGGAAACGCAAAGCGTGTTCAAGACAGCCTGCGAGAGGCATTCACTGGAAGCACTATTGAGGATGTGTGAATCAGGGTGTAAAAGGGGAGGATGGCTTAGGAATGAAACGGAAACCGGAGTGTGCCGCGTTAGCAACACGAGCTTTTCGCGTGTTCTTGCTTCCTCTTTGTCGGTTGAGTCGTTTGGATCTGCTGTTGCTTGAGGATCAAGAAAAGGCCAAGGATAGTTCCTGGCTATGTTACCTACCTCCAGGTAGTATGAGCAGAGGATACATGGAAAGAATCTTCGTAGGGCGTTCTACGACTGGCGGAAGCCACGTCTAAGTGCACGCAGCCAAATCCAAACAGCAAGAGCTCTCACAACCGCATACGCATATGAAGTGATTGCAATCCATCCAGTCAGTTTCCTGCGGCCAACTTCATTCACTTGTGCATTCTCCCACCTCTTTCAGCTCGACTACGCCGGCACAATCCAAGGTCATTATTGACTATCATTATACCTGAATATCTTTATCTTCCACTCTCTCATCAAGCACCATGGAGGAGACCCCATGGGCCACCCCTCGACCTTGGCGTCTTACAGACTGTTTCATGACGCCCGAACTCCTTCCCCACTACCTGTACTATGTGCGACATGGAACATCTCAAACCTCATTTGGGCCCAACGGCGACATTCACACCAAAAACCCAGACAAAAGACTTGCTATCTCTTCCCGTGGCGAATTGAAAGAGTTAGTTCGACGGCATCTCGACTGGTCCTCCAGGGGACCAAGCCTTTTTATCTCGACATTTTTCGACAAGAGCGTTGCGTGGCTCTGGGGTTCACAACGCGAGCCCATAGTGGTCATGTATACGATCAGTACACGACGATTGCCCGCCCACTGGCCGGTAGTTTGCGCCGGAGTCCACACCCAGAACGCCTTTGATGCCGACTTCTTGTTCCTTTCTTATATACCAAGCCAGGCTATCGTCCGTGTAGACACCATCCGCCCTCCGCTCCCGGAGGTTTTGGCGGCTGTCGATTATTCGGTCCCTCCCGCGGCTCCCACACGTGGTTTAGTTCGAGGATTTGTCCCTCCCGCGGCTCCCACACATGGTCTAGTTCAAGGATTTGTTCCTCCCACGACTCCCACACATGGTCCAGTTCAAGGATTTGTCCCTCCCCCGCCCTATGTCGGGCCCTATCCTACGCCCCATAATCAGTTTGCGCCCACGCCGGTTCCCGCGCCAGCGCCGCCGTATATCACGTCAACGCGGCCACCGCCGCAGTACTCGGCACCGCAGCACTTCACGTCACCGCCGTATACCACGCCCGCGCAGTATATCACGCCTGTTCCGCCTGTCGGAACCCCTTCTCGGGTTCCCCGTGAACCTGGGAATGAAGCACATCCCAGGTCTGAATCCAGTTACCCGTGTGAGACTGGACCGGATCCTTCGCCAGCGCCGCATTTCACGTCACCGCCACATACCCCGCCAGGGCAAATCACGACAGTTCAGCCTGTTGAGTCCCCTCCTCAGGTCCCCCCTCAGCTTAAGGATGGAACGTCTGTGTCCGAGCTGCCGGTCTCTTCGGTGACGGAGCCGTCTATCGCGTCCGATCCAGAGCTGGATGTCGAACCCAAGACAGAGCTGGTCCCCGAGGTAGACTCTGACCTGCCTGCTACGCCCAAGCCCAAGACACCTGTCGACAAGCCCGAGACACCCGTCAACAAGCCCGAGACACCTGTCCAGTCCAACCCCGAGCGAGCTGTCAAGTCCAACCCTGAGACGCCTGCCGGGACCAAGATCAGTTTCTTTGCGGAAGATTCTGAGCTCACTTCCTCACCTGTTGCCGAGCGAGCCGTCAATTCTAACCCCGACACGCCTGCCCCTGTCGAGACCAACATCAATTTCTTTGCGGAGAATTGAATGGTACGTTGAGCATAGCCGTCCTTAATGCTGGCGCAATCACCTTTCGCGAAGAGCCAAACACATCTTGTGTTGCTAACACGCATCGTTCAGGCATATCAGTATCCGAGACGAGCATTACCCGCCGGATGAGATCTTCCATGCCCATAGGTATGGCCATTCGGTTGCCCTGGGAACCACAATCTTCTCTTTCACTCAACGGTGCTGATATGTGTGTGAAACAGTGCGTTCGGCTTCCTCCCTAATTCAACATTCTTTTACTACCGGTAAATATGTCATGTACAGGTATGTTGACGTCGTTCACTATCCGCTGCTCTGAATCTCGCTCTGGTCAGGTCCAAGCGTCGGTGATCCCCTTGCTCACTGCAATGATTCGATTAAGATGGCTGTATCATGTTGACCTAACATTTTATTCTACAGGGTGATTGTCAGCGTACCATATGAGCGTGTTGAGTTATCAGAAGGGCATCCCTGGATATTGAGGATAGAACAGGGCTCCTCTGTTTGCAGTCCCATCTGTTTCTTGATAAGCTTCTTCGAATTAGCGAATTCCTACATCACTTTCTGCAATCTTTCTTACTCTGCTTCGGAATGCCAAGTTGAAACAGCAATGGATCGGCACTATGAGTAAGGTATCTGTTACACGACTTGAACAACACAAGAGGCAAAGAACCACGAGCCGCACAAGTCAAAGCCTATAGCTTTTATCCCTGCTTCTCCTAGACCTTACACCCTCAAGCTTTACCCAGCCCAAGTCCATCCCCTCCCCCGTACTCAAACAGCGCAAACTCAACCGTTTTACTGTCAACTTCCTCCTCCTCCACCAGTCCCTCTCGCTCTTTAAACCATCTCTCACATAACTCATTTTCCTCCTCCCTCCGCACCGCCAACCATTCGTCAAAATCCATATCTATGTCTTCACCCTCCTTGCTCTTCCCCTTAGCACGAGCCACGGCCCTCTTCCCCCTACGTTTCAGCGCCTTATAGCTCTCCTTCCAAGCCTTCCTTTCCTCCAACGTTGACATATCCTTCCCATCCCCAGTCTCTTCTTCCCCCATCTTTCCCTTCCCCTTTTCTTTCCTCCTCTTTTCCTTCTCCTTCATCCTTCTGTCCATCTCATCCAGAAACAGCCTCATCACTCCATCCTCTGTGTTCTCGTCGCCGGCGTACCCCCTCATGACCTTGATGTACCTACGCTTTACCTCTCCGGTGTCTCCATTCCACACCCTGTAATCTTTTTGTCTCCAGACTTCGTATGGGGATTGGATACCGAAGGATTCTTGGATGTACTCGATTGTTTGCCTGGCTTTGGGCGTGCATTGGATGCGGGCTACGCCGCCTGAGGGCCAGTCACGCTGGCGAAGGGTAATCAAGTAGTGGGTTGAGGCTTCGCGGAGGTAAGCGGCGCGGGGGTCGGCGGGTTCGGTAACGGAGTGGATGGCTTTGGTGGTGGTCAGCCTGGGCTTGGGGGTCTTGATCGGCCGAGAGGGATTGGCGGCGGCGGCGGCGGCGGCGGAGCTGCTTTCGCCGGCTTCATCCAATTGTATAGCCCTCAGTTTCCTTGTGATGATGAGCTTGGTTTTCGATTCGTCTCTGTCGCTGTTGGCTTCTTCTGCAGCTGCACTTCCCTGTCGGCTTTGGACTCTTGCGGAGCGCCGGAGGGGTGCAGATGCAGGATCTGGAGCAGACGCTTTGGATGCGGAAGGCTGTGCAGCTGCATTACCACTGCCGTCTTTCTCCTGCAAGACCTCTTTGCCCTTGCCTTTCTTGTTGGCAACCTCCACTTCCTTGGCCTTACCCTTTCTCTTCTTTGATGTCTGAACCTCTTCTTCCACATCAACCATTTCTACGTCCTCGTCTGCTTCTTCATCTTCTTCAACTGTCGGTCTGGTGTTCTCATTTTTAGCTCCTTCCTTCGCCTTACCGCTGGCAACTACAGTATCATCACTCTCCTCCTCCTCCTCCTCATCATCATCCACCACCACCACCTCCGTCCTCTTCACCCTCTTCGTCTCCCTTGCTTCCTCCACAACAGGCTCCCACTCCCCACACCCCTTCTCACTCCACACACAAACCCCCAACTTCTGCATCTCCTCCCCCGTCATCCTCACCGCCTTATACACATGCCATTTCTCCATCATCATCGCAGCATTCGGCTCCAGCTTCTTGTTGTAGTTCGTATTTCCTTCCATGTGCTCCTCCGCCCCCTCCGCGATCCTACTAACAATGAACTCGGCCCGCGGGTACAGCAGTCCGATAACAGACAGGTATCGTGCCTCGACAACAACGGTCCGGTTGAATGGCTCACGGGGGACATCCGGGATCGTGCGAGGGTAGAGGTCGTTGTAGGGGACGATGCCGCAAGCGCGGAGGTAGGAGCGCAGGGAGTCCGTCGTGCCGATTTGGAGGGAGCGGGGAGGGTCGATGGCGAGGGAGAGGATCGCGGGGGTGAAGCTGTCGGGAATTCGAAGGGGAAAGGGGGAGATGAGGAGGGGGGATCGGATGGTGGGTGCGGGAGCAGGGATGGGTTGAAATTGTTCCATGTTGGTGAAGGGAAGTTGGTGGCTTTGGTGTTCGGTTGGGTCCATGTCTTGCTGCTGGACCTGATCATCGCTCTGGGTGTCTCTTTGCTGAAGGCGCTCGGTGGGTTGATGTGAGCTCCTGTTGTCGATTTCCATTGGGGTCGTGGGGGCGGGTAGTATCTGCCGGTACTGATTCTGGGTTGAACCGCGGTGTTGGTTGAGTATGGCGTGTGCAGCTGTCACGACGTCGTTTACTGACGCCTCTTGCAATGCTCCTTGCACTAAGCCCGCGAGACTATGTCCTGAAAGCGCCGGTTCCGGATTTTTCGGCGCAGTACTCGCGGATCCCGAAGGTCCAGGGGTAGCTGCTCTCATGTGTTGCAACACTCCTTCGGTATAGGACTCGTGTGATGGGTAGCCTTCTTGGACTTGTGGTGCCGCAGAAGAGGAAGTGGAAGGCCCCGGTGCCTGAGAGTTCAGGTGCTGGCCGTGCCGAGAAGATTCACCGGTTTGCGGTCCGGAGACGTTACGTATTCGATTGACCCCGACGTCGGATAGAGATCGACCATGCTCAGAAGGCAGATTTTCTGGCGGAGGCATGGGCCGTGCTGAGCCCAAGGGCCGCGAAAAGTCTTCGGGAGGCTGAGTATATTCGGAATAACGAGTCGAGTAAGGTACTCCAGATGGGAACGATATTCCCGGGCGAATGCGCCGCAAAATGTCGTCACGTAGGGCAGTACCAATCTCCAAGGTGGTGGCTCTCGGTCTGGCATTCTCTTGTGACCCAGGCCTCTGGAGGCTGGGATCGTGAGATGTGGACTCCATGTCCACATGGCTCGCCGCTGCTGAAGCGGTGGAACCCTCGGCTACACCCTGATCGATCTCCATCTCCGCCACCGGAGCTATGCTCACGCTGGAAAGGAGTACATCTATGTTGTATCTTCGCGGACGTTGATACTGCCCCTCACGTCCTTGCAAGTCTTCCTGTTGTCTTTCGCGAGGCCGCTTTGGTGTCGCGTTGTTCCGTGGAGGGCTTGAGCTAGGAATCCCAACCTGGGCCTCTCGGCCCGGTTCCCAATCGTCCAAGTCCATGGCCAAAGTCGCGCTCGCAACTGCCGGGGTTGCGGCTAGGGAGCTTAGCGGGCTGCTGTCGGCTTCCGCTTGGAACGGGAACGGGCTGTCATCCATCTCCATCGGTCCTTGACCGAATCCGCGACTAAAACTTTGCGACCGGCTTCTAACCGGCGACTGGATGTTGGCTCTGACAAAGCTGTCTTGTTGGAGATGAGATGTTCCGGGCGGCGGGGAGGCTGGGGCGTCGCCTTGCGACATGGGGTTGAGGTGAGAGGTAAGTGAGTGGCTCGCCGCCGGTTGCTGGAAAAAGGTGCGACCATCTTGAGGAGGAGAGTAAGCGAGAGCGAAAGGGTTGAACGGTTGGTGTTGATAGACACTTTCATCTCGAGGAGGAGAGTGACCTTGAGGGCTGGGTTGAGGGTTGGGTTGAGAGTTGAAATGAGGGATGATTTGACGATTAGCGTGAGGGTTGGAGAAAGGGTTGGATTGCCGGACATCCAACTGTGGATGTTGATACAGACTTCCATCTCGAGAAGGAGAGGAAACATGAAGATTGGGTTGATGGTTGAACTGAGGGTTCAACCGAGGGTTGGAGAAAGGGTTGCGTTGTGGGTGGGACTGATGGACATCCAACGGCGGGTGTTGATAGACACTGGTCTGTTCAACGTTATTGCCCTGGCTGCTTTCTGCAAGCAGTTGAGGTGGTTGTTGAAGGAGAGTTGGCTGATCAGCAACAACATTCCGGTTACTTGCTGCAAGCAGTTCGGGATCGATCACGTCGTCGGGGATGATAGTCGTATTGGAGCGCCAGCTGACATGTTCGCCTTGGGCTTCTGGCGCGCGACGAAAAGGGTTCATGGTGGGTGAAGAGTTGAGATCTTGCTGAGGAACTGGACACTGGAGAGTCTGGAATGTTGCCGGTTGGTAAAATGTCGTCGTCGGTCTGCGTTGAGATGTCGTTGAGATGCTCAGTCAGAAGTGAAGATGTGACTTCGTTGACTGTGGTGTGGTGGACTGAGGGGGAAGTTGACACGGCAAAGGAGGGGCAGTAAAGGCGGGAGAGTATACTGCCTGTCGCGTCTGAGGACGCGTTGCCGGCCGCCGGGGTAAAGACAGGCGAGGAGCAGTTGAGAGAATGGTCAGGGCGCTGCCTGTCACTCTCCGCGGGCTGGCTTGCATTTCCTCGGAAATCTAAGCTCTGCTACAAAGCGAGAAGAGATGCTTGTAAACATGCAAAGAATCTACTGGCCTATCAAAGGCGTTACTCGTATCTCCTCACAAGCAACAAAAAGGAGGCAGCTGAAAGATAAAACACGGACGAAGTTGACACTGTCAGGATACCAAATCCATACAAACCAGCCATGTTGAGCAAAAAAGTCAAAAAAGAGATGCTCGAACCAGGTTTCGAGCCTGGGACATCCAGTGTGTGAGACTGGTGTGATAACCACTACACTATTCGAGCGTCGGATGTTATTGTCATGCAAGGGCAGATAGAAGGCTCAAAAGACGGATTTGATTTCCTATTTTATCCAGCAAGTCTTCCTGTGTCATTTGACGGTTGCATACAAATCTTAACGCCCATGCATTCTACCTTCCAGCCTTTATTCTCCTTCTAGCCTGACACCTCACCATATTCCACCTTGCTTCTACACTACATCATTCCTTAACGTTCTTTTTCGTCCTGCCTGTACCGTTTACCTCCCTCAATCCAATTAATTCCCCACAAGAGGTGCTTACCTCTAGGTTTGCACTCCGTTCTTTTGCTCGGTAGCCCTAGCCAACGGTGTGCCTGGGGCTGGCCCTGAAGTTGAAGCCCTTTTCTGTAGGAAGGCTCTGTCTTGGGACTATCACTGTATCTCCAACTCGATGAGACTGAGCCGATTGAGGAAGCGGATGTAGTAGGACATCCGGTTTGGGTTGTGGCGGAGGTGGAGGTAGAGGCGGAGGGTGGGGAGGTAGAGGCGGAGGGTGGGGAGGACATTTGGGTCTTCTGGGGTTTTGAACTGGGGCTAGAACTTTGTTCAGATGGGGCTAAATATATCGATTGTGTGGATGATGCGTAGAGATGTTAAGAGTAGGTAGGGGCAGCTGGCTAGGTACTTATAGTAGATGGTGTTTCGAACGCACTGTTACAGGGAAGATATTTGTAATAGCGTGCACCTCAACTTCGATGGGTCATGGCCTTCTGAGCCGATGAGAGCTTGAAATGTTGCGTGATCTCTATTTGTTTCATCTCCAGTAGTCAGAAACGCCATTGGACCGCTGCAAAGTCTAGAATGCACAGCCCTCTAGACAAACGCGCGGTAATCGTACTGACAAGTCCATTGGCAACTAACGCCAGGAGCAACGAGGCGTTTAAAGCCAAAGATTATGGGGAAAGGCTTCAAGACCGAGATAGCAAGTATGCAATGAAGACCTGCTGCACCTGAAACGAAAATAAGAAGTTCAACTTCAGTCTATTCCATCTGTCTCCCTGCCACTGTAGTCCACCAATGACCATTTACCTGCTACCGGATTACCTCATAATTCTTTCCTTCTTTGTGCTGTGTAGATGCAGATCCCTTTTTTGATTTCTACTCCTTATCTCTCTCAACGTTCCAGCTGGATTTATCTCTTTCCAACTGCCCTTCCTTTGCAGCCCCTGCAAGTATTGTGCTTGCCCCTGAATTCTCAGCCGTTCTTGTAGGAGTACTCGGTCTTCGGGTCATCACTGGACTTTCAACTTGTTGTGGTAGAGGAGGAGGATGTGGCTGTCGATGGGGTGGAGGTGGAGGTGGAGGAGGTAGAGGAGGTAGAGGTAGAGCCAGAGGAAGTGGTAGAGCCAGTGGTAGTGGTAGAGGTAGAGGTAGAGGGTGTGGTGGTAGTAGTAGTGGTGGTGATGGAAGTGCTGGAGGAGTATGAGGAGGACATTTTTGTGTTTTGGTTGTTTGAATGGGGATGGGGATTTGTAACTCGTGTTGTAGCTGGATATCTCTTTGAAGTGAATTACCTATGGTTGGTGAGAAAGCAGCTGGCTCTTGTGCTACTTATAATACGACGCTGGAGTTTCGAACACTGGCAAAGGGGAGAGATACGTAACAGCGTGGGCCTTAGATTCGATGGATCATTGTAATCGAGTCGTTCTTGCAGAGTCGAATAGAGCTTGAAATGTTGCTTGATCTTCTGTTTGTTTCATCTTCAACAGCCAGAAAGCCCATGAGAGCACTGCAGACGGGAGTCTAGACTTCACAAAGCTCAATCTATTCCATCTGGTACAAGCTACCCCTAGTTTATTATCCACCTGGCACTTGTACTAACTCATTGCTCATAGACTTCAAGCTCGCCGTCGTCTTTGTCTTGTTTCAATTCCCACACCCTTCTCATTCTCAGGCCTCCCGATTCTTCCCATCTAACTGCTCTTCTTCTGTGCCCCCAGCCAGTGTTGTGCATGTCCCTCGATTCGGAGCCAGTCCATGTAGCAGTAAGCGGTCTTGGAATTATCACTGGTTGAATTCGAGGAAGAGGATGTGGTTGTAGTGGTAGAAGTGGTGGTAGAGGTGGAAGTAGGGGTAGAGGGTGTGTTGGTACCACTGGTGGTGGTGGTGGAGGAGCTGGAAGTGTCGGTTGAGGAGGACATTTTTGTCTTTTGGGGTGTAAACTGGGATATGAGTTTTGTTCTAGCTGCGTTTGGATATGTCTATCGTGTGGATGATGACCCGTAAGAGTGAAGAACCTGAGCAGCGGGTTCTTGTGTTACTTATAGTACCACGTTGCAATTTTCAACGCACTGCTCCAGGGAAGAGATGTGTAAGAATGTGTGTCTTCGATGGATCATTGTCCTCGAGTAGCTCTTGTGCACCGAGGATAGCTTGGCAAAATCGGTGATCTTCAACTCTGTTTATCTCATCCCCATAGGCCAAGAGGTCATCAGGGCGGTGCTTGATGTCCATTGCCGAGTCTAGACCCCTTCTCGTGGAGTATAAGGGACTTACGTCGAGAACGGTAAGAAGAGCAAACTTTGACTCAACACGACATCCGTTCGAAGCAATGCATCACCAAACACATTCGGTCCTTCAAGCCCTTGTTTCAGACCTCCACACGTCCGAGAAATGTATAAGTATCCCGTTTGCCTAACCACGTCACTTGCCTCTCTTCACAACTTCCAACCCAACAACAACACCGGATCCAAGCTCTTCAAAGCGTCACGAAACAAACCGCCACAGCCAAAACCCTCAAGATGTTCTCCCCATTCGCCTCCACCAAGACCACCGGAACCGCTACTTCCACCTCCACCTCCGGTCAAACGCAAGTTGCCCAGCCCTCTTCTTCCTCTACCTCGACTTCCGAGAACAGCACCGGGAACAACCATCTGTACATGTCGAAGGGCAAGACTTGGAGTTCTACCTCCGGAAGTGGCTCCGGGTCCCAGGCTGGGTCAAGCTTAAGCTCAGGGAAAAAGTCTGATATCTTGTAGATCTATCCCCATCTAATTTGTGGATGTGAAGAGGAACACAAGATGGTCCTTTCGAGTCATTGAGCTCATGATGGAATGAAATGATGGATGTGTAACGAGTAGAAGTGTCAAGTAGAAGAATGAGATTCAAATGCGTTGCTTTCAACACTTGATGCTTCATGCCCCATGATTCGCGGGTCTCGAATACCATGCAAATCACATCGAGTGACGAGATGACCTTGACACATTGTTCCCGACCATCTGTGGTTGGCCAATCACTCGATTTCCAGAAAATTGGAAACTGGTATAACAGCCAGCAGTCTTCCGCTGTCCTTGCCCAGAAACTCCTGCACTCCAAGGCCCTCAGATTCCAATACCATCGATAGTCAGAACCCGCTCCACGAAGAACAGAACACTCGAACCACCAAGGAAGATGTCGTCCTCCAACTCAAACACTAGCGGTTACCTTTCCCCTCCCAGCTCCTCCTCCACGAAAACTTCGTACGAGAAGACTCCATCATCCACTAGCACTACTAGCACTACCAGCAGCGGGTCGTCATCGAGCACTCCCAACAACTCAAGCACGTCGTACACGACCGCCGAGACGGTGGTCGTCCCGAGCTCGACAAGTTCGGGGGCTAAGAGGAAGTAAGTAGTAGCCAGGTGAGTGTGCACACATGCGTGTCTGAAAGAGGAGGAGCGGGTGCTAAGGTCTGTGAATCCGACAGAAGTTCGGTGGAGGATTGGTGGAGGAGTGTCCGATGAGTATTATGGTGGCATACGGAGGGTTAGGGTAAGAAGTGATGGGGAATGGTGCTCGGAGCTACTTTGTATATCGAGGAGCGCCAGGAATCTTTGGTAGAACTATGCAGATAAAATGGTGAAAGGAGGGGACACATGCCTAGGTAGCCAATGATTGTGTGAAACGGCGGCGAAAAGTTGAAGTGTCGTCGTCGTAAGTGGAAACTCGTCGCCCTCTCCACTGCACTCGGCAACACCCCTGAACCCCATTGCAACCCCTGAATCACAGAGGGTCCAGCGCTCCACTCACCAAAACATTGACAGCGTAACCCAGACAACAACGTTCCGCGATCGATCGCGAACATGAATGACGCCAGTCACCGAGCAGAGCGCCGAGTGGCCCAAAAGCTTTTTCAGTGTTCGACGGACAGTCATTGGGGATCTGTCGGGAGCGGGCCGCGTACCCCGGTTGGCAATTGGCGGGTTCGGAGATGCACTCGGCGAAAGGACTGACTCCCGTCCAAAGGAATGGCGGCGACGGCGCACCAACGGCAACTGGAAAAGAGCCAAGCCTTGGCTATAGCTTGTTTGAACGTTGGCCGACACATTTCTGGGTTGGGTAGGGCTGATTTAAGCGAATCAGACAAGGACATTCGTAACTCCGACCATGACCGAAGCCAGTCACGATCCATGGAAACTCGGCCGTGGGTTTGAAGGCTTGTTTGTGGTCGATGATGTGTCAGCGAGTTGGGTTCGGCGATTTCGATGGGTGGTGGTCAGCAGGAAGAGCGTTCGGTGGATGACTCAGGACTGTTCGGAGTCGGAGGACGGAGCGTGGTGTTAGTTGGTGGGGCAAAGGATCGGAATGGGTTCGACTCCAAAGTTTGACGACATTTTTGGAGGAACCCGAAAAGAATGTTGGGTGCAATTAAGCTTGTGGTTGTGTGCTGTTTGCAGGTATCGCGAAGGAAACATGGGACAGATAGCCGTGTCTCACCTGCAGTGCATTAGTGTTGTGTCCATATCCGTGCCACCGGCAACTGTTCGCGGCATCCCTTCCGAAACATTTTCCATGCGGAAGAGAGACACATCCACTTGTGCAGCGCATGCAATTCCCAAACCACTTCTCCTTCAAACTTTTCGAAAATCACTGCACCCGAAAAAAAGTCAATTGCGCAAGCAATTTCTTCCACGTCGTGATCACCCGATTTTTCCTTTGTTTGTTCCGCCAGTGACGTCAATCCGTAATCTCCCAAACAGTCGTCAACCAGTGCGTCCCAAGAGCCAAACCCCAAAATTGAACTTTCTTGGGGATACGGTGATAAGACCCCCATCGCCGAGCTAAAAGCGGCCGCCCCCAATAAGCACCTCTAGCACCTCTAGGAACAACTTCACGTCGCTACCGCATAGAGGTAGGACACTGCACCGTCGCTCGCCATCGGTTGAACAAATAGACATAACTGGCTTCCGACACAGTGTATGCATAGATTTATCGGGTCACACAACCTTACGCCCTTTGACATCGACAGAAGTAGGTTTTCGTGTGGATGCTGTCAGTTGATGACTTGATATGCAGATCCGATAACAGAGAGACTGTGTCGGACGCTCGTATACCCGCTCTAATGCCGAGTCCAGTACTATGCAAGGGTCGCGATTACTCGCCCAAACATTTGTGCAGCAAACAGACATTGTGACATTTTAACCCTGTCAGGCCCAGCCGCCGATGCGACTTGCGAATGGCGGATTTGTTAGTGAATGGCTTTTGGCGGTTGGGAATTACGGGGCCGCTGCGGCGCGCTGCCTGCCGCCTGCAGATCGATTGTAACGCTTGCTAAACTCCGGGCTCCGAGCCGGCTAACTTTCTTTATATCTACCCACCTGCAGCTGCATGTCTTCGTCTGAGCTTTCTTGATCCCCTTCCTTTTCCCATCCGTCTTCGTCTGGCGCAAAATTTTTGACGTGCAGTTCAGGGACCTGTCCCGGCGCAAAGACAATCGGGTAGGTTGTCAAGTCAAGATCCAGACCACTCACGAAACCGCGACAAAGGGAAGCAAACAGCGACAAACACTTTGCGCAATTCCAGTCCGTCGCGCTTTCGCTTCGTCTCCAGTCCTCGTCGACAGCCAGAATGGCCTCAACAACCCTCTCCCCGCTCAACGCTTTCGCCGACCGCACCACCCATGGCCCCTCCACCGACAACGAAGGGAACCTCTCCGACCAATCCACCGCAACCGGCATCCCCTCTCCCTCCCGCGCCTCCTCCGAAAAGTCCTCTCCTCTCGCAGCGCAGCCCGCTGCAACCACAACGGCTGCTGCCCCCGATGCCGAAAAGCAACAACCCACCACCGGCGGTCCTCCCCCCGGCGGCGGCTGGAACGCAGGCCCCCCACCCCCCAACGGCGGCCTAGCCGCCTGGCTGCAAGTCGCCTCCGTCTTCTTCATCTTCTTCAACACCTGGGGCTTGCTCAACACCTTTGGCATTTTCCAGACATACTACGAGTCTCCGTCGTCCATCTTCCAGCCTCCCGGGTCCGTGTCATCATCCAACATCAGCTGGATCGGCTCCATCCAGTCTTTCATGGTTTTGTTGGGCGGGCTGGTGTCGGGACCGTTGTATGATAGGGGGTATTTGAAGCATTTGATCTGCGTGGGCGCGTTTGGGGTCGTGTTTGGGCATATGATGCTTTCTTTGGTGAGCGAGTTTTGGCAAGCGCTGCTGGCGCAAGGGTTTGTGGTGGGATTGGGGGCGGGCATGATGTTTACGCCGGGGGTGACGGTTTTGCAGAGTTATTTTTCGACGAAGATTGGACTTGCTACTGGTCTGGCGGCGGCGGGGAGCAGTTTTGGGGGTGTTGTGTATCCCATCGTCTTCTACAGGCTGATTGATAGGATCGGGTACGGCTGGTCAGTGAGGGTGATTGGGTTCATCGCGCTCGGCACGTTGGCGGTTCCGGTGGTGTTTCTGAAGCAGAGAGTCAAGTCGGGGAGAGTCAGGGCGTTTGTGGATGTCACTGCTTTCAGCGATGGGCCGTACATGTTGTTCACGTTTGGCGCCTTTGTCGGGTTCATTGGGTTGTATACCATGCTGTTCTACCTGAGCTTCTTCGGGTTGGACACGGGCGCGACGGATCCGGCCATGGCGTTTTATATCGTGCCTATATTGAACGCTGCGAGCATGTTTGGACGGACGCTGCCGAATTGGTTGTCGGATAAGGCGGGGCCGTTCAACATTTTGATTCCCGGAGCGTTGGTCTGTGGCGCGTTGACGCTAGCTATGATGGGGGTCAAGAGTCTTGGAGTAAGTCTTTGCTCTTCCGTGGGAGTCTTTCGAAGAGTCTTTGCTAACTGTCGTTTGCGTGCAGGCTATCATCGTCGTCGCTATCCTCTTTGGCTTCTTCTCCGGCGTCTTCATCGCCCTCCCGACCGTTTGCTACATCGTTCTCACCAAGGACAAGTCCCGCCTTGGCAGCAGAATTGGCCTGGGTTATGCGTTCCTCGGTCTCGCTACCCTCATCGGGGGTCCCGGTGGCGGTGCGATTTTACAACAGACTGGTCATGGTGGGCATAATAACTGGACGGGAATGTGGACGTTCGGCGGTGTCATGCTTCTTGTTTCTGGCGCCCTGTTTATGGTCTTGAGGGGTTGGAAGTTCGGAGTCAATTTGACGACAAAGGCATAGACGCGGAAGATGGCATTGCGATATGAATGGTTGAGTTTGAAGACAAAGGGAGATCATTTGTAGACAAGTCTAGCCAAAAACTGGTGTGTAACTGGGTGTGTATACTACTCTAGATGTATTAAAACCCTAGACTTCCCTCTTGAATCTTCTCATATCCTTTGCGGATTGCCGCAAACAGCTTCAAGACGTCGGGGAGTTAATGTGCGTAGAAGGAGTAGTGTCGAAGATAGGTGTTCCCGTACTGCCTCGGCGGGCGATGCGAATGCGCATGTCGTCTGTGACAACCCAAGGATATTCTCCGTTGCTCCTATATTTGAAGCTTGTCATTGTCATCAGGACGGAATGCGAACACGGAGCATGCGAATGTAGAGGATGGAGGGGATATTTGAACATGCTGGAGCATTTGACAAGAAGGTTGTCTTCCATGGCATTTGGTCGATCCGTTCAAAGATCAGCGACGGAGGTCGAAAGGCGACGACAGAAAGGGGCCGGGCGATGATGCTGTAGTGGTCTAACGAAAGAGTAGAAACGGAAATCAGGGCAGTATAGATATCCAGGAGGGGAGTGCGTGTGAGCAGAGGCGCGAAAATGCGAACATGGAGGAGGTATAAGCTTCATCTTGAACGCGGTCTATGCGAGAATGCATCGATAGAGCATCAAAGACCGCATGAGGTAAAAGTGGAAAAGAAAAGTAGCAAAAAAATTGGAAGGGACCCGGATGGGAATCGAACCAGGGACGTAGAGCAACTGGAAAGGAGTAGAAGAGCCTCATTTGCGTAGCCGGAAGACGCCAGATACAATACTACTACAGGCCACAAGCAAACCAGACCTGTACAATCCCGCTGAAAGTACAGGGCGTACACCACGGTACTCGCTATAACGCAAGCCCTGATGGCCATCGCACCCGCCAACCCCAGTTCATACGTTTGCATTTGTTGATTTTGAGTTATCACCAAGTTGATCTTGTTGCGTTTTCCAACGTTCATTGTTATTTGAATATGAACTGTTCACGCTACCAAGACTTCTTTCCCCTTGCGCATGTCTTGCATCAATCAATATCTCGAAGTACTTATCACCCACAAATATCTAAGCCGCCCACTTTCCCAACGACGCCATGATTCTAGACACAAAGCTCACTTCTATTTCGCCCGAATGCGTGCGCGCTAACACATAATGATGGTTAAGTATGGGAGCAGTAGACATGCGGATCACTGCCTCCCTCTTTCGGAGAGAAAGTGGTTTGTGCCGCTCCGCAGACGCCGGAGCGGACGCCGGAGCGGACGATAGCTTCATTGAGCCAGCGTGCCTTCCCTACCCTAACCGAGGAAGACCAGTCGCTGCTGCCTTGGACAGCGGAAGAGCGTCATGTCGTCTGATCTTCGAACACGACGCGTCAGGAGCTTGGCTGTTTAGACAAACCTGGACTTGAGCCGTACCCCACCACAGTCCAAATCTGAAGGCTCGACCTGGACTAACCTTCGTGCTGCCCGCGCCTTGACCAAGTCGCGGCCCGCTCGAATCTGCCTGCCACCGGTATTACAACGCACTTCCAGGGCACAGAACGGCTTTCAATAACTGCCCGGCTGTCTCAAATCAACCCACTCCGCTCCGCTTCTTCTCAGGTTGTGTTCGTTCCCGCTGTACCACGGTAGGGACAACCCAGTTTTGGTGGCTGTAAGGTGTAGTCTTACAGCTGTACTTTTCGTATTCGGCTGGATTTCAATAAAAATATACAAGTCGCTGCATTACCCCAAATCTATATAAGGCATGCATTTGACTAATTAGAGGCCCAGATTCCTTATTGAAATGGCCAGATTTTTAATATTTTGAATAGTTCTAGACCTTATATATAAGGCTGTATAAATGTATTGAAAGTTGGATTTTCAGCGCGTATATACCTTATATTTATAGTACTCAACGTATAACTTATCGGATTTAATAATATTTACAAATTTATAAGAAAAACTAGTTATTATCGATTATCGACTCGTTAATAAATACCCTAATCTAACCTAATTTAATCTAATTAAATCCTCTTCTTTCATCCTCCTCTTTTTTCTATCTTTTACCTTTATAGTCTTTATTTGCTTCGTAATTTTTATTAATATTATTAACATTATCTTTACTATAGTAGATATAACGGATATCGATTAAATTATCGTAATATGTTATTGTAGTATTATAATGTCTTTATAGCCCGTACTTACAATATAAGTTCCAACTCTTCCTCTTTCTCTTCCTCCCTTTATAAATTCTTATTATTATTAGAATTATTATTTATAGTAATTATTACCTTTATACAGCTTCCTGGCACTTTTAGCGTCTTGCCCGCTACTATTATAATTATTATAGCAATTTGCACTTTCTTATTAGAATTTATATCGATAGCTTTCTCCTTCCCCTTCTTAAACCTCTTTCGAGGGTATAGTATTAATATAGACGGTCTAGACAATAGCCTAGCTAGTACTCGTACTTATACTTGTGCCGTTTCCCTTATTAAATAAAGGTATATAATAGGGAGTTCGCTAGGGATATTTATACCCTTATTACTTAATATAAATTTAATCGACGAGGTGCTTCCTCTACGAACCTTTTTAATCCGCTTCTTATTATAAACTTTAAAAGGTACGAAATTTTTATTATAATTAAAGAGGATAACTTTCCCTATAGCCTCGTAGAATTTATCCTCTTCATTTTTAATATTAATTAAGAAAGCATTAAAGTCCTATTTGGGTTAGAAAGCTTTCTATTATTATATTTTTAGTACGTAATATAAATAATTAGAACTTTATTATTTAATTAGAAAAGTACAACGGGTATTATTAATAATAGTTTTATCTTACCCTTCCTTGAGTTTTAATATTGCGTTATACTTTAGGTCGTTTTTAGTAATACGAATAAGGTTATTATCATTAGGAATATTAACCTTATTAATTAAATTAGGCCTAGCTTTCTTTTTGGCTTTAAATTTGCGTAGTAGCTATTATTTAAGATTAGGGTTCTCTTCGAAAGTAACCTTTTTAATAAAAGTAAAGTTTACTCGCTATATTTCTTTTAGTCCTTCTTTTACATTAATTACCCTTTTTATTATAACTTTAATATTAAGAACTTCCTTTATATAGGCTCTATTACTAATAGCTACGTACTTACGAGGGTTCTGCTTCTGGGCTTCTACCTTATATGGCGCTTATAGTATTCTTACTAATTAAATATTAGCTTTTAAGTATTAATAAATACTTTGAAGGCAATTCTAGCCTTATTATACACCTTTTTAATAAGCGAATTATACCTATTAATACATTATTAAATCGCTAGTAATTCTAATATATATAGTACTTTACAAAGAATTATAGCTTTAAGTCAATTAAGGAATAAAGGTTCTTACTATACCTTAATAGATTTACGCAATTTATTGAATGGAACGTTTAACAAATTAGTTAACCTTATACTTACCTAATTTTATTATAATTATAATTAATATATTTGATTTAAGTAGCTAAAAACTAGTCTTCTCCTATCTCTTATAAATATTACTTCGAATAAAACCTACCTCCTTAACCTTTTTCTAATTATTTAAAAAAATTATACGGTTAATATTAATAGCCCTGCTAATAATCTCGTTTATTAGGACTTTCTAATAAGCCTTCTTAATTGCTTAATATACTACTATATTAAGTAATTAAAGTATATAGCTAGTATGTAAGGGTAGAGTATAAGGTATAATATTAAAGGCTTTATAATATTATAGAATATATAAGTCTTTATAGGCTTTAAATCTATCTATAAAAAGGATTCGATATACTTTCAGTTTAATAATTAACGTAAAACTAACAGTTTATTTTATTACCCTCAGACGGCTCTAATCTCTCGAAAGGGGATAGGTAATTAAATAATAAATTAAACTATTTATCAATAGTATAACTATCGAAGGAAGGGGATAATCTAAAGGAGTACTCATTAAAGTACTCAATTTACTATAGTATACAGTAAGTATTATGATAACTAGTCAATATATTGGTAATAACCACGTTTAGATTAATTTTGTAATTAACTTGTACGTCCCCTTATACTTGTAGATAAATTAGTATAAGCGTAGCTAGTTAAGTAAAATCAACGTTGATTATAGATAATAAGGTTAGAGCCTTACTATAATCTACACTTTAAATATTAAAAATAAAGGGATACTCTTAACCGCAGTCGATATAGTATTAATAGTAGTTTAACTTTCTTCATCATTAGGGTTAAATATAACCCTTCTTATACGTGCCCGATTCTTCATGAATAATACCTATTATTATATAAATTAGTATAGGGAGTAATACTAATAAGGAAGTTTTTATACTTTTATAGTTCCTTTAATTCCCCCTATTTAAAATAGGGATTTATATATATTCTAGACATTTTCCTCTTTAATATTGAAATTATTATAAATAGCTTTTACCTCTTTGAACTAATTTTTAAGGGAGTTTCATTGAATTTTAGTACTTATCCTTTTTACATTTTTAAAATTAGCCGCTTTGAATTCGAATTTTAAATACTTTTTATGCTACTCTATAGGCTACTTTCTATAGAGGTTAATAAAAGGGGGGTATAGCCATTAAATTTTTAGCTAGTTAGTTAATTTGATAAGGAAGGTATTATTTAGGGGGAAATGGCTACTGTTAACAATTTAGACTACAATATTAAAAACCTTATTTTCGTTGGGGGTTAATATTAGCGGGCAATAGGTATTTATACCCGTTGGTAATAGCTTCTCCTTTTAAATAAACTATATATATTTTTTAATAACGGGTTCGCTAACGTTATAAAGTTGTATAGAATCTTTTATAGTATAATTATTACCCTTACTTTTGCGGTTGTTCCCTTTCGAGTTAGTACGTATTACCCACTTCTAGCAGGCGAGGTAATGACGTGCAGCCTTTTCCGCCCGCGTAGTAATGTTAAAATCGAAATGCGCTATGGTAAATGAAATGATTTGGTCAAGACGAGCAGTTTAAGGCTATTCACAATGTCGTACGATTAAAAATGATGAATTTATAGCTAAGTAAGGTTTTTGATATATATACCGCTTGCAAAATATATATAAAAATCCCGACTCTTAAAGGGACGATGAGAGTCGGTTGGCTGGCTGTAAGCGGGCCCCCAAAGGGTGGCCCCACATGGCTGTGGCCAGTGCGTACAACTAACCGACGAGTATAGTTCCGAGATCCGAATGCTGACTTGTCAATGGTACTGGCGACGTTTGAGAAGACACAGAATGTTGAGCGGGCATAGGATTGGGCTCATTCTTGATTTTCCAAGGCAGTCAAAGGTACAACACAGGCGAATGAAGTTGACAAGGCCGGAAAAGTGACGACAGAAAGTGTGGATAGGTATACTGCGGAGTTGTTCCTGTAGAGAGACAGCACAGGTCAAGGGGCAGCATTCATATAGTTCCACGTTATTCAGCAAAGGGTGTAGACAAGCTGTATTTCCTATTGAGCCCGCTCAACAAACAACCAGACCTTCCACACTCCCAATTTCCTATCCAAAGAAACCATCCTCAAACATGATGCAGCTGTTTCTGGCCTTCATTCCTCGCCTTCGACTCCTCCGACCCCAGTCTACCGCTATGCCTCAAGAGAGTACCCTTGCTACCTCTATGCTTCCACGGCTTCCAGCGCCTACAACTCACACCCCTCTGCAACGCATAGACTCAAATTGCAAAGGACTGGGTAACAGCAAACTGAATTAATCAGCATATTTCGCGAATGAGGTTGAATTGGCATGGAGACCATGAACTTACTTGGACATGATTACTGTCTACAGCTAGATATATTGCCCTGGCTACCAGAAGCTTGGCTCTTCCCAGCAGTGGCCTTAGCGGACGTAGCCGTCTGCGTCACCGCAGGGTTTTGGGCCTTGGTTTGGTTTAAATCGCGAAGCTTCGGCTTCAGCGTTCCGTCTGCCTGTTTCTCTAGGGCGTGAGGGTTGCCACCGGGGTTTTTATCACTCATAGGGTTGGCGGGAACTTGCAGGAAGGACATTTTGATATCTGATGGGGTATTTCTGCCGTTGGAAGTGCTTTCGAAGAAGGGAGGTGGTTGAAATGGGTATGACTGAACGGTTGTAGCTGGTGAGGTAGTTTGGAAAATTTGCTTGATGGAAATGATGAATTCCTGAATGGGGAGTACATAGCATTAGGATGGCATACTTATACCTTTTGACGGAATCATGGGCGGTTATAGTCATGGTGAGTATCACGAATGATCCGTTTTAGCGCCGTCAATGTAAATGGAGTCATGGACATATTTCCGGGGCCGGCGTGTTGGTTCTCAGCATCAACACGGCACGTGGTCGTAGTGCTTCGGCGTGAGCCGTGCCAACGCCCAACCGCAAGACATTGACGCCGGAGACGGAAGCGGTATACGTTGGCTGTCTGTCCCGCCCAACGGACGCCAAGAAATCGTGAGTGAACAAAGAAAATTGTGCAACTTGGCATTTTACGGAGCGCGCGGTCAACTGCAACAGGTCGGCAAAACGAATCTCTTAACCGTTACCATGTCGTAACCGCCTCTTAAAGAGTAACGAAGTAGAAAAGCTTTTGACAGAACTAAACAAGGAATAATGTTGGCCGTTCTACCAACGTCGGCCATCAAGGTGATACAATCAGCCAAGATGGCACCTTCAGTAATGAAAATCTGCGAAACGCAACAACAAGAGCCGATACCGCCCACCTTCATCTTTCCCTGAAGCACTTGCTGTCCTGCTAAACCTCCAAACAAAGGGCCTTGCAACACTGTCCAAGGCACCAGGGGTATCTCAAACAACAGACAGGAGAACCAACAAACCCAACAAAGACAGAAAAAAAGCGCCAGACTTCTTCGCTTCAACAAGCCGGGAACCTAGGACATCCCACAATCATCCCAGTAAAACAACCGCTAGACTCCTTGCCTTGCAAGAAGCAACCCGGAACTTGTTTAAGTTCACGATACTTGAGCTCCGCCAATACGCAGTCCAAGAGGGACATGCCCCTGTACATCAGAAGCCATCATCTGAGCCAAAGCCGCTTCCGCCTCCTCCGCCAATTGTCTGTCGACAGCCGCTTGGGTCTCCTCTTCACTCATAACCTCCTCATTCGTACTAGTCTCGCCTATGCCGTCCTCGTCAACGTTGTCGGCCGAAGCCAGAGCGTCTTGTAGGCGGCGCTCACACCACTTGAGATACTCTTCCTCCAGCTGAAGATCGATCATGGTTTGGTCGTCCAGCAAGGGTCCTAGCGCTGAATCGTCGTTTTCTTCAGCCGGCTGGTCAACGGGCGTCTGTACTTCAAGGTCGGACAACGGTTCTGTGTCCTGGACGACTTCGTGATTTAGAGGCATCTGGACCTCCGATATGGGCAACTGGTCTTGTTGCTCATCGACTTTTTGAGATGCGAGATCTTGCTCATTTGCCGCAAACTCCATTCCAGCGGCTGGAAGGTCGACGGGTGTCTGGACCTCGGGCTTCATTGACGGCTCCTCTTTCTCAACGACTTGTTGAGAGACTATTGCCAGGTTGTCCGAGACAATTTGATTTCTTCTTCGGTGCCTGGACTTCCAAGTTGACCATCAGCTCCCCTTGCTCTTCCTGCTTGAGACAGGCGAGCGCTTGCTCATTCGCCGGAGACTCCAATCCAGCGGATGGTTTGTTGAGATTTTGCGAAATATCAAGCGCTGCTGTCGGCTCTTCCTCCACAACGAATTGTTGAATGACCGTTGTCTGCATATCCGCCACACCCCGCTCCGGTTTAGAGTCTTTCTCAAGTGCCTCGATCTCGACCGCAGGCTTCTCCCCATTATTTGTGGCGTTGAGGGGTGCCTGTTTTTTAGGCGTAGGGCTCTGCTCGTTAGTTCCGGGTCTCGGCTTCTCGGAAACACGAGGACGCTCTCCACCTGTAGAAGAGAACGGGAGGGTGGATGGATACCGAGGCATCCTCAAGGAAGTGATGTTAGGGCCGAAGGAATCTGTAGCCCAGGGAGGTGGGCTGTAGGGCATGCCGTCGTGGGAAGCGTGCCGGGAGAAGATAGCGGCGTTGTTGGCACGTCTTCGATGATTCCTCCTACGGTTGCCTCTGCCATGACTATGCTGTGTGTGGTGGTGCTCTCGTGGTTGACAGCGAGTTGTCTGGATCCTAATTTCATCCAAGAGCTGAAGATGAACGGCCGGCGGTAGTAAGGTTGCATTGAGATCCGTACGGTTAGCTACGAAAATATCCCTCCCTTCATATCTTGGGCGAGCCTTATTTGCAAAATCATCTGCTTGTTCATTCTCCTCAAAGCCGACATGTCCTCTCATCCAGTGCAACTCAAGAGCAACATCAAAGCCCGGAATGTTTCCCAGCTCATGGGATAGTTGTTCCACCAGATTAATGACTTTGGCTATGAATTCTTGGCGGAAGCTGGTGTTCAGATTCTGATACTTGATCATCCGAAGCACCTCAAATGCATCGGAGAAAATGCACAAAGTTGCTTTCCGGACGATATCTGTATCCGTACGAGGGACAGCTCGAAGATGGTCGGCCCCAACTCGAAGGCCTTGCAGGATGCCCATAGCCTTCCCAATGGTGCTGCTAATCATGTTTGGCATTAGCCAGGCCATTTGAAGTCTCTCGCCATGGTGGGGGGTGCCTGAGAAAAAATTGTCGAAAACGACAGAATATCCGCCGGGGGCAGCAGGGTCGACTCCTTCCATTGAAGCGTCCGTGAAGAACGCGATTGTGAAGTCATTTGCCGTGGAGCATCGTGCAGACGCTATTGCTTCCTTGGCTGTGGCAATCGCCTTTTCGTCGCTTGGTTTTTCGTGCTGGACGAAAATCTTCCCGCGAAAGGGCTGAGTGAAATACGGTTCTAGAGAAAGTAGAAGGCATGGTCAGCAAACCGTGAGTTTGCGCGCCCGGGTGGGCATGTGTTCGTGCACTTAGGCCCCATGTAGACATGGACTCTAGCTGGCACTTCTGGTCTTTGTGAGTACTCAAGCAGCGACATGTTTGTTCCCAAAAGCACGCTCATTGATTGTCTTGGAGTTCCTTGGGGCCAGTGGTTTCACAAGGGGGATACTAACCAAGAGGCTTGTGCCTCTTTGCATCCGGTTCCTCTTCAGATCCTGGATGGTCGGGTGCTCATCTCTTGTCCATCGCAGCAGGCATTTCCCTCAATTCAGAAACTCAATGAAGGGTGCCGCTCCAGCTAGGGTCGCGGACCGGAGGCTGCGAGCAAGTTCGAAAGAAGATGGTAGCGAATAGTAGCAACGCGTTGAACCTGGCCTAAACCAAACAAGCGCAGGCTGACTGCCCGTGTGCTCCGAAGATGGGTTCAGGTCGAGGAGTGCTGCGGGTGTTGTCAAAGGAAGGAATGATTTCTGAGCCGGGAACGATTTTGTGTCAGTGGGTTATGGCGCGGGGTTGTTCAGTGAGCAAAAGCTCCAGCCGGGTCGCGTCCGGACAACGGATGATTGGAAATTTGGCGGTCGCTCCAACCGTCGCCAACTGCCGACACGTTGTCAAGGTCTCAAGGAAAGGACGACTGAGATAACACAACCAAGCCCGCAGTGCGTTGCGACTAGCTCGTGCCCCGTTCAACGCAGAGAATGAACAGGCATGCTACTCGTAATTAGTGGATTTGTTGAAAGATGGGAAGATGGTGAAAAGAAGAAAGAATGGAAGCTATAGATCCGAAAATACATGCCGTAACAAGGTATGCTGCAACCTTATAGCAACCTTATCGGAACCTTATCAGTCCACGGCAGGCATTCCTCCGGCCTAGGTAGCCGTCAGTTCGACACGGCAGTGCCGTGAGTCGTGACACCTAGTTGAGCAGCCGCAAGATACACAGCGCCCGGTCTGAACAAAGAAACGTGCAAGGCGCAATTACCTCCCGGTGCCTAACGAGATGTTGCACAATGTGCGCATGACCACAAAAGGCTCGCAGAAGTTGTCCCGGATTGGCAACGGAAGCTGAGCGATATCACGATATAAGACTATGCTATGCGTCTCCCTTGTAGAAACTGTGTCATGAATGCGGAAAGTATTGAGAGGGAAAAGTGCAAAAGAAGGAAAAAGTAGCAAAAAGATTGGCTGGTCCAGGAATCGAACATGGGACGTGACTGCAAACTGGAAGGGAGTAGAAGAGCCCTATTTGCGTAGCGGGAAGACGCCAGCTACAGCACTACTACAGGCCATAGAATTCAATCCGACCCGATTCAAGTCCTGTAAACAGGCGTGAACAAGGCACCCGCATCGAAGAGCGTCCAAGCTCTGCTGCCCCTCCTGTAGCCCCGTGAGTTTCGCCCTCTGCGCAACACACCGCTCGACCACTGGACCATTTTATTTGTTGAGGACCTGGACAGAACTTTCAACTTATCAACCCCCCTGCCACGTGCAGCCGCTCCACGGTAGTCACGTACACACTCGGCACATTTGGCAATCCCGTAAACAAGACTCTTCCCGACCACAAGTCACAACACTCCTTTCGACACGAAAACAAAGCCTGCGTTGGGTTGCAACGTACTTGCAATTACCACTATGCAAACATACGACAACCTACCAATCCCTTCCCATCGCGATTATTCTCCTTCTTTTCTTCCAAACTGTCACCACACTTACCTCTCTCAACTACCACGCCCACGGTTACTCCGCGCATCCAACATTTTCGCAGCTTCCAGTCTCCCATGCATCTCGCACCTCCCCGGCACCAGCACTCAAACCTTACAATTCCTCTTCTACATTCCTACTTCCAACATCTACATCTCCAACATCTTCACCTCCAACCCGTATCGCATTCCCCACGATCACATACCCACTAAACCATCGACACCTGCAACCCGCCTCACTTCCACCACCGCCTCCCATTCTCGCATTCTCCCATAGTCCCTTGCTCCCTTTACTTCCCACTACTACCCTTGTACTCCACCGTCTCAACCTTCACCTCCATCTTCCAATCCCCACTGCCGCTGGTGCTACTGCTGTTGCTATTGTCCTCCTTCTTTTGCCCAGAACCAGATGCGTCCTTGCTCTGGGACGGCGATGAGGAGGAACTCTTTTTCCAGTTCCCGGGCCACATCATGGAGTAGACCTTTGCCTGGTCCTCCATAGGTAGCCAGAAGAAGATGTTGGACATTCTGTCGGGATATATGGGCTCAGTGCAGTGCAGTACTGTGTGGTAAAAGTTGGGTTTGCTTGTGCTATGGTCTAGGTGTGGTTGGTATTTGGTGGTGATGGGGTTGTTCTGTTGGAGAAGGAACTGGGATTTTGTCATGGGTCTGGGTTACTTTGGGGGTCTTGAGGGAGTTTCGGAACTGGTGGATAACTCTTCCGCAAGGAAGGAGAGCAGGCATTGTGGTAGATGTTGGTACTTCTTTATGTGCGGAAAAGGCATGAAGAACGATCTCGCTTGACGTTGTTTTTGACATTCTGTCGGCAATGTCATGAATCAGGGGTATGCATGTGATCTCCATGATCTGCGTCAGGGGTACTGTTCTTGGCATAGATCCGTCGATAAGGATGAACCACCATCGTTCCGACTCACGATGTCTGATGCACAATTCTACACTCCGAAAATATGCGTCTGCACAAATCCGAGTCTCGACCTTTTGTACAAGAATCGGTAAACCGAGCAATCCAATCCCTGAAGAATTCCATGACGCACAGCACCAGACTTAACCGCCCATGTTTTTGTCCAACTTGAAGCACGTGTGTGCTTTGGCCCTCCCTGTCCGGTTGTCACACTTCCATTTCTACGGGGCGGTTGAGGTTCACACCAGTTTATCCCAGAGACATGAGACATGACATCAGTGTCTCCTCTGCCACATCACTCCAACACCAGCGACTGTTCGGTTCTTGGCAAATCTTCAGCTCGGCGATCGGTGCTCCACTTCGACGGACTCGAGGGGTCAATGATCGTCAATGATTGTGGCGCCTCGCTTTTGGCGCTGGGAAGTTGGCTCAAAGTGGCTAGTTGGCGCGCATCACCGCCTTTTGTTGAGATTCACGGTGGGCATATAAGATCGCACTTGCCCCTTCCAATTGTGCGACGGGGACATATTGAGCCCAGTGACTACGGTAAAGATGGGTGAAAAGGGCATCATTGAACATCCTGAACTACTCAAGTTGGGGGAGTCTCTTCCTCTTGGAAATCCCCATGTAGGTCACTAGCATCCATCGGTCGAACAAGATCACGTACTGACCTTTGTTGACCTAGGGAATAAGCGTCCACCTCCCAACATGGGAAGACACCCTCGGCTGGGCGTCACGAGACCGTCGCGTGGTGGACACCATGGTAACCGGCTACCCGCGCTTCTTCATTCCACGAGTAGTCGAACGCCTAGCAGAGCGACTCCTTGAGCACTTCACCCAAGCCCACAGCCACGAAGAAACCGACATCGACCTCCAGGGAAAACATGCCTTGATCCTCTCCACCGCCCACCACGCGCTCATGTGTCGCCAATTCTTCCGCCAGAAACTTGACCCTGCTTCCGGGCATGAAGTCACCTTCCCCATCCTCATCGCCCACTGGGACGGTACCATCACCGCAATCCGCGAAGACGAGGACCTCCCCTCACAAAAATCTCAACCACCCCTCGGCCAAGAAGACATCTTCCTCCTCCCCTACCCCGTCGACATGTTTCCCGTTGCCAAATCCTTCTGGCAGCATACCGGGTTTGGGATCTCCAGTCGACGAGCGAGTTACTGGATGGATTGTGCCCTCTTCTTCCAACCCACTTCCACTTCGAATGGACAACCAAACAGTCTCAACCACCCACCTCCAACCCCATTTGACGAGGACACCAACGCCAAAGCCCTCTCGGCAATCCGCACCCGCCTCGCCAACGCCTACTCCACCCCCTCCCTCCCCGTTTCCAATTCCGACGTATTCCTCTACCCAACAGGCATGTCCTCCATAGCCGCCATCTCCTCCGCCATAAAATCTCTTGTTTTGCCCAAACTCAACACCAGCCGGCCCCCCTCAGTAGCCCTCTTCGGCTTCCTCTACGTCGACACCCTAAAACTCCTATCCAACCTCCTCGGTTTTACTCTTCATCTCTACCCCTTCTCCACGTCCCTCTTCCCATCCACAACAACCTCCTCCTCCTCCCCTCCCTTCACCCCCTCTGCCCCGTCCCCGTCCTCTCTCTCAGAAATGCTAGCCTCGGGGGAGCTGCAAATTGATTTATTGATAACCGAATTCCCCGGTAACCCCCTCATGCAATCTCCCGATCTTTCCGTCCTCGACGAGCTGTCAAGACAGTACGGTTTCGCGCTGGTGGTGGATGATACCGTCGGCGGCACTGGAGCGAACGTGAATGTCCTGGGGAAATGCGATGCGGTGGTGAGCAGTTTGACCAAGATGGTTAGTGGGGGGTGTGATGTCATGGGGGGTTGTGCGGTGCTGAATCCGGAGGGGGGGAGGTATGAGGTGTTGAGGGGGACGTTGGAGGAGGGGTCGTCAGGAATGGGTGTCACGACTGGGGGGAAGAGGGATTCGGGGTATGGAGCAGAGCTGGACGACCTGGAAGAGGACGGGGAAAAGGAGGAGGAGGTAAAGATTTCTGAAGAGAAAGAGGTGGGCCAAAGGGAAGAGGAGGAAAGAAGTTGGTTCCCAGCCGACATCACCGTCATGGAACGCAATAGCCGGGACTTCATCCACCGCGTCCGCAAAGCGAGCTCCAACGCAAAATGGCTGGTGCACAACCTTCTCCGACCACACGCCAGCGTACATGAAGTCTACTACCCCAAAGGATCGTCAACGGAGGGCATCTACGAGCAATTCCGGGTGAAACCTACCGACGATAGTCTAGATGAAGAAGGAGGCTACGGCTTCCTGGTCTCCATCAAGTTCCAGACTCCAGCCAAGGCCAGAGCGTTTTATGACGCACTAGATATGGCCAAGGGGCCGAGTCTGGGGACCAACTTCACGTTGTGTTGCGCGTATACACTGTTGGCGCATTATCGCGAGATGGAGTGGGCAGCGGAGTTTGGGGTGGTGGAGGATCTGGTGAGGATTAGTGTCGGGTTGGAGGAGAAGGAATGGTTGGGAGAGAGGGTGGGTAGAGCACTGAAGGCGGCGGGGGAGTGTGAGGGGTGATGTTGCAAGAAGCTGCAGGAGAAGGACAGGAATGTCGATGAGGAAAGATTGCACTAGACAGCGTGAGCGTATGGTTTGAACTGAGATGGATGAGTTGATGAGAACAGATACCCTATATTACCCTTCAGCCAGACCTGTCCAGCAAGACATTATGCCTTTAGTCCGTATGCCCATGTGCAAGCCATTCCTGGACCTTCCTAGGGGCAATGTACAAAACAACTCAGTACGAGGACGGAATGATCGACAGCCGCCCACCATCGTTGACCAGAATCAGACCGTTGCAGAAGCTTCCGGCCCGGCTCGCAAGGTAAAGAACAGTGCCAGCCATCTCCTCCTCTCCACCAAACTTTCTAGCAGGGATAAAGTGCGGACTTTCAAAGGACTCACTCCCGGGATCACGGTTTCCGATAAGTCCGGCCGCGAGCTTCGAAGGGAACACTACAGCCTTTGTCAGCATCGGTCCATTCCTGCACTTGGATGGAGCAGAACTTACACCCCGGAGCCAGTGCATTCGCCCGAATACCATACGGAGCCAAGGCCGAGCTCGCCTGCTTGGTCAAGTAGATCATAGCCGCCTTGCTACTTCCATAAGCCGGTGTCGACACCGTCTTCCGGCTGTATCCCGCGATACTAGCCGTCACGATGATCTGGCTCTGAACAGAGGGGACATCACTCCCGGGTCTGACCGGCTCGCCGAACCCTCCCTTCTCGACAGCATTCTTGTTGCCCGCCTCCAGCAGCTCAAGGAAGGCGACCATGGAGAAGAAGGCGCCGGTAACGTTGGTGTTAAGGCAACTAGTCATCTCCTCCATCTGGAAATTGGTGAACAGGTTCTTGCGGACTTCCGAAAGAGGGAGGCTGGTGTCCCACTTGTTGGAGGGACCCAGGACGCCAGAGTTGGCGACGAACAGGTTGATGTAGCCGACGTCGTTCGTGATCTTGTCCACGCACTTTTGCAGGGAGGCCTTGTCGGTGACGTCGCAGACGATGGCGACGATGATGCCCCCCTCGGGGTTGGCTCGGACGGCGGCGGAGAGGACATCGGCACGACGGCCGAGGATGTAGACTCGCTTGGCACCGTTGGCGGCGAGGCCTCTGGCCATCATAAGGCCGATGCCTGTAGGTCAGGATGGTTAGCCTACGGTCGTTGGAGGAGAGGGCCTGGGGCTGGTCTTGAGGGCATAGGGAGACTCACCTGTCCCGCCGCCGGTGATGACTGCTACCATGCCGTTGACATTGAACAGGTTGTTCACGGAGAGGTTTGACATGGGGGTTCGGGAAGTCATCTTGACGGTAGGTTCTGGTGAGTTCGATACAGAAGATGCTCCTTGGTGTTCTGTCTTTCGAGTCGATGTAGTCTGTTCTGTGGCCGCCAAGTTCAAAGTCGTATTCCAAATCCCCAAATAATGGGTGATGTCATGAGTGGATGGAAGTTTGTTAGCTTAAACAGGTCCTCGGTGGTTTTAAACTGATTCCAGGTCAACTGTTTCAGCTCCCAGTTCCTGTAGCTTGTGATGGCTGCTCTTTATAGCACGATGCATTGAAGCTTCTTTCCTTGGTGATGCACATGCACTTCACGTTTGGATTTCTTGGCCAATCTCCATGGTCTCCTGCTTTTGCCGCAGGTATCGGACTTCTTGGGGATTACCGAAGTGTTGTGTAGGACAGGGCGGCGGTCGATCTCAATCCGGCCGATGTCTAGAGCCTGGTTGGCCATGTTACCGTATACACTCGGGGCGTTCGTTTTCGGGATCTGGCAGGGGAAGCACATTCAGCATTGCGGACATGTTCGAATGTCTTCAAAAACCTAAACCCTAAGGCACTCCAGTTGCGTATATGTAAGTGCTATTCGTTGGAGCCGATAGATTCTGCCGCAGACTGCTGGATCCCGAAAACGAACGCCCCGAGTTTATACGGTAATTCAACTGTCAACGGTATGCCAGGTGACAGCGCATGGCGATCGTGCTGTCTTGGCAGCTGCCAATCAACATCGTCAAAGTTCCATTGGATGGGGGTATTCTTGTGTGTAGAAGGTTCAATGATCAAGACATCACCATTTCGACTTGAACTGGGAAAACCGAACTTCATGAACAAAGAACGCTGACCGAAAACTCCAGGCATTGATTGGTTGATGCATGTTCGTGTTAGTGGGAAGAGGATCGGACAACGCTTGGACCAAGAGACAACCTCGAACAACGTACTGAGACCAAGAACACACCTTTTGGGAGCGCAATGGCTGGAATCCCAAAAAGAATAACCAAAGCGAAAGATGACAACAGTCACAACATAACGAAAAGAGAAAACAGAAAAAAACAAAGGCGCGTTTGAACGCCGGGAATTGAGCCCGACGTGGGGGTCGAACCCACAACCTTGAGATTAAGAGTCTCACGCTCTACCGATTGAGCTAGCCGGGCAGCCAAAGCTGCCGTTTGTTGAAGACACGGCTCGGAGCCAGCGCCTAAGAACTCAACCCAGCCGCTTTGCCCAGATCCAAAGACGAAGACAACACAGCGCGCTGATAGAGGACACATCCGTCAAGGGGGTCGCCTGCAGTACAAACATTCCCCTTTCGATTGAACGATTTACCTGTTGATGTGCTGATAGGGGAATGTGCGATGATGGATGCAAAAGATGAGCGACAGGCAGACGGGTGATGGTGGCACTGCACCAATGTCCGGTCTGTGGTCAGAGCTCCAGAACCACCGGGTAACTACCGGGTAGGTCGAACGCGTTTCGAGATGCGCGTTGGAGATGAAGGAGATGAAAGATGATAATTGATGATGGGCCGATGCTGCGCCAGTCTATGAGACGTCGTCCAAGTGTCGCATCAATCGATCATTTAGGATGGCATTGCTGGCGGTGAGATGCAATGGTGAAGCTGCGGGGAGACGGGAGACAAGTGGAAGCAATGACATGTCATTGTCAACAAGACAGGGAGATGGCGCGGGGTCAAGGGCACCAATACGGGTTAGGGTTGCATATGAATGACTCCGCGGCCTCAAGATTTTCCGCAAGCTGTCATTGGCCGCGCACACACTCACAGTCACAGATGGAGGGGTCCACAAGTCCGATTCGCGGGGCCGGGCCGCGTCTGGAAATTGTGAGTCAAAGCCCCACCACGCCTCTGCCAGACGGAGACTCCAGTACGGCGCCGCTCCCCGGGATTTGACCATCCGCTTGCCGCTCCGATAGATCAATAACAGGAGACAGACCCCGACACAAACACAACCACACACACATAATGGCGCCTCCAACAAACACCACCGCGTCCTCCGAGGACCTCGCGACCGACATCCTCGCTGCCCTCGACAAGTCGCAGCCCCTCCTCTCCAGCGATGCCTTCCCCAGCGCCACCTTCGTCGACCTCAAGGCCGCCCTCGACAGGCTGGCGTCGCGCGAGATGGTAAAATACGACACAATCGAGCGCCAGGAAGCCCTCCTCGAACCCGAAGCCGAACAGATCGCCGCCAATGGCTCCCACGAGGCCCGCGTCTTCGAGGCCCTGCGCCAGGCCGTCGAGGGTCTGTCGGTCAAGGAGCTAGAGGAGGCCATCGGCGACAAGAACGTGGTCAAGATCGGCCAGGGCAAGGCCTTCAAGGAGAAGTGGATTAGCAAGACCAAGGACGGCAAGTTCACGGCCGTCGCCGACAAGATCAACGACACCACCCAGGAGCAGATCAAGATCGTCCAGCAGACCAAGACGCACCCCGACGCCAAGATCCTCGCCGACCTCAAGAAGCGCAAGCTCATCCGAACACAAAACATCTTCTCCTTCAAGATCCACAAGGGCCCCAAGTTCGCCCTCAAGATCCCCGAGGAGGCCACCGACCTGACGGCCGACATGATCGCCTCGGGCGCCTGGAAGACGGCCACCTTCAAGCCCTACAACTTCAAGGCCCTCGGCGCCACCCAAAACGGCGGCGCCCTGCACCCGCTCAACAAGGTGCGCCAGGAGCTGCGCAACATCTTCTTCGAGATGGGCTTCGAGGAGATGCCCACCGACAAGTTCGTCGAGTCCGGCTTCTGGAACTTCGACGCCCTCTTCGTGCCCCAGCAGCACCCCGCCCGCGATCTCCAAGACACCTTCTACATCTCCGACCCCAAGGCCGCCGACTTCCCGCGCGCCGACTCGCCCGACGACACAAAAGACTACCAGGCCTACTGGGACAACGTCAAGGCCGTGCACCAGGACGGCAAGTACGGCTCCATCGGCTACCGCTACCCCTGGTCCGGCGACGAGTCGCTCCGCCTCGTCCTGCGCACACACACCACCGCCATCAGCGCAAACATGCTGCACAAGCTGGCCGCCACCAGGGGCCCCGACGGCCGTCCTCTCCCGGCCCGCTACTTCTCCATCGACCGTGTCTTCCGTAACGAGACCGTCGATGCCACACATTTGGCCGAGTTCCACCAGGTCGAGGGTGTCATTGCCGACTACGGCTTGACCCTCGGTGGTCTGATGGAGTTCATGGAGATCTTCTTCGGCAAGATGGGTCTGCATGATTTGCAGTTCAAGCCCGCTTACAACCCTTATACCGAGCCCTCGATGGAGATTTTCGCTTACCGTGAGTGGACCACCACATCTTTGGGTCAAAAGAATCGAAACACTAACAAACAAAAACAGACAAGGGCCTCGGCAAGCTCGTCGAGATCGGAAACAGCGGCATGTTCCGCGCCGAAATGTTGGAGTCCATGGGTCTTCCGTACGTTTATCTTTCATTCCCCCCTTCCTTGCCCTTCCCTCCCCACATCTTGTGAATGACTACTAACACACCTACAGCAAGGACATGCGCGTCTTCGGCTGGGGTCTCTCCCTCGAGCGCCCCACCATGATCAAGTACGGCATCTCCAACATTCGCGAGCTGCTGGGCCACAAGGTGGATTTGGAGTTTGTGCAGGGTAGCCCGGCTGTTTTGCTTGGCGAGGAGTAGACAAAGGGAAAAACAAAAAGTAATGAATGAGCGTACTAGACCATGATACCGAATATAAAATGGAGTTTGATGTTCAGTTTGGGATCTTTGGGGACATGGGGGAAGTGATGTCATTGTTGACGTTGTCGTGGGTTTGGGGATGTGGACAATGGAGTCGCCGAGTCGGGCACTCAACCGGCTGTCTCGGTGGGAGAAGCAGGCTCTGGTGGAGGTCTCTGCGTCAAACTGGGAGCAGCACAAAAGCGAACAGCCCAGATACCAGATTGACTGCCAGCAAATGAGTCCATATCCAGCTCTTTCCGATCCCTTCCGGTCTGGTCAGAGTTCTCCCCAGTACCCCTTTTAACACGTCTCCTCAGGCCCTTTTGTCTCCTCGGGCAACGTGTTACGATCCAATCAAGGATCCCTTATGTAAGCTAGATCAGATAGAACCAACGGGACCAATCAGGTAGGACCCGAAGGAAGGACCCGAAGGCCCGGGTCCTTAGGCCGGGTCCACGGGTCCGGATTGACGGGTCCATGAAGGCCAGTATATAAGACGGCCTCCCCAGGCCTCTTGAATACCGGCTCTTCAGCAAGCAATAGCTTCTACAATCAATCAGTACCTTTCGGCTACTACTACCGTTGTTCTACCTATCCCAGCGATATACTCCTGTGCTTGTAACGGTTCGTCACACAACGCCCTCTCGGCCATTGGTGAAGCCTGCCTCACACCCTCAGCTCGTCTCACCACTTCCTCAAAACAGCTGGAGTCTCGACGTCATGTTCTAGACCTCAGGCTTCTATCCATTAAGCTCCTGTCTAGCTCCACAAATTTCGTTCCGGTCTCAAGCCGAAGCCGGACCGGTTTGGTCGGCACTCGGCAGCCGACTTGGCTCAGCGTAAACACCTACAAAGCTGATCTCGAAGTAAACAAACAGCCTAACATTTTTTTTTAATTTTTTTTTGCATTGATGTTCACATCCTCATAAGGCTGTGCCGTCCGTCGTCTATTTGTGGAATCTAGAGAAGCTGATGATTAATGCGCACTTCTAGCGAGCGCACGGGTCACGGCGGGCGGGCGGCGCGGGCCTGAATCATGGACCGGGCACCCTTGCTGACTGACGAATGCGAGTCCGAGGGGTCAGAAAGAGGATCCAATCCACGATGGGCAAGTAAGTAAACAAACCCCTTTTCGAGTGCAGCGATGGCGGCTTGGCGTCTTGTTTAATCCAACGTCTTCTCTTGGTTAAGGTATTGTACTTGTTGTTAACTTTGACATTGCGAAAACGTACGTCCTTGGACTAATAACATTCAGTCTCAAAAGACCTGAAAGAAAGCGTTTCATTTCGTGGCTTAATTTTAGCATTATGGACGCCAGATGTCATGAAAAATGTGAGATGCACAAATTCAACGGTAAACCTCATCAGCACTCCTTTCAGTTTCGCAGCACAACCCAGCCGTCGTCCATCGCGCTCCAGACTCTTCAAGATTCAAATCCCCATCGATCTCAGACTCATCCCCTCCGGAACTTCCCCATCCGAACGCTCAACTCGCCACCCGTCTCAACTTTCTCCGCACTCCTGACACAGACAACTGCTGACTTCCCTGTCTGCTTCCCCTAACTCCCCTCTCCAGACAGACCAATGTTCTCTCCTCGTCACCGGTCATCTCCACACCCCTTGATTCAAACCCATCGCCGGAATCTTCGGTCCGTCCCAGTATCTCCACAGGAGAACTACATACAAGGGAACCACAAGTTGAAGGCTGAACCCACAGACCGCCCGGTGATCTAGCACGAGCGACCAGTAACAAAAGTTTCCCAATTCAGTGCATGATGTCGATCCGGCACCACCTTGGAGACACAGCCATGACAGAACCAACAGGACAGCCATGATTCCAGGAGTTATGTATCGGAAAACTGTTCAACTGAGCATTTCCCTGGATGGTTTCACAATTCAACACCAACTAACCCCTACAGCTCCCTTCGAGTTGCTTCGAGACTGTCATGGTTCGAAGCGTGGGGATTCGGCTATCGTAGTAGCAGGTCCTGCCCTACCGGGTAACCGACCATTCCGTTTCACAACCCCTCACGACCCACGGATGTCAGACACCGGTTTTGTTGACTGGACACCGAATGCCAGATGGAGACCCAAAACGAGTACGAGTTTTGTTGTATATAACCATCGTTCGCTCTCCCGTTTGATGGGGAGTTTCTTCTCATATGTAGCAGCATCAGCAGCAACAACAAGGACACATCTCCTTGTCTTCGTTCGACCTCCCTCGAACATCAACACAGTCGAGTCTGGTACTCTTGACTTCTTTTCTTCTTCTTCGGCTGCCGGTCTTCAGCTTTCCCACTTACCTTTTAACCATTTTACCTCTTTCGACTTTACCTCCAACGCTTTCATCTGCCGGCCAGTAAACAACAAACAGTTAGCTTCGACTTCGCAACTTCACGACTTGAGTCTTTACGCCAACGTCTCAAACTCACCTTACCCAATTCACTTCAACAACTGACCCACATAACAACCAAACAACAACACCTACTCCGACGTCAATATGAAGTTCTCTTCGTTCATCCTCCTCACCTCGGCTCTCTCCGCCTACGCGGCCCCCACCGGCCTCGCCCCCGGCGACTCCAACTCCCTTGCGGCCCGCAACCCTGACGCGGCTCCTAGGTCCGTGGTCGTTGAGGATGCTGGTGATTTTGAGCCGAATGTAATTGGCAAGAGAAAGCACAAGGGTGGTGCCGCCGCCGCCACTGCTGCTCCTGCTACGGGAAGTGCCGCCGCCGCTGCTGCTCCCAAGAAGGCTCCTAAGAAGGCTCCCAAGGGTGCTGCCGCCGCCGCCGCTGCTGCTCCCAAGAAGGCTCCCAAGAAGGCTCCCAAGAAGGCTCCTAAGGGAGGTGCCGCCGCCGCCGCCGCTGCTCCTAAGGGAGGTGCCGCCGCCGCCGCCGCTGCTCCTAAGGGAGGTGCCGCCGCCGCTGCTGCCGCTCCCAAGAAGGCTCCCAAGAAGGCTCCTAAGGGAGGTGCCGCCGCCGCCGCTGCTGCTCCTGCTAAGGGCGGTGCTCCCAAGGCTCGTGATGTCGCGGTTGAGTTTGAGGCTTAAGCTATTGGCAATTCTAGAGATGGCAAGATTGTGCATCGCATAGGACCGGATCGGACGGGATCGGTCATTCGCTTGTGAGGGATGCGGAACGGAACACCGAAATCGACAACGGATACTAGGATGGATGACCCGTTAGCTTTGTTCAGTTTTGGCTTTTCTTTCATTCGCTTTGTTATCATGGTTGGGCACAGGGAGTTTGGGACTTGTTGGATGGATGTCTTTTGGAACTTGGAGTGATACCCACGATCGTCATTCTTCAGTATAGGAAGTTTGGACAAAGGAAAAGTCCGAGACATTCGCTACTTGTAGCTGCTGTAGATAGAAATGTCAGATTGTCAAGCAAGCTTTGGAAAAGAAGGGCGCAAGTTGTGAACGGGGAACATCGTCGCATTGCGTTTCGACTGCTGGAAGGTGACTCTCTACAAGGAAGGAAGCACTTCGTATTCGTGACGATAGCAGGTTGATAAACAGGGCGCGTGTGTATGTGTTGGTTGGGGTGGTGTGTTGGACTGGTGTTCTAGAATCCCGGCACGAAAAGGAAGAAGCTGTCGGTCATCAAGGTTGGTTGTTTGTTGTCTTTGTCTCGGGACCCCGCCTTTTTTTACAGGTACCAACCAATAAGCAACGGGAGGGAGCGAGCATGTCTTTGACGTTCAAGGGCGGCACAGGTACCCGATCCAATCCGGATGCCAAGCCCTGCATGTACTGTTCCTGACAGAAGATGCAGGCACGGCCCGCATCCCCCCCCCACCAAGTCTCTCGCGCTTAAGAAGGTTGGAGCGACGACACAAGAAGCAAGCAAGCAAATAAAGCAAGGTATTCGTAGGTAGCTTGAGACAAGAAGTCTTGAAATGGACGGACGATTGATTGTTAACCAAGACTGATCGAAATGAGCGAGACGGGTCGTCGACATTTTTCATACCAATAAAATTGAAGAAGTAAAAAGGATCAAAAAAATTGAGCCAAACGGGATTCGAACGCAGGACGTGGACAACTGGAAAGGAGTAGAAGAGCCTTATTTATTGCGTAACCGGAAGACGCCAGCTGAAAATTGCAGCTGCCAAACCTACCCCAACGGTGGCCATTGGACTCGCAGGCGCCGCAAGGCACCCCGTACGGTCCGGCGCCGGAGTGTTCTCTCAGAGGTACGTCGGACAGCCCCCGCATTCGTATGAACCTGAGTAGCGGTACGAGTGGAAATAACGCCTGCGCGCCACGCCGCTCGACCACCGGCCCTTGTAAGTGTTGTAGGTTACTACCTGACCTTTGACTTATAAACCAACCCTTACGGGCAATGGTAGGCACCACCGTCCTATGCGTCAACCCCGTCCCGTGCGTCACTCTCTGCAATGCAAAGCTCATGCATGCATAATCCCTATACTTGTACACCCCTTCCCCCGAACTTTGACAGATGTCATCTGCTCAGTTCCCTCTTCTTTTAGCTCTGTCACACGTTCAGTAAAGTTAGCCGTCGCACAAGCGGCCGCCCAATGCCGGCGTTGTTGGCACCAGTTTTCACTCTCTTTATTCCGAATCTCAGCCAACAACTACATCTCGCTCCCGTCTTACAGCTGTCGACTCAAACGATCACAGCATTACCCTTGGCAGAAGCATAAAGGGTATCTTCAAAAGCCAACAAGATTCAATCAAATATCAACGACGGCTATGTAGTACATACAGGCTGGGGTATCATGAACATCCTCCTAGGTAATGACGACAAACCCAACCACTATCCGAACTCCTAAAGTGCTGGAATAGCGTCCCAAGATTTCTGCAGACATTATACTCCCTACTCAGTGCCACGGGCTTCAACCCGATCCTGCCTTGTTCTTAATAACCGAACAAAATTGCTTCATGATACCCGCCTTGACCTCCTCGCGCAGCTCCCTCCAGAGTGCCTCCTCCATTTCCCCCAAGAGCTGAATGTCAACCTCTAGTTGACTGAGGTTATCATTGCGAACAGCACCCTCTCCGTTAAAGGTTCTGCCGCCAGCAACTTCAAAAGCCGCAACCTCTTCTCCTGTTGCACTGACTTCTTCCTCTTCTGTAGCTGCCGTATCCTCTGTCGCACCTGATGTGTCCTCTGTCGCATCTGATACGTCCTCTACTACAGCAATTGCCTCCTCCGCTGCAGCCATCTCTTCCACTGTGGCTACGGTCACTGTCTCACCCGTGGGGTCTGAGTTAGGGGACAGAGGGGTGGAAGTGGAGGCCGGAGTGCCTGCAGCTTCATGGCTCAGGGCTGAGCTTGGGAAAGGAAGATGGTCTTTACCGAGATGAGCCTGGTGAGAGGATCGATATTCCCCGTTGCGAGGAGGAAGGGAAAAGGACATAGTCCGTTGGGTTTCTACCTCCAGATCGTATTGAAGGGGTAGGAAAACAGCCGCAGGCATAGACGAAATGTTTCTTTTCTTCTTGTCGATCGTAAAAAGATTACCTTGACGGGGATTCCTGAGGATTTGCCTTGCAGCCTTGTCGGCGATGTCGTTATCGTCAACGCCGGCGTGCCCAGGAACCCAGAATAACTCGAGCGTTACATCAAGGCCGGGAATGCAGCCCAGTTCATGCGACTGCTCGCAAACAAGTCGAATGGCCTTTCGAAAAGTCTCCTGACGGAAGCCCTTCACGGCCGCACGTCCATCGATATGTTGAAGTACTTGATTTCCATCCGTGAACACCTTCACCGTGGCCGCTCTGGTCTTGTTCGAGGCCAGGTGTGCAGCCCGCAGCTTTTTGCCAGATACCTGGACAGCCTGGGCAACGGCGATAGCCTCCACAATCATGTTGTCGATCATGTGTGGCATATGCCATCCCATTACAACCTTCTTCCCATGGTCGAGGTGTCCCGGACAGTGTTCATTGAAGACGACGGCGTACCCTCCGGGGAGCGCAGGTAAGTCTTTGTGGTTTATTGACGCGTCGCAGAAGAGGGCCAGCTGAATGTGCTCTGGTGTAGACCGAACGGCAATCTCTCTTTCGACTGTGTCGATTACCTGTTGACGGCGCCAGGGATTGCTATTGTCATTGGACACATAGTGTATATTGCCCGAAATCCCCTCTGATCTGTACGTAGAGGCGCGTAAGCATGACATTTGAAAGGATTGATGTACCCAGATTTGATGCCCAGAAAGTTTGAGGTGCGGAGGGAAAGAGGATACAACGATTATACCCCTCTTGGACGAACTACCGCGCACGGCGTTGGTCGCTCGTGCTAATCATGGAAATCATCATACTTTTGAAGGCGGGATGGGCAAGATGTGAGATCACGAACAACAACGAGAGCAAGCGTGTGTATACGATTAATTGAGTGTGCTATAGAGGAGAGAGGAGGAGAAAGGACTGGCGGAAAGTCTGGAGGGCTAGAAAGAGGTAGTGCGCCCAGGGCACGGTGGGCACGGCACAGATCATATGCCTGCCGCGTACGGGACCCACCAATACACCCCTATAGACCGAAAGACCGCTCTCTACAAAATCTCAATCCCTCTTATTTACTATTTATATAATAATAATATCTTAGTATTTTATACCCAGGGAACCTTCTTCTAAACTATACTAATAAATTCAATGAACTTTGCATGCTTATTTAGCTTTAATAGCTTCGTAAGGCTATTAACTAGTATTTCTTTACCCGGCAAATGTTTAATAGTAAATGCCTTCCTATCTATTACCTCTTAAATTAATGACTTGTATCGAATATCGATATATTTATTCTTAGTTAGTATATTAGGGTTTAATACCCTATTTCTAATATTCGAATTGTCGGTATATAAAATTTTATTAACTTTTTCGAAGCCTAAATTTACATTTAAATTATTAAGTATACCGCCGACCTAATCTAATACTTTTATAATAGGTATTAAATTAGTAAATTCTACTTCTATTATATTCGTAATAATAAAGTCCTACTTCTTTAACTTCTAGTGAATAAGGCTATATATAAAGAATATAATATAGCTAGCAATACTCTTCCTTAATAGATATCGTTTGCGAAAGAAGTATCCGTATAAGTATAGAATAAAGGCGCTATTAAGGGCGAGAGTATACCTCCTAAAATAATACTTAAATTTATATATTTAGAAAGGTATTATTATAAGTACTTTATAATATAGAAATATTTATTAATTGGACTTTTATTTACTTTAGAGAGTTTATTAACGGTGTAAGAAATATTTAGCCTTATACTTGTTAATATCCAATTTAGGAAACCTATTTTTTTAAAGTAGGACTTAGCCTCTTTAATATATATTTCGATACCCTTATAGACCTTATAGTCCGGTAATTATAGTATTTTAACGCCGTAGAACTTGATATCGTTAAATTTAGCAATTATTAAACGGGTATAGCGTTTTTATAAGATAAAAGCGGTTTGGGTTTATCGATCTCTAACGATATTATAACTTAGGAAGGTACTTACTTTTCCTAATTCTTTGAATTTAAAATAATTAACTAATTGTTCTTTATTTTCGTTAATAATATTAACTATGAATACAGTAATAAGAAGGCTATTAACGTAGAGGATTAATATCGCGCCTAATTTCTTATTTATAAGAAAATAAGAATCTATACAAATAGGTTAGAAACTAATTTCTTTAAAAATTAGAAGGAGGGTTTAAAATCAATAAAGTAGGGAATTCTTAAAGCTATATAAAGCTCATAAGAGGAGGTAGACAACGTATTTTTTATTATAACTATTTAGGGTCCTTTTGAGGGCTATTGGTCATTTAATATAGTATTTAATACCGTTGGGAATAAGTATATTAAGGAAAGCAGTATTGAAATCGAAATTACCTATTTTACTTTAGCTATTTAATTTTTAGTATCGATATTAAATTTTTTATTATAAACTTATTTGCCGGGGAGGATTTTGTATTAGTAGTTCTAGGTACGAAAGTATAAATTTATTGATTTTCCAAGGCTTTAAATTACTTTTTTATAGTTGGGAGCTAGTATATTTCGAAATTGGCTTATTTACGTACAATATGATAGATTTTAGGGATAAATCATTATACTTTTATTATAATTAAGTATAGTATATTACATTTAACTTTTATAGCTATAAGGCAATATTTGTAAGTACATTTAATTAAATAACCTTCTATTATATTATAGAAATTATTTGGTAATATAATTAATTCTTAAATAATATTGCCCTAATTATTCTTCATTCTTTAAACGTTATATTTATAACTTAGTAGTTTAACGTTAACCTTACGAAGTCTAGTATTCAGAAGTTAAGACGGTATAATTATAAATTCCGAAAATTATATTGTAAATTCCGATATTTAAATCGGAGGTTTTCGGACTTAAGTCGGAGGCTATAAGTATTAAATCGGAGGTTAAGGCTATTGAGCCGTAAGCTATCATAATAATTATAATTGTAATTTACTAACTTGTATTATTAAAGATAGGGTATATTATTGCCTACGAATCTGATTCGGTATATTTATAAAAAATAATTATACGGCCGACACAGGGTTTTATAATATATCAGGTAAAGGAGTGCTTAGTATAATTTATATTGTTAATTTATTATTTTTATTAAAGGAGTTATAACGATCGCGGGGTCTAAGATTTTCTTTATTAATATCCTTTAAGTCTACGAATTCCTTATTATATTTATTTCTTTCTTCGTCGTTATCTTTAATCGAAGGTATAACGCCTATTTATTATTAAAGCCGGTCTAAGGATAAGGGAGGATATTAAGGTTCGGGGTCTAGAAATTATTTTTAATTTGAGAGTTCTAGAGTTATCGTTAAGAAGGCTAGAGCTTATTAATATAGGGGAGTTAAAAGTACTAGTAATATTATTAGGAGAATTAGAGGGTTTTAAGGAATTAGAGTAATCGAGGGTATTAGAGCGGTCGAAGTTATTAGAGTAATCGAAAGTACCGGTATAACTTTTAGAGAGAATAGTAATATAATAGCCGTCTCTTAAGGTTTTTTAATAACGTATTAAGGGAGAGGTATAATAGTTTATTATTAGGGTTGAGGGATTTTACTATTAATTTTAATTTAGATTTAGTAACCATTATCCGTACCTTTATTAATTTTATCGATAATTTATTAGAGAAAATAATATAATACTAAATAATATTACCGTTATTATTAAGGATTAGATCTTTCTTAATCATTAAATCCTCCTTAAGGAAGGTAACCGCATTAGTTCGAAAGATTTTACTAATATTAGGGTTCTAAATAAAAGGGATACGATTGTATAAATTATTAAAGTTGATAAAGTAGCCTTTCTAGGCTCTAGTACGAAATTTGTCACTTTAGGGTCGTTTCTTTAATTTAATAAAATAATAAATAATATAGAAATAAGACTACAAATGTTTAATATAAAGCTTCTTAATCTCTTTTAAGAAGTTAGCAGCTTCTATAAATAATTCCTATAAATTCCTACCTTTTTTATCAGCTTTTGATAAAAGTAAATTAAGTACTTTAATAATGTAATTAGCCACGAAAGGCCAAAAATGCTCTAATATATTAAAGTTTATTATTAAAGCTCTAGTGCGCTATATAATAATAGCGCTAGCCCTTTCGATTTTACCTTATATCTATAGGGTATAGGGCGTTAATGTAAGGAATTTAATACTTTCTATACGAACTTAATTAACGAATTTATTATACTAGAATTCTTTAATATTAAAATTAAATTTTAAACTACTGTTAAAATTAAATACCCTAATTTTGAATCCACTGCTTTAAAACTCTACCTATTTTTTAAATTCTTTAATTTATATAAATACTTGTTCTTTATTAGCTATAAATTTAATTTAATAAAATCCCATTACCTTATAAATAAAATAGATTATATATTTATAGCCTTTATAATCGGGGAGAGTATAGGAAATAACGTTAACATAAACATATACTATAAGTTAAGTTGTAATTTTGCTGACAATTTTAGGGATAATATTATAAGCTTTAATTTTAATTTATACTTTGTAAAAATATTCTTGGGTATTATTAAGTTTAATATTAGCCGCTTTATAGATTTTAAGGATTTGGTCTCTATTTACGTATATAAATCGGTGGTATATTATTAAATAATTAATTAATACTATTATAGTATAGCGGGTATTTTAGGGAAAGTTTTATTAGGCGTATATTAGGAGTATTAGGAGGTTATTCATTTATTTATATTAAATAATAACCTTATTATATATTATAATTTAGTTGGTACATATATCCTAAGCTATTCCATTATTATAAAGACACTTAGTTATTCATAAATTTATTAGGGTTGAAGGATTATAAAGAATATTCTTAATTCGAACCCTAATATTAATATTATTAACTATTAGTATACTAAGCTCTACGGTACCTATATAATAAATATATATTAGACTTCTATTATTAATAATATATATAATAATGTAGGGAAGAAGTTATACGTCTATAAACTATTTAAAGTAATTAAAAATATTAGACGCGTAATTTAAATTGTAAATAACGAAGTTATAAAGACCTTTTTATTATTATTTTTAAGCCTATTAGATTTTAGTAAGATTATTTTAAATATATTAAAACTAAAATTAATTAACGTTTTATACTTAATTATAATTAGATTAAGTAATATTAATATGCTAAATCGCATTTATTAGGGGCTTTAGTAAAGATCTATACTATTAGACCCTTTACTATAATTTATATTATTAGTAATTATAAATAATCTATTTCTATAGAATAAAATAGAATTCGGGACGGTAATTAGGGTAATAAGGTTAGTAGAGGTATTATAAACTAAAATATTAGTACTAGCGGTAATTCTTTTAGCAATAATATCCTTCTTAAACCTTTAAATATTAGGAGCCTTCTTAAAGTTATAAAATTAGTAAATCTTTACCTTAGCTGTAGTATAGTAATTATACGGTATATATTTCTAAATTAGGTAAATCTTCTTATTGTAGCTAATATAATAAATTTTTTTATCTTTATCTTTATTATCCTTCTTATTACTATTATTACCCGATAACAAATTACTATTATTATTATCATTAGCCGTCTTTTGGATATTAACGTTGAATTTAGTTATATATATTTCGGTATTACTAATATTATTAAGTTTAGTTAGGAGGCTACCGATAGTAAAGGCTTTATTTTTATTTTTTTCCTCGATGGAAGTAGTTTAATACTTTGCGTTAATTAAGTATTAGTATTTAATAGTATTAAATAGAAAAGTAATTTCAAAGTCATTAATAATATTAAATTCAGTATTTTGAATGTGCTTACGTAGGAGGGTATAACGGGTAAGGAAAGAAACTATAATATTAAAATTAATTTATTTAATAATTAAAAATTCGCCGAAAATTTCGTTACGAACTTTATCAATAATATAAGTAATATAAGATTAAATAAGGTAGTAAAGGACTTGAGAGTTTTTATTCTTTTTATCCTAACCGTTAATAGTAAGGGTAATAATAATAGTTTTATTTTTGAATATAGCCAATAGAATTTTTATAGCATTAGCGCGCTTAGTAAATTAAATTTTGTATTCCGCGGGATTTACTTCTTTATTAGGTTCAATTATAGTACTAAAAATATAGTCGGTAAGATTAGGGTAATCGAATTTAATTTCGAATCTTTACTTTTAATTATTAATATTGCGCTTGCCCTTAAAGTAAATAAAGGACGACGTAGATAGAAATATATTGGCGGTAATAATAAGGGTATTACGTATTTAATTAAATAGCATTACGTAAGTCGCTAAATTAAATGCTAATTGAATTATTTAATTAGATTAATTTGACGCTAAGCTTATTACTAATTATCATTGTAGAAGGGAAGTAAGATAATAGGTATTATTTAAGATTTTTATAGGCGGGGTAAATAGTGAGCTTAGTAAAGCGAATTGATTAAATTGAAGTTGCGGGTCGAGAATTAAACTTTTATTGTAATGTTAGCATGAAAGTGGTAATGCGATGCGATTGATGCGCGCGCTTATAAGGAAGGATAGAGAGGGTTTATAACTTGTAAGATTTCGAATAATAACGAGAGTAAACGTATATATACGATTGATTAAATGTACTATAGAGGAGAGAGGAGGAGAAAGGACTGGCGGAAAGTCTGGAGGGCTAGAAAGAGGTGGTGCGCCCAGGGTACGGTAGGCACGGCATAGATTATATGCCTGCTACGTGCGGGACCCACCAATACAAGATCTTGACCGAGAATGTGGTACTCACCAACGCGCTTAGTCCTTTTTGTCGGGTCATCGGGGCCCTCACAGGGACCAGGGCTTTTGCTCCGAGCTCGCTTTTGGCTGGTTTGCATTTCGTGAATGTAGAGCAAAGGAAGCGGGAACGTGCGAAGTGTAAAAGAACAGTGTCGAAGCCAGACTTTCGGTGGCGGAGGTTTGGGGGGAAGACGCGGATGGATTGTTTGCGCAAGCGACGCGACGAGAATTGCAGAGAAAGGATGAGAGTTGCGTCAAGAACATTGATGGAAGACCGCCTGAAGTTCAAACAGCGGCGGTTGTTCGAGCAGTGGATCTTTCAACAGGTGCCAGCAATTGATGACTCGAAACCGTAGCGCGGTGACCAGGTTTACGCTACGCTCCTTCCACTTTCTAGTATCTATGACTGGAGGCTCGCTATCTGCCACAAATGGGAAAGAGCCGGAGGTATAGCAGTGACGCGTCCAAGGCAGTCGCGATACCGGATGAAAGGGCGCGGATTGTCTCGCTGTTGCAAATGGGAATCACTCAAGTATCAGGCTTCTCAACAGCAGAAGTGATGAGTTCACAAGCGGGCAGTTGTCCACATGGGAACATCAGGGTTGAACAACCATTTGATGACTCGATTTCCATACTGCTTCACGCGAGTGAGCTGGTCTAGAGGCTGGCTGTGTCCTATCCGGTCGTCATCTGCCATTGTTTCTTTCACTGATGAATGCTGCGACCCAAATAACCGCATCGACGCCTTCGCCCTCGCATTAAAGGCTCAAGCGGGGTTTCCCTGGGACAAGAGAGCACTGGGCTCACCTGTTAGGGGCTTGGCCCATCCTTCATTCGTTGGAATCAGCGACTGCTGAAGCCAAGGCCATCTCAAAAGCTATCGAAGTGGCTATGGAGGAGAGACACTGCCATGTTCGTGTGCTAATTTCTCTGGACTGTGAACAGGTCCTCGCCCTACACAGGAGGAGTTCAGGAGGTTGTCAAGTGGTCAAGAGACATGGTTTTGCCGTGCAAGAAGATTCGTCAAAGACGTACATGGAGTTTGTTGTTTCCTTTGAAGACGAGTTTTGTCTCGCTACCTTGAACTTTGCGGTGCAAATGTAGATAGAAGTAACTTCGAAAACTATCTACATGGAGTGGACTGTGAAAGTCAGAGCAAATTATGTCTGTTTACATTTGGCAAAGATATTTGCAAAAGGCTTCAGTGTTTTTGATGCAGGAGGAGGGTTGGCAAGATATGTGAAGTATGTGAAACTTGCATCTTGCAACAAATAGTTGAAAATCCAAGTGTCGGTCGGAGCATAAAGCTCGGTAGAGCCCCACCCATTTCAACACCCCCAGAAAGGGACAGTGGCCGAGCGGTGTGGAGCGCAGCTTGCTAAACTCCCGGGGCTACAGCTCATAGGTCTGTACCCCTGCCAGCATGTGCCAATATAGCGGCCTGTCAGAGGGCTTGGTGCCTTGCTGTAGTAGTATTGTTCACTGGCGTCTTCCGGCTACGCAAATAAGGCTCTTCTACTCCTTTCCAGTTACTTTACGTCCTCCGTTCGGTTCGCGATTGAGAGTTTGAGACCTTTCCACTCTTTTTTTGCCTCTTTGCCCCCTTTCTTTTCCTTTTCTCAGGTAATTTCTGCCTGCAACTTTCCGGACTGGCCGTCCCCGACCAATGTAAATTATCTTCCATCCCATGTCTACCTCTACTGTTGACAGCGGGGTTCTCGAATTTTCAAAGTGAATGGCACCGCGGGCGGGATGCGTGAGTGCTTCGACAAGACACTTCATAGACGAGCTGCCTGCCCCGCACACGGCACAAAATCGCATTTCTTCAACACGCTTCTCCGTTTCTACTACCATATCAGTCACGTTGTTTACCAACTTCCTCTCACAACATAGTCTATCATCAATTAACTTGCAATCACCATGGCAGACACCGAGCAGAGCAACAAGGGTGGAAACCCTGATTCAGACGTCGGCGAGCAAGGTCGCGCTGGGGATACCGTGAGTCCAGGTAAGTAATTCTTCTTCGTGCCGACGCACCTGAAAGCCCACTTGAGCAGCTCGCGCATTCAACTTTCTGCTTGCTAACCTACCCTCTCCCAACAAGGCTCCAAACCCACCAGCAAGTTCAGCGGGCAAATCTTCGGCCCAGGCATTTCCGACAACGCAACAAAAGACCGAGCTATCTCCACGGCCGGTTACGCCCTACACCAAGAGCTCCACCAAACCCCGAACCACGTCTGGATGGCCTTCTTTACCGGTGCCTCCTGGACGAAGACGGCTAGTCCCTCGGGCGCCTACTCCGTCGTCTTTCCATCCCGCAACTCAATCGATCATCGCAAACTGGCCAAGATGGCTTGGTACATGGCCTCCTCCTCGGGGGTGGTTAACGAGAAAAGACTTGCCGGCCTGGCCATTGCGCAGGCACTCTACATCGCGGACAACAGACTGCGTGCCCTTCTCCACGATGGGCGGCAGCCGAAGAAAGCGACTGTAAAGGTGTTTGTGCATTGTGTGGAGACGCTCCAAAACATCGACGACCCTAGCAGCATCGGGGGTGATGGAAGGGAGGCGCAGCTGGAAGTTGTTAAGTTGATCGAGGATCTTTCATACAGCCTCTGCAATATTGCTGGCATCAATGTGAGACTGTACCTCCAGTGGCTGCCGGCGGACTATAGGAAGATGGTGTGCGCTAGGGACTTCGCAAAGCGGTGTCGTCGGAAGAAAGGCAGGAAGGATTTGTATTACGTTGGGACCGAGGTGAGAGATGCTGGGCTGATGCCTGAGGGCGTTTCTGGCTTCATTGAACGGGATACTGCGGAAGAGAGCCAGCACGATATGATGGAGGAGTCAGGAACGGCCGTGTCCATGGCGGAAGAGGATCAGGCGGGTCTTCACCAGGCGGCAAACCCAGATGACCAGGAGATGGCTGAGGAGGAGGCTATGGCTAGCGACCAGGTTCCGAACGACGAGCTGGGCGGGAACGAGGAACAGGCATCGATCAATCAGCAAATCCGTGCTGAATGCTACCAGCAGCGAATTTACTTCCTCCGCGAGCAAAGGACCCAGGACGTTGCCATTCAACAGATGTCGGGAGAGCTTGCGGATGGTTATGCCGATGAGTTGTGTCAGTTGGACCCGAACCATCTGTTGCCTTCTCCCCCCTCGCCGTAATGGAGATCTATCTCGCATTGCGCCGGGGGGCTCTTTGGCTACCAAACTTGTATTCCTTGAGGGATATAAAGAAGGACTTGTGGATTGTCCGGAGGGCATGTTGTTTTGTTATAGCGTATGGAGTTTGGCGTTGTTCTGGGTTCCTCTTTGTGGGGGATGTCTTTGCTGTCACCATAGTTCACGATATAGCTAGTCCTGCAACGGCCTTTCACAACCAAAGGGAGCGGAATTGGGCTCCATGTGTTCGGTTCATTCCTATGACCGCTTGCCAGACAACAACTTCAGTCTTCCATGCCAACTCCCGGACCATTCATGGTACAATACTCCACGAGGATCCATCACAACGATATCCAACTCATGTGTCTCAGTATTACATTACCGCCAAAGTACCTTTACGTTCAACACTCATTCTTTCGACAGGTGTGTTCCGTATCTTGTGGGGGAAGAGTCTTGCTCAACCGAAGCTGAATGACGTCGGTCACACCGCATCATCGTCAAGAAGATCTTCCCGAACAATCTGGCGAATCAGAACTGGCTCCCCTGTCTTAAAGGGTAAGGGGAACCCACAGATCGACATCAGCTCCTTGGAGGTGATCCACGTTGTGGAGCGGCTGAAGATGGCACAGCGCCTAGATCCCATAGGCTTCCGACTGGTGTCTCGGCTCCTTGTATGTCTCAGACTGGCAATGTACGACAACTGTGAGAAGGTAAAGATAGTTGGAGTGATGTGAGGATGACGAGTGAGACAGTTGGCTTCTTGGACAGACTATGTCGGAGAATGATGATATATATGAACCACTTTCCCCACGCCTTCGCTACTGTCATAGAGACGATGCTTTTCGTTCTACCTTCAAGATGCTTGTTCAACACCCCCAAGTTCAAAACGTACCCAAAGGACAAGCAAAGACTGAAACAGCTTCCTTTACAGACACCAAAGACTCCAGCAACAACAATGCATTACATGAGCACCATCAACGCGCCTACGACGTACCCTCAGCGAAGACAGATTCTCATCTTTCGAAATGTACCTGGCTAGGACAAACCGTAGGCCACCGACAAATAATTCCAATTCTTTCTGGAGAAGAGTTGCATCCTTCGGTGAACGCACTCTGGGATCTCATGGAGGACAACTGTGAAGTTCGTTCACTGTTCACCCAGATGCTACAACAGGTCCCGAATGCACCTCCGTACGACAAGAATCCAACCGGTGGTCCACAATTCCGCAACTGGATGGAACTTCTTTGCGCTTTCAATCACCAACTGTCCCAAGGACCGGTATGGCTTTACGATACACCGGGCCAGCAAGGCCTAATCGGCTTTCCTTTCAACGCCCTTTTGGTACGTTACCGTAATCTTACCTCCCCACCATTTTCTCCTCCCGCCGGCTCCCCGTTGCCAAAATCGCATCTCTAACCCCGCAAACACAAAAGAACTGGTCCATGTCAACCCCAGCCGGCCTCCTCGCCTTCCACCGTTCCGTCGTCAACGCCCACCTTCGCGACATCCTCACCGCCTACGGCAATTTCCTCTCTTCCCCCGCCTCTGCCGCCGTTCTCAACTCCTCCGCGACCGGCTGGCTGAGCCCGACCGCTCTCGACGCCCTTGTGTCTACCGCCTGGCTACCCACCAACACCACCTCCTCTTCCGACTCCGAGCCGAGAACAAATACCCGCACGCCGCAACCTCGTCCCCAGTTCCACGACCTTTTCATCTCCAACCCGCACCACCCCACGCACGGCTTCGCCTCCTGGGACGCCTTCTTCACCCGCCGATTCCGGCCGGGGATCCGACCGATTGCTTCCCCCTCCGACGACGGGGTCATAGTCAACGCGTGCGAGTCAACGCCCATAGCGCTCGAGCGCAGAGTTAAACTGCATGATGAGTTCTGGGTTAAGCGGCAGCCGTATAGTTTGGTTACCATACTCGGCAGTTTGAACAAGGACTCAGACCGGGACGAGGACGAGAAGAACGGGGGCAGGAAGAAAGAGGAGGAGGAGCAGCTAAAACAAGCAATGCGCTTCGAAGGAGGAACAATCTACCAAGGCTTCCTAGGAGCACTGAGTTACCACCGCTGGCATGCGCCTGTTTCCGGGGTGGTGGAGAAAGTGACGAAGATACACGGGACTTACTTTGCTGGTTGTCCTGGGTTGTCCTCCTCCCGCCGTGGGGGACTACATGATGGAGACATGGAGGAACGGAAGCACGATCCTTCGGCGCCGGATAGAAGCCAGAGATATATCTGCCAGGTGGGCACTAGGGCTTTGGTGTACATACGGGCGAGAGATAGGAGGCTGGGGACGGTGGTGTTTGTGGCGGTGGGAATGGCGGAGGTCAGTAGTTGTGAGGTTACGGTTAGGGAGGGGGATATGGTGGAAAAGGGGGAGGAGATTGGCTTGGTGAGTTCCCGGAGTCTTTGTTGCCGAAGTCGTGAGGATGTTGAGATGGTTGCTAACAATGCTTGACTGATTGATACAGTTCCACTATGGCGGCTCGACGCACTGTCTTATTTTCGAGCCAGGTGTCCGGTTGAAGTTCACAGAAGCAGCAGAGGAGGTTGATGTCAAGAGACGGGGTCATAACTTGCCGGTCAACGGATACTTGGCGGAGGTTGTGTCTGGATGATGCTGCCCCAGGGCTCTGCATGACGATGCAGAGCGGAAGTATGTACATCATAGATACCATAAGCCACGTACAAACGCAAAAGACATTCGAATGCGAAAAGTTCTTTCAGAAGTATGCTGTATGATGTAACTGTGTCGATGAAGACAGAAAAGACTCAGGACTGTTACAACCCTCGTGATAACTTGGAAGCAAATCGGGTAGAGTCCATGAGAGATTATTTGATCCATGAAGTGACCTAAATCTCGGTTGAAATGTGCAGTAAAGACACACGAATGCCTGCACGATCATGCCGAAGGTGTGATGTATTAAACATTTATGTGTTTGGTTCATTCCTCTGTTGAACCATACGAAGGAGGTGATCACGAGAGACGACGAAAGTGGTGGTCAAAGTCTTGATTGATTGAAGAGAGAGAGAAAAGACCAAAAGAAAAGGACGAAGTCCAGCTTATATACAGGGTAAGCATGTGTGGATCGTATCTACCTTGTGCCAATGATGCCAAGACATGGTGATGGCTTCAACATCTTCCGACAGTTAGCTTGGTGAGAGATGCGCGTTGATGAATGAGGCGGCCTGGCCATCTTTTTGATGATAAATCACATCAAAGCATCGTTGTTCGTCGTAGAGCCGACAGTAATGGATCGAAATGCCGAAATGTGGCTAGTGTCGCAGTGTGTAAATGAGACAAAATGCTCGACTTCTCTGGCCATCAGGGTGAAATAGGTAGGCGTGATGAAACTTGGTCCAAGCGGGGGGTTGATAAGTCAGAACTTTGAGGCAGGTATGCAACAATCCCCGGAAAGGGACAGTGGTCGAGCGGTATGGTGCGTAGCTTTGCTTGAATCCACCAGGGTTAGGCCCAGGGGCACATGCCTGCGTACGTTGGCCTCGTCATACTACAAAAAAGTACAAGTGATAATCCACTGAGCGGGCCCCTCTGGGATAGTATTTTGTAGCTGGCGTCTTCCGGCTACGCAAAAAATAGGGCTCTTCTACTCCCTTCCAGTTGCTATACGTCCCCAATTCGATTCGCGATCGAGACCTTTCCACTCTATTTTTTTTTCGTTTTACTGTTTTTGCTTTATCTACCTATCTGACACTGCGGTCATTCATTCTCCTTATTTGTGACACGTCCCTTTTGCTGGTCCCTCACCTCTAATGTATACCTACTATATTTATGTATCCGCGCAAGAACTGGCAGCATCATTCACTTCCCACCTTCTCTTCTTGAAATTGCTTCCTAGCCCCGTCTTATGACACTGAGACTCTTGACACTGACATTCTTGCAAAGTTGCAGGTGCTCAAGTATCTTCTCAGATCTCGTTAGTTCACCTCAACGTCATTGTTGATGTGAGAAATTGCCAGCCCAGACCCTTCTTCAACCCGTCAGATCTTGACTAGGTATCAAGGAACTATTCGTTAATCTCTCTCTGCCTCCAAGCGAGGTCTCCGGAAGCAGTGAAGTGCGCACTCAATTTCCAGGCGTACTTTTCCATTTTGCTTTGAGTTCCTCTTTTTATTGCTACTACTGCGCTACTAAACCAACATGCGTTTCCGTTTTCCATCGTTATCCCCCCAACCCTTTATGGTTTGTCAAGTTCCATTGGTTGGAACAGTTCCAGGTTCTTTTCGCCATTCATGTATCATGCTCCATTCATCTTCCACGATATCGTAGTTCGGTCAACTCACATCTCCATCACCCAGTATGTTACGGTCTGTGAAATACTAGAATACCGGAGCTCCTTTTGCGCCATCACCACTTTACTAGGCCCAGATTTCATCCCATGTTCATGCCGCCGACTTTGGGCCATCACATTCATCTGCTGTGGTTGAGGAATGACGCGGCCGGCTTGGAAGCCTGGCTGCCTGGGCAGTCCTCCCGCAAAGCCCTACTCTACGCACAGGACACAACTTCACTTCCAAAAACTTTTTTTCTACCCCTCGATCAAAGACCAAAGTTCGCAAACAAGAACTGCAGACCGCGCGTCCTCAACTTTCTTGCCCCTCGTAGCACCTCAACAAGTGCGCAAAAATTCACCTCTTCGAACCACGATTGCGCCCCTGAACTGCGAGGATAACAGTCCTGCGCATCTTCTGAGTTGATCGCACAATATACAGCATGCCGCCTAGTGTAACGGAAGCGAGCAACGGGCTCGACTCGTCTGGCCGGGCGCTCACCAGACCAGAAGAATCCAATACTACTCGTAAGTCACATCCAGCGCGAGGCATCGCAGAATTAGTCTTACTACATTTCGCATCCGCTTCATCTTTGCTGATAAGTTCCGTGGCATGAAGGGCCTAACGTCTACACCGAATTGCGCGGCCAAGTCCACGCTCCTGAAGCTAACGACGAGGCCTCCAAGAGTCAAATTGTCACAATCGCTGAGAGATTCGAAGGGCGGATGGCAACCCCCGGTGAAATCACGCTGACCTTCTTTACATCCGCGTCTTGTCAGCCCAAGCCAGATCAGGAGACTGTCGGCGCCTACTCGGTGGTCTTCACCGAGATGTCACCAGGCACCGACGACCATGGCAAGCAAGCCGAGATGGCGTGGAGTTCAAAACTACTCAGGGACAAGACCGTTGCACAAGCTCTAGCAGTTGTCCAGGTTCTTCAGCTTGCCCAACAGCGGTTGCGCACCCTCCCTCCGGGTCCGAAGCTTGCTACGGTACAGATTTTTACGGGAGCCCTTAACGTGCTCCGAGAGATCGCACTCAACAACAACACCTGGAGTGCGAGCAGGAGTCCTACTCCTCACTTAGAACTATTGAGATCTGTTCAATCCATGATGTTCGAGCACGCTCATAAGCTTGGAGAGATTGCCAATGTAGAGGTCGACTTGCACCTCTATTGGCTACCTTCGAAATCTCGCCTTGAGAGCCAGCAGTCCGCCAAGCGCATTGCCCTCAAATGTCGCCTACATGACGGCGAGCAAAACATGTTCACCCTGGGCGGTGAACCAAGACCAGCGGCGGAGATTCCTCCACCGGTGTATCTTGCCCCTGATGTGGAACACGCCCTTGTCCACAAGAACAAGAATCACAAAAAGAAGTTGGAAAAGAAATCAGCAGCCGCCACGGTTCCCATCACTTCTCATATTGGATATCAGGACTCGTGGTACGGTCAATCATACGACCCCTGCCCGGAGCCATACGTCTGCTCCTTTTCCGACCCCGAGGATTACTACGACTCAGAGCTCGAGGTCCACAACTCCATCGAGGCCTCCCCTGAGCCCTCCCACCCTAGCAACCCCGAGCCGTACAGCTCAGAGCCGCCTCCGATGGGTAGCCCCCCCGACATGGTGTCGGACATTCCCTTTCCCAGAACCAACAAGCCAATGTGGTGGCGCGATCTCGGCCCTGCCCGTCCCACCATCACATCCGAGACGGAAGAGGAGCAGGATATGCTGGAGGAGCATGAGCTGGAGCAGTGCATTCGGTTCATGGAGGAAAGGAGGGCCTTGGGATATAGGAATGAATCGGTGTTGGAACATTGGCAGGAAGTCTATATCAAGGAGCTTCGCCTGATGGCGCCTGAAAATCCACTTGTGCGTTCCCATGAGGCGAAGCGAGCCCGCATCAACTGCTTGCAGGAGAAAATCTGTCTCCTCCGCGAGGAGATAAACAAAAAGGCCAAGGAGTTCCGCCACTTGGCGCGTGACCAACCCTTCCTGTTCTCCGGCTCCTCTCCTTAAGGGGATTGGTCGTTCTTGTCGGTGTCGCTGGGATTTGGGGGGCTTGGGGTGATCTGGTCCTTACAGTTTGTTCCTGTTGCATTGGAGGAGGAGGTCTTCGATGTATAACCGAGCGGAGTCTCCCAGCGATCAAAGCTGTGTGGCGTTTGGTGTGTGAAGGACGTTTCAAAGGTTCTGCCAAAGTTTTCTGTCATTATTCGCACGGCTTGGGAGCATAGAGTTCGGCGTTGTCTGGTTTCGGCGGCAATGGTTTTATCAGACTTGTATGGTGTGTTGTGGTTGTTGGAGGACTTTGAGGATAGCCTGAGGCAAATTTTCTGACCGAAAAGCCCGGGGGGTCAGTGGCTTGTGTAAGAGACCTTTGATGATTGCTCAAAGTGTTTCGTTGTTGCTGTTCTTTCCTCGCGAGCATGGAGTTTGGCGTTGTCCGGGTTCTTCTTCTTCTTTGTACCAGAGATACCCCTGTTTCGTAGAGACTATCATGTTTGAACATAGCTTTCACTCACTCATGTCTCTTTATTGAAATTATTGCTTCCAGACACTTTGCCTTTGAAGATCTTGTCCAATCTCCTGTGATACCCTTGATCTTGTGAACTAACAAAACTCCAGCTGTTTCGGCATCAAGTAGCACACACTATTCCTTCCTCCCGTCAACTTCTCTCTAACTATATTTATGTTACGGGTCTTCTCCCAGTCGGTGAACCAGATATAACTACAAGACACCCCGGAAAAGTTTGCTAGCTTCAGGCGTCTGGTACACTTGTCTAGGTGTCTCTAGATCCAGCGTATGTGTTTCTTCTAATGACGAAGGCTTGACCTATTTTTTAGAGAAAACCTCAGCACACTCCAAGTCAAGCCTACACGCACTCTAAAACCCATATGACAGCTGTCATATAAATACGGCCGTTTTGTATGGTAATCTGGGGTCTCCCAAATGTTCGTAACATCCCTCCCGCCAAGTCAAAAGTCGTGATATTTCGTAGTGGTGTATATACCCCTATACAATAAGATAGCGTAGTGCAGTCTTAGTCCCTGAAGTTGTCACTCCCCTTCTTTGTTTACTTGGTGATATCGCTCTCACGCTTTTTCAACCCTCAAAACAACGGAAATAAAGACTTTCATTTCTTGTAAAGAGACGATATAAGGCCTGGCGGCGTTGTAGGGTGCTAATGCAAGTGGTGATGCGACGTGTAGAAGTATGCTTAAAATCACAAAGTTCGAAAAAGCTGTATAAGACTGGCCAAAACTTTCACGAAATGAAGCGAAAACTTTCACGAAATGAAGCGCAATGTTTCGTACATTGAAATGGGGTACTTTCACGGGTAAAAGTGGACTTTTGGATGTCGGGTGTCATGGCCTGTCATGGGGTGCCAGAGTGGGAACTATATGGGTCTTAGAGTGCGTGTAGGTAAACTTTAGAGTGTGCTGAGGTTTTCTCATTTTTTACATCCTTGTTCAGATATAGACTTAATGCCTTTTCGGTTTGATCTCACGCATCTCATATTGACCTTGCGGTGTTTTCAAACAAGCGGGGATAGGTCTGCCTCAGAGTTTCAAGCTAACAAACAAACCAGCATTGGACTATACCCGGAACTAGGCCGGCTGCTCCGTCTTTCTCTTTATACCGGGGTTATAACACGCTGCTGAAATTCTGTACCCTCCTAAATGCCCATCGATGATGCCCCCCAGAGCCTCAATGCTTCTGTTAACGCCCTCAACTTTATACTCGACAATCTCACCGTGTCTGACAGTCCTACAGGTTGACAGAGCAAGGGGTCTCACGGCTCCCTGACACACTGCCAACAATACTATAAGAAGGGAAGTCTCCCTTTAACAACGGGGAGGCAGTGGGCACATCGTAGACAGCGCGGTTGCTCATTGACAATTGAGTGTCAGATGCATTACTGGTAACCTGGGGGTCTAATATCACGTTTCTTTTACCCAATCATGGCCTGGGATCCGCCTGCAACGGCTATTCTGAGCTGAACGGTATTTTGAGGTGAAGGGTTATATTGAGGACAACAGATATCACCGTTCTGTAACCGTTTTCTTCTTTTTTTTCGTGGTACGGTTTTCTCACTCCCCAGATTCCCATTAATGTGGTGTACGGTATGGTTGCGACGAGCTCTGTGGAAGTGGTTTTGACGACTGACCGCTGTATTTTGATTCAGAGGTGTGGTACGAGTAAATACAAAAGTCTGAACAGGACTCAAAACTACATACATGCATCCGGGACCCTCTTTGAAGTCCGGGTATCTCATGAACAGAAAGAGACCGGGATAACACCATACTCCATGCGCGCTAGCAGAACAAAAACATCCACAGAAAATCCCCTCCATCGGTAATTCCACCTTCCGTCGTGACTACACTGTGATGCTTCTTCTTGAGGCTCAAAAGCCTGAAACAAGATCACGCTCCCAGGAGACTAACAAGGAGTCTGAAGTGACACAAAGTTTGATGTCCAGATTGCCCCAACAGCATTGCCAAGATGAGATGCCCTTCACGGCGAGAAGAGGGCAGCCATCAACGGATGCGTCGGACGGTCCGGTACCTGAACCAGCGGATGGTCTGGAACCAACGCGCCCAGGTAATCGCAATAAGTATCGGCAATCCCGCTATATATCGGCTCAGTGCCACGGGTGCTACGTCCCGGGATTGCTTTCTCCCGACAGGAGCGGATGTGGTTCTCGTAGCATTCAATGACGATCTGCCTGTCGACGAGCGCTTGCTCGTCCAGCGGGGCTTGGATATCTTCTTGCGTCTCTTCACCCGACGGCATCGCTGCCTGGCCGGTTTCAGTTGCCGGCTCTTGTGCCTCTGCCATAGGCTCTGGGCCGTATGACACCGGAGAGGAGTCGCGGAGCTCTTCGTAGGGCGGGTGGATTGGAAAATACGGCGTCGTCGGAAGAGACAAGGCGTGGACATCTTGGTCCATGGCGGGCTCAGTGGTTTTATGAGCTGCCTTCATGGAGGCCGCGGTTGCTGCTGTTGCTTTTCCGTCGGTCTTCCGTTCTTTGTTGATCCGGAGACGCTCTCGGATCAGGACGTCTGCAATGATTGATGAGACTGATTTCGGCATATGCGCACTGGACCTCTCTTCCATCTCCCCATCGACGAAAAACATGTTTCTGCCGTCTTTGCGGCATTTCATGGCAATCTTGTGAGCTTCATTTAGGCTCGTCACGCCACATTTGGCTGGGAGCCAGTAAAGAACCAGCTCGACCCTCATTCCTGGAATATCGGAGAGCTTTTGTACTTCTTGGTGGACAAGCGACGAGACTCTGGTTTGGAGGGCTTGGCGAGGGCCCTGAATCTCAGCCTGGTTGATTATATGGCGAAGGGCTGGGTTGCTGGCTGTAAAAACTTGTACCCTAGCCTTTCTCGGGACTGCTCCCTGCGGACCGGCTGCAATTGTACGCAATCTCGCGCCCGAAATGCTAATTGCCTGAGCAATTGCCAGACCGTTCGCAGCTTGTGAGTCTGAGGCAGAAGGCTGATTCCAACCCATCTTGAAAAGCTCACCATGGTCGGATGTACCAGGTGACATTTGCCTAAAGACGACCGAATACGCGCCCTTGAGCTCATGCCCCTCGACACATGATGCTGAGGCAAATATTCCCAACGAAATGTCCAGGTCGTTAGGAGTAGTGACGCGACGCTGGGCTCCCTCAGCTAGCGCGATTACTTGTCTTTGGTGCATTTCGTCGGCTGCGTGGGGAATACAGACGGTGGCGGTCAGGGTAGAGGTGAAAAGAAGTTCTTTTAATCACATCTCAGGTCAGTAAGACAGTAACCGGGAGATAATCACCGAAGTGGCCAGTGGGTAAGCTGAAACCGTCATTCATCCACGCCGACAAAAAACTTACTGAAGAGCTCGACATCCTCAGGCGTATCCTGCGCTCCGCGGGCAGTCCGGCCATGTTGCCCACTTTTTCTCAGTCCAGACATGGCGAGTAGCGAGCGCACGAGGATCTGAGGAGAAGATTGGAGTTGATAAGTTTGCAAAGTAGGTAAGGTACGCTGTACGAGCGCAAAAGACCGTGACCTCGTCGGTGTAGCTGTGGCTACCTCAGAAATTGGCGACAAAAAGATGACGGCGAATGCCGGATTTTTGGTTGTCCGTGATGAGTTAGTGAGGACGGGAAAGAATTTTGCCGACGATTGGTATTGTGTGCTCTGGGTTCGATAGGGCTCTGAAACTTTCAGGCAGTGACAGGTGGCGCGTCAGCTGTCGAACCGTGTCAATTCAAAACCCAACGTAGTGGGCACATATGGGATGAAAATGAGGACAGCTGTTGGTGTCCATGATCCTAACGGTCTTGGTATAGACCTTGACCTCTGGTACAAAATCAAGTGTGGAAATGGCGTGCCTAGAGGTAGTCAGGAGGAGCGTATCCGGCACCATTTCCCCGTCGTGGGCATATGTACGTGACTGATCCAATACATTCGGAGGCACTAGGAAGTCACAGTCAACGGCTTAGGTCATGTCATCGATCTTGCTCATAAGAAGTCTTGTCTTTTTCACTCTGTGGACGAGCTGGAAAGACGGGCAATAACATTGCCATGATAGGATTCAGGTACCTAGTTTGGTTGTAGAGAAGACAAGAACATACGAAACGGAATGCTCCAAAGCAACTCTCTTCGAGAATGTCACGGCTTGGGAAATTGAGGAACGAGTGCTGGTGTGACAGTGTTGCTTTGGCTATTCAAGGCCGAAAAGCTGAGTTGAGGACACAAGAATGACATCGTAGAGGGCTGAATAGGGGCGGCGCGGAGATCAAATCATATAAACCCAGGACCGCTGAGACTCACACCTCGAGAACCTAAACATGGGCAAGTAATTGAACCCACCTTCCCTATGATAGTGCTTTGAGTATCTCAGCCGTCATAAAGAGTAAGAATGTCAAGAGCCAAGGAGGGAGTAAAACAGAACTGGAAGATGTAAGCAGTATTAGACGCGACGACATGGCAACGTTTGAGGTCACGAACAACAATAACAAAAGCAACCGTGGATATGATTGAGTGTCCTGTAGAATGGGGGAAAGTAAGGAGGAGCAGAGAAGAGAAGTTTGGAGGGCTCACCGGCAGTGCTAACTGCTATGTCAGGTGGCAATGGCCGAGACGTAGCAACAACACAACGATGTTTGACAAAGGGCGAAGACATACATCTTGCTCCAACGTATGACTGAGACTCTCAAATGAAGGACTTGAAGAAAAGGGGGAATGATATTCAGTAATGGACGAAGAAAAACGACTGAAATGTCCTTTCTTACAGCAACCAGGACCGCGCTTTCCCTCAGTGCCTGTCACTGGTAGGTATAAGCAGGAATTATGGCACCCTGGAAGTGTTGAAAGCAAGTGCCAGCCAGTGAAAGGGAAAAAAGCACAATATGTGTTACTTGTTGAAGCCATCACCATGTCTTGGCATTCTTGGCACAAGGTGGATACGATCCACACATGCTTACCCTGTATATAAGCTAGACTTCGTCTCCCTTCTTTGCATTCCTCTTTCTCTCTCTTCAATCAATCAAGACATTCACCACCACATTCCTCGTCTCACGTGATCACCTCCTCCGTATGGTTCAACATTACTTCCAACATCTTACTTGAAAAGCGGATGACCGATGTATGGTCGAAAACCAAAAAAAAAGACAAAAAAGATGGCAAGGGCGGGAATCGAGCGGGGGACGTAAAGCAACTGGAAGGGAGTAGAAGAGCCTATTGCGTAACCGGAAGACGCCAGCTACAATACTACTCAAAGGGGCCAAACCCCCCGGCCCATGTGGGTAATGGACAAGGTAGGTGTCAGATTCAAGGGTGGTTTTAGCCATACCATATGGAGGTTAGCGCTTCAGCCACCTGATATTGCCTGATTTCTGGGTATATCTGGGTTACCCTAGCACCTCTCATACCTTCTCGGCGAATCAGGAATATACTCTTCAATCAATTAATTTTATATGGTCAAATCTAATAATTAATAGTCTGATTTGCGTATTTACGTTTAATGCTATGATTATCGATTATAAGCAATATCCCTACGAAACTAATAACATTAGCTATATCTTTGTTAAAGGAATCTACCAATAAGGCTCTTATAGTTATTTTTAATACCTCTTCCGATTGGCCTAGTTGGTATAAAGCTTTTAAGAGATTCGCTAGTAGTAATTAGGACTTTGGTAATTGGCTACTTGAGGGAGGACTTATAATTTAGAGGGTTCTACCCTTGAAGCTAGAAGACTTTTTCTTTACTAAGTAAATAAAGGACTGCCTTTTGGCGGTAAAGAAGGAGTTCGTTAGATTCAATAGAGGAATCCGAATTAAAAAGGTCGTAATTACAACCGTAATAATTATTACCGCTACGGTTATTAATACTAATGGTATTATTATTAAGACTATTGCCGCTACCTAATTCTAAGAAGAAGCCTCTGTAGGCGCTAATGAAAATAATAAAAAAGGAAGCTTTGAAAATAAAGACGAGGAAAACGAGGATAATAAATACTGTACCGAATAGAATATTAGGGAGGATATAATTATTAACTCCTCTACCGACCTAATAATTGCTAGGAAAGTAGTATATAATTAAATTAATAATACGTATAATGTTTATTATAAATACTAGAAAGACTTCGATAACGCTAATACCTAAATGCGTAATTGGATAAGTATTTATATCGCTGCCTACTACGCTGATACTTTATTTAAATAGGATAAATTTACCCGCGATCAATTTAGAGAAATTAAGAATTAAATTAATTATTGCCCTATTGACCAAATTGCTAAAGCCCGTCGAAATCATTAAATGTTTATTAAAGAAATTATAAAGCAGTAACCTAAAGATTTTGAAAAATAGCTATCCGATTGGGAAATCCTTATTATAAATAGGAAGAGATTTGGAATTAGCGAAGTAATTTCCCCTACTTCCTAATTCACTGATTGTCTTAATATAATTCGTAAATATAAACTTATTTAGACTAGTAATTTCTAGAAGTTCGATAATAAATTCGAAGATATATTCTTAAAATATAAGGATGTATTTATTAATTGTAAGAGGGTTAATATATTAAAACGTACTATATCATTAATTAATTTTAAAAAGGTTATAATTTATATCGTTTAGGGTATTAACCGGTTTAATTCGTAAGAATTCGTATTTAATAAAGAGGACGCTCCTAATTTTAATTATAAAAAGAAGCGGAAAGTAGACGTAAAGAAAGAATGCAACGTAAATAAAATGTAAGAGATTCTTTATAACCGAAAAAGAGAGGAGGCGTTACGCTGCTTTGTAAGGCTTATAAGCGAAACCTTTACCCCTATTCATTTATTATTATTTGTGTCTAGTCCGGTAATACAAGCTATTCGTTCTACAGCAGGAATTAAACGTTTATCTCCTTCTGAGAGAGCTTTAATCAAGAGGCACGCCCCACCTTAGAACTCCAATAAATATTGGTAGCTCGGTCTAACCGTTCGGATTCCTAAATTCTATTATGTTCGATAGAGGGAGCCTTTTTATAAATAATTTTTAGAAAATCTATTATAAATTATTAAATATTCGGCGTTACTTAAATACTGCTTAATACCCGTAGACGGACGGATAGATAGAATAATAAAATTAAAATTTGGAATTATATTTATAGATCTTTTGTAATTTGGGAGATTATAGAGGTAATAGGATTATTTAAAAATTTTATTAAGAAGTTTGAGATTAGAATTCCCCTCTTTTCAATAATTATCCCTAGCCTTTATTGCCTTATTAAAAGGTTACGTTAAATAAGAGTTAGATTTAGAGGAGATATTATATTTAAACCCTTCGAAGGTCCTTAAATCCTAGAGTTAAATATTTGTATAGCTATCCCTACCTCTATTCAATAACCTTAACGCGCTATTTGTATACGTGCCCCCCTAGACTCCTCCTTTTAAGTCGATTTATCCTCTTAAATCCTTGATTTTCAATTATTTCAATTAGCCTCCTCTCGATTCCCCTCCTCTCGACCCGCCTCCTTTCGTACTCGAGTTGCCTCGTTTTAGATTATGCTGTTTTAAGCCGCCTTGTTAAGCGATGAGCTTCCTGTTGACTACGTTAATGATTTACTTAACGAGTGTATGGAGGCCGTTAGTTATATTATTGATAGGGTCGTTGAGAAGTTGAAGTAATATAGGGATAAGATAGAGCGATGCCCCGCGTATTGGACCGCGTGTATTTTTTACCCTGGCTACCGCGGTAAAATAGGTAAATAAAGAGTTTATTAATTAGGAGTATGAGCAGATCCTTATTGACTTTTAGTTTATTTACGGCGTTGATTACGTTAATTAGCTTGTTGAAGATTTATTAATTAATATTAATAATTAATAAGTTAAGATAGTTGATAACGATTGGTTTATCAATTACGATTTCTATAATGCCCTCCCTTTATAGCTAAAGAAGGAGGATGAGTTGTACCGCTACTTTAACGATGAGATTTACGTTGTTAATAACGTATTGGGGTAGTAGAAGGTTAACTACAGTTTATACTTTCGTTTATTACGTATAGTATTTAATTTCTACTTTATACCTTCTATAGTAGATAATTGTGAACGCTCCTTCAGCGGCGCCAAGTTGATTCTCGATAGCTAGAAATATAGCTTTATTGCAGAGTTTATTAATACTATCGAAAGTTTGAAGTTTTGGCTGCAATCTGATTTGATTGTAGATGCTTGATGAGGATAGACGATATACACGACGTTGTAATTGTTTTGGGGAGGGGATTTACCGCTTTAGGGCGTTCTAGGAAGGTAGAAATTGTAAGAATTAGAGTACTTTTGAGCTCGAAAGCACCAAAAACAAGATTTTATGTGTCAAACATGGTCAGATAAATATAAATGAATATAAATAAATACGATTTGATACGTATTTGACCTACTTAAATAAATACAGATTGATATTTATTTATAATAGATTTATCTCTAGCGCTGCCCTTACCTCCTATATTATTTCTTAAGGTGGCTACTTTATAAGATAGAATCTTTATATAGTATTGTTTTCAAAAGGGATAAAAAGTAATTAAAATAGTGTAGAGGTCGTATTAAATATTTAAAATTATAGTTAAAACTAAAGTAAGAGGTCGGTTCTATTCGTTTATATATATATAGAAATTAGGTAGTTAAAGGCATATTGTATAGTAATCCTTTTGTTAACAAGTATATTGAACGTACCCGCCGTCTATTTAACGCTAAGAATGCTTAGGAATTTAGAAGGTATAAGAGGTATCGTTGTTAGGCTAATAATGAAGGGTAGGATTAGGATGCTTTATCATACTAGGCTTTGTATGAGGATGGCTACGCTGACGACGAGAGCGATTGTAACCATATTAATATATAGTTTGAAAGGGAGGGTAGTAAGAGGAACCCTATTATAATTAGTAACGACGAGGAGTAAATAGTAGATATTACTAAGTAAATAAATAAGAGATAGATTTGTACTTAATATTTCGAAAACTTTACGATTCTAGCGGTCTTAGTACGTATGGCGATTTTAGTAGGGATGCTAGAAGATATGAGAAAACGCGATTTTATTATACAAAACGACGGTTGTTACATGTCAGCTGTCAGATGGGGTATAGAGGGTGCGTGTAGTTTTGGGGGTGAGTGTGGGTAGGTTTATATAATACTGTCGTGAAGGGTACCACAACGCGACTATAAGGAGGGCATAAGAGACGGAAGGCCCTTTCTACGCAGTAGGCTAGGTTTTGATAGGAAAGTTGTTTAGCAACGGAGGTTAGACAACGAGTTGATGCTAGATGTCTGAAGTAAGTAGGTGCCCGGTTGATCGAAACGCTCTTATAGGGAGCAAAAGCCTGCCAACATCCAAAGCCGTTGCTATAACTGTTAATGTGGTTGACTGGACGGGCGGGTCACGGTGGAGGTCGTCGTTGATATGGGCTAGCGGGCGGGAACAAGACCAGTGCAAAATCTAGACGTTCCGAAATTTGGCACCGATGGCCCAAGAAACGGTACCGTCACTCAATCAAAGGTATCATGGCTTAATCGAATCTGTCAACATGGCAAGCCACGGCCTTCCTATTGTTCCTGTTTCCTCCTCGATCATGATGTCAAACTTCACCTTGCCGACCATCCTAGGCTCATCACATTACGCTATCACTCCGATAGACGAATGACGATGACCAGCTGTGCCTCTGGAACAAGCTTGAAAGATACTAGAGCGTCACCGTTCACGACGACCGTGAAGCCCACCATTTCTAATTTCACATTGTCGACCAACTCTGGCAGGTGGATGGACAGACAAACCTCGGGTTTGCAGGTCGAAGAGGGCATTCGCAATCACAAAGGAAGGGCGAGACTTCTCGCGCCGCCGGAAAAAGGCAACTGTCAGTGAATCACTAGATCGAAGCGGCAGCCCAAAAAGGGAAGAAAAAAACAGGAAAGAGAAGAATCCTTGAGTTACTTGCTCGATTGATTGACAACGCCCAGAAACGAGCCCAGACAAGTCATCTAGCCTAGCTAGATGGCTGTCTCGCCTTTCCCCTATGGGACATAGCACCTGATCCACGCCTCAAATTCCGCCCATTTCCTGATCGGCATCACCTTCCTGGAGGTGTTGCAGAAACAGTGCGTACCACTTTTGGTAGCATTCCTGGAACTCTGCTGACAACTGGTTCCATAGCTGGATATCCCGGCACTGACAGGCCCATTGTTCCATGCTGATTTCCTGACCTTTGTGATGGGCTTGAGAGAGAAGGTTACTCTCGCCGCTGTGGATGTCGTAGTCATTGGGAGCTCCCTGCTGCCACTGGTTCTCGACACCATTCTCTTCGAAGTCTTTATCGAGGCGTGGTTCATAGTCGTCGTCGTGGCCCTCGATACCCTCTTCTCCAGCGACTCGTGGTTGCGCTTGCTGACGAGGATCTGGCAGTTCCCGAGAAAGTTTTGGATCACGGAGTTCCAGTGACGGCACGGTCGCTCTTCGCCGCCGACGGTAAGTAGTGGCATCGTAATCTCGGAAACTTTGCCAGCTACCTCATCTGCCTTGCGATGCAGCTTCACCTTGTCGACATGACCTGGGACCCAGAGCAGCTGCAATTTGACCTCAAGTGGTGAGTTGCGGCCTGCGAACCGTTCCCGGAATCTCTGGGACCAGCGGTAAACGGAAGAGATATGGTCGCTCTCATTTGGCATGGTGTCCTTTATTCCTGACAGATGCTCGAGGGGGAACATTCCATCGTCGAAAATCTGGACCTGAACCTTCGCTTTGGTCTCCGGCGGCAATTGTCGTTCGAGTGTGGTGAGCTCGATGATGGCCACTTTGATAGCCTGCTTGATTGCGAGTAGTTCACAGCCGTTGGTGGTTTGGTGGAAAACAGGCCAGCCTGCCGATACTTTGCGGCCGTGGTCCTCAGTGCCTGGGGCATAGTGCTTGAACGGGACCGCGTAAGCACCATTAGCACCGCGCCGTGAGCCATCGGCAAAGATTGGGAGGGTGATGTCTGTCGATGTTGAGACCATGCGGTGTGCACGACATGCAGTTTCGATGGCCTTCATTCGGTCTCTTTCGATGATGATCTCGCCGCAAAAGTTCTTTGGATCGAGGACCCGGAAGTCTGAAGTTAGAAATACTTGTCAACATACTGTCTCGCGCTGGTATTTGAGGTGCCATGCACCTCAACGCACTCACATGTATTCGGTGCTGTGGCCGTCCTCCAGTTTTCCTGCTGTGCCTTCATTTCCCTTTCCTGTGTCTTCGAGAGTGTTGCGTATTATGGTAGATGAATGCGGTTAGGCACTCTCGTCAAAAGAAGAGCGTTGGAAGAGCTTTCCTCGTTACGAGCAGTGGTTTGTATCGCAGGTGGGTGATGAATGCGAGGATGGAAGACGCCAACGAACGCGATCATTGTGGTGAGTAACGGGTGAAAAGCGGGGGAGAGACGGTGCAAGATCCTGTCCCGTGACTCGTGACGCGTCGGTCTCTGAGGGCGGAAGGTGTGGGCAGAAAAGAAAGGGAATCACCTTCGCTCCAATTCTGCAGATGAAGGTGGAAGCAAGACGAGATGAAACCGCTGCATGTGGAAGGTATCATGGATTCCAAATTTCAACTATATATAACCCTAAGCCCAATTTCCGGCTGTAAGGTTGACCAACGATTGAATCAAGGGGTTGCATCTTCTATTTTATACTGCCGGGAAGCCAAATGCCGGCGTTTTCTACAGTCATGCTCTTCTATCCTCTGTGCAGTACTCTCATACTGCAGAGAGTCTGAGAAGGGCAGTGCAGCATTTGGGTGTTGCGCGAGAACAAACATGTAACCATCAAGGCCATGAGACCATAGTGTGAGTAATACAGGCTTTGCAGCCCGGTTTACACGTCACGAATTACTTGTAGTGAAAGCGCTGGTGAACGCAGTATCATGACGGTATTGGAGGTGTCATTCTTTGACCAATCACCATGAACGAACGCCCCCGTCGAGCCCTGGCACGCTGAACCTGGAATGTCACAGCACTTACATAGTGCCCTAACAGTGCCTGCCGCGTTCTGCGGGCGTGAATGTTACTGTCATATCCCAGCTTATGCATGCATCTGACCCCCACCGCAGACCGAAAACGATCCATGCCATGCCATCCATGCCCCCACTTCCCACCCTTCACTGTACCGTCCTTCCACCACTTTCCCGCACAACACCAGACTTCCGGCCATCTCGTCGCAGTCCAAAACTGTCCTTCAGCTTTGGAACCAGTGAGCAAACCAGCATTTTTGTACTTCCAACTCGAATCAACAACTGCCTGGTCTAGCCGAACTACTATGGCACCGCCTGCAGCTCCGAAAATGGAGGAAATCCCTCAAGCCGGTAAGCTGAGCGAACTCTCCATCTCCTCCTCGGCGCAGCTCCTCCGCTCTTGCCCAGGGCATATTCTGACATTTCTCTCAAGCAGATTCCTTCAGTAAATATCTTGCGGAAGGTGCCCAAGACCTACCCCGCTCGAGCGACCTGTTTGAGAGCAGACACGCCTGGAGCTATCGCGTTCGCGACGAGCTTGAGGACGAGCTCGAGCGCGAGTGCCGCGACGCCAACAAACACAGATCCGACCGATCCAAAAAGTCACATCCCAGCGCCGGCGTAGAGGATGAACACCAAGAGCCCAAGATCGTGTACGGACAGCGCCGCAAGCGCGAAGACGACAGCGAGGAGGAAGAAGCCGCCGCGGAGCGATTCACAAAGCGCCGCAACGTCAACGTGGACCCGGAGAAGCGCCCGTCGCAGCCACTCTCAACCTCGTACCAGTCCCACGCGCTTCCCCAGGCAAATCCTCAAGCGGCTACCCAAGCGCCCACCCAGACGACTGCCCGACCCGTCCACCCGCACAAGTTCGCCCTCACCGACAACGGCCCTTGGTACCAGGCCATCTACAACGAGGTCTACAAGAAAGTCTACAGCGAGATCTACGACGAGGCCTACTCCAAGGCGTACAACCTAGCTTACAACGATGCCTTCAAGGACGGCTACGAACATGGCAACGCTGACGGCTGTCATGATGGCAACAACCGTGGATTCGAGGACGGATACCGCCATGGATACAAGGAGTCGTATCGGATCTGCTATGGGGAGGGCCAGGAGAATGCGAGGGATATGATGAGCAGCGACGATGATGAGGAGGATGAGTAAGGAGAGTCGACGGTTAGTGATGTGGAGGAAGGATCTGAGAGTTCCGAGGACGAGGAGTAGGAGAGGAGGTTTGGGAACAGCATCGGCGACGGAAGTCATCCCTGCCGACCGGTCAGTTATGTGACAACATCTCGGCGGCACCGGAATAGCCACAAGCTACGAGGGTCATTGTCCTTTTCTCAGCAACACCCAAGGAAGTCGGGTTCTACAACTGATGTCCCTGTACTGGTATCGCAATGGCCGGCCAGGCATTTAAGGTTCAGATGAGGGGGTGGCGGTCGATTCACACTAGACGCCCCGCTGGATGAAGGCTTGGAATCACTTACTGGATGTAACTTCGCTAAAAAGGACAGGGTATGGGTTTATGGCGCATCAATCATTGCTGTAGGAAAGGACTGAAGATGACGAGACAAGACGTTGCCGTATTGCTAGCTAGTCTAAACTTGCCTCGCGTGTATTATAGAGGTAGTATTATGAAGTTGATCCCAAACCTATATGTTTGTCTCTCCTCTCTCTTTTCCTTTCCAGTACCAAGTGTACCGTTTTTACATCCCACGGATTACTCGTTGTTTCCGTTTGCTGGGTTTGCTAACTTGGATGTCCGCATGTGAACGAAGCAAATGATTGCGTACATTGAGGATTCGTGTCGTGAGGAAGGTTGAAGAAGAAACGTGTCAAAGAAAAGATTTATGAAATGGGTCCCGGGTGAAGACAAAGCGGAAACAAGACGGGTGCGGGGGTGAGGGGTATATAGGTTGGCCGAACGGCCAGTGCTTTCAACAACTTCCAAGGGCTCTGTGGTCGAGCGGCGTGGTGCGCAGCTTTGCAAACCACACCGGGGCTTGGGGAATCGCCTGAAAAACCCTGGCCGTGTTCCGCCTTCGCTCTTGTTTGCCTCCGGGCGACACTGTAGCCTATGCGTTAGGCCCCCGAGTAGTGCTTCAACCAGGCGTCTTCCGGCTACGCAAATAAGGCTCTTCTACTCCTTTCCAGGCTGCTGTACGTCCCGCGTTCGATTCACACCCTTGCTATTATTTTTGACTTTTTTTTCGTTTTCCACCTACCGTGCATCTTCTTCATCCCCTTATTCAAGTTGAGATGTTGGCAGGAAGTTCAAATTCTTCGAAGCTACCGCAATAAAGTCCATTAAAGTTGCAAGATGTTTTTGTGATTTCTTGACGAGGGGTATACAGGTTGGTCGAATAGCAAGTGCTTTCAACAACTTCCAAGGGCCCTTACAGGGAAAAGGGGGTCTGAAAACAGACCTTAGAAAGACTGTTTCGCGCGCGAGGTGCGTATGAGGGTTAGCAAGTAAAAAGATTGAGACTTCAAATAGGGATTTTGACTTAATTAGACAAAAAGTTCTAAAGCTCTTTTTATACTTTTTTAATCAAAATAAGCTGTTTTTGGCCAAAATAGACTTTTTTGGGCTTATGACCCTAATACGCACCTCGCGCGCGAAATAGATTCGCGCACCCCCAAAAGTTTCACTAGGCACTTACTGGGACCTGTTTTCAGACCCCGATTTCCCTACAAGGGCTCTGTGGTCGAGCGGCGTGGTACGCAGCTTTGCAAACCGCCGGGGCTCGGGGATCCCGGTAATGCCTTAGAACCTTAACGTTCCTACTATCAGATTTGACCGTGCAGAGTTAATTGATTGAAGAGTGTATCCCTAACTCGCCCAGAAAGTATAGGGGGTGCTAGGATAACCCAAATATGCCCAGAAATCAGGCAATATCAGGATGGTTAGAGTGCTAACCTCTATATAGTATAGTTAAAACCACCCTTGAATCTAACACACCTCCTTACTTATCGACCTTTTAAATAGGGTAAAAGTAAAGCTATTTAGAGAGTTTCTCTTCTGGCACGTCAATTTCTCCAACCAAATTGTAAATATCCTTTAGAACATTATCTGGAATCTTCTTATTCATCTCTATCTCTTTACGAATTAGTATATTTGTTATTCCTATTAATTCCCGGAATTTCTCGTAATCTAATTATATTAAAACCTTTATTAATCTATTGGTTAGTATCTTCTTCGTCTCTAAATATCCTACTTCAATAATTAATATACGGATCGTTTATATATTATTATAACCGATTACGGGCATATCCTTATTGAAAGGAATATTAATCTCCTTATATAAATATATAATACCAATAGTTTCCTTAGTAGCGTTTAAAATCGATAATAGTTCCATTTTTATTATTGAGATAAATACCGTCTTTTATTTAATTACACCCTAATAAACCAGACTACCAAAGAATTTTATTTTAAACTTATACGAGTTTTTTTAATTTAGAGGGTTATCAGCGTATAATATATTTAAAGTAATTTCGAATTTTATAAATGTATTATAATAAAGGGAAAGATTAGGGTAATATTAAAAGTAGTATAAGATTTTATTAATAACTTTACGATATTAAAGACCGGGTTATAAGTATAATAAACTAATCGGTTAGCGGCGAAAGCGATATTAAACCGGGTAATTACAACGGCGTATATTATAGAGCCGATAACAACCTAGTATTCCTAAATTTTATCGAAAGAAGTTATATTATTATAAAGCATAAATTCTTTATTATTTATTACAATAAAAGCGAGGCTATAGAAAATTTTAATTAATTTAGTAATTTCATAAATATATTTCCGTTAGGACAATTAAATATAACTTATCTCTCGGTTTCGAATAATTTCGATATTTAAAAACTATTAAAAGTTATTACTATTAATAAACTTATACTTCTCCTCTAACTTCTTTATAACCCGGGTAGCTTTATTATTTACCGAAGGCGAAAATAATATCGTTAACGTAATAGAAAATTAAAATTCTATTATATTTAAAGATATATAAATCCTCGAATAACGGTTTAAACCCCAAATTTTCGAAGGTACTATTAAATTTTCGTTACTATAGTAAAGGGGGTCGTTAAAGACTGTAAAAGGCCTTGAGGATCTTAAGGATAATACTATATTTTTAATAATTAAGAGGTATACGTATATAAATCTCTTTATTAAAGTGGGCGTTAATAAAAGTATTTACCGTATTATATTAAATAAATTCGAAATCGAGTTTAGCGATATAAGCGATAATTAACCGAAATAAATAACTAATTAACGTAGAAATATACGTCTCTTTACCGTAATTAAAATATTAATTTCTTCTAATTATAAGGCGAACCTTTACCTTTAATAATTGATTATATGTATTAAGTTTATACATATATACTTATATATAATCGAAGATTTAAAGACCTTTAATATAGAAAACGTCTTAATTCATTTTAATTTATAACTTCATTTCTTTATAATTATCGAAATATATTTCCTCTATTCACTTAAAAAAATCATTTAAATTATAATATTCGAAATCGTAATAAATCGTTGAAATTAGAGGGAGGTTTTAACGTTTAATAGAATTTAACTTACTACCCTTAGAAATTAAATAATTAATTTCTACCTTCATAATTATTTTACCCTACTATTACCTAATTAATTAAATAAATCTCCTAATATTAAACGCGGCTTCTTATAATTTAAAAGTCGGGAAGGAGATAGGCTCTAGCGAATTTATTATAAGGCTGGCAATAAATATAGCTAGTAATATATTTAGTGGAGTAGGGTAATTAAGTATAAAATCGATAAATATTTTATTTTAAGCGGTAGGTTCTATTAGTTTCGAAACGGTCTCGTTATTATCTTCTTAAGGTTTATTATCGAAGAGTAATAGTAGGAGAAGGGTAAGACCGTTATTTTTTATATCTTAGGTCGTATTAAGGGGTTCGAAATATCGTATAAATAATTAAAGAGGTTAATTAATTTTAATAAATAAATTAACAATTTCGTCGCTAATTAGCCTCAATCCTTCTTTAAAATTATTAAAGTTCGCTAAATAAATGAAATCTTTATTATAGAATATTTTACGGGTGTAAATAATATAATTAATTTACGGGTTCTAAATTTAGTAAATAAAAGAAGTAATGTAATTAATAAAGAATCTAATTTAAACTTTTAATTAAAATTTCTTACGCTATTACTCTTTCTTCTATATAATATTCGTTATCGTATATACTTTATAACCGTAAATACGTAAATAATTAAAGTTAGGCTTACGAGGCTCGGTTTACACCCTCTTACAATAAGCTACGAAGGTATAAAACCGTTCGTATAGTAATTTCTAATTATGGAAATACTTAGGCAATCGGTTAATAAAGTAGACCAAAGCTAAAATAATTTAAAATTAGAGGTTATAAGGGAGTTTAGCGCTATTTATTATTATACTTACCTTTTCTTTAATTATACCCCCTAAATGTTCAATACCGCCGTTTTAAATTCAAGTATTAAGTATTAAAGGTTCGAAAATAATAAAGTGTATAACTAACTTATCCCTAACGTATTAATTATTAAATTTATTATTGCATTCAACGTATTTAATTTTAACTTTATACCGATAATTAATCGTATTAATAACCGAAAGAAATCCTTTAATAATAACCTTAACTATTCGATTTACTATATAAATATCCCAAACGAATCTAATCTATCGATAAATAATATGTATAATATATTTAAGGCTACCTTTCCGTATTTTATATTCGAAGATGTCAACGGCGAACCGCTCTCCTAGGCCAAATCCCGTATTACGTAATTTTTATTTAATTTATTATTTAATCTTTAAAATACCATACGCGTTGTACTAATAAGTAGCGGGCCCTTTGAATCTAGCGCCTTCGATATTATAAAAATATTCGAAGATTTAAAAACCGTAGTCACCGAATGGCTTATACCAAAATTTAGCAGGTATTTTATACGTACAACGGCCGGTAAAGGAATTAAAGCGATTTCGACGAATAAAGAAGGCGGCGCAATTAAAGGAGAGAAGTAAGTATTCGAAGACTATATAATAATAGATTTTTTAAAGAAATAAAAGAGTAAGCTGTTTAACTGACAGAAGCAATTATTAGGGGGTTTATAGCCCTAATGAAGACGTTACTTTCGGAATAGGCGTAATAATATAAAATCTATAATGAAATTAAGGTAGAAGGCTACTTCTTTTACCCATAGCCTTAAAATTCCCTTTTCTCCTTATATTTCTATATTAATAACCCTAAAACCTTTAATAAGTATTTAAAATTTACTAGCTTAAATACAATCCTTTTAAGACGCTAGTTAAGATAAAAAGAAACGATTAATTTTATTAAAAATATAAATAGAAGCCCCGGAATCGAAGATTGTAAAACTTTCAAGTAAACAAATATTACCTTTATTATTATTCGTATTAAAAGTACCTTTTTAGTAAAAAAAATTAAATTATGAATGCCGATTTCTTATTTCCTTTAAATTTTCGAAGTAATAGTTTGCGTTAAGGTAATAAAGTAATCCCGTATTTAATTTTCAATTTTTTTAACTTCTTTATTAATTTTAGAATACTTTTCAAAATTTTTATTAATAAACTTCTAAGTAGGGCCGCTTAAATTTTATTTAA